ACATTCTATTGGTTTCAAATGAAAGCTGATAGAGAAGAAAATCTCAAAAAATGGGAAATATTAAAATCAGTAACAATTTACCAAACAAAACAGTCTGTGAAGCTCATCCAAGAAACATTAGATTCATGATCATGCATAGTCATAAATTACTTCTTATTTTCTGGAAAATTATATATTGTTTTTGGAATGCTGTTTTTAATACACCAAAACATCATAATTAGAAAACATGAGTATTAAATACGTGATTTGTAAAACTAAGAATATTTACTAGAAAAACATATTAGTGTGACAGTGACAAAAGAGCACTGCCATTTGGTGATCTGCAATTTATGCATACAACAAAGTAATCAGATTTTAGGCATAATGCTGCAAACAGGGACAATGCAATATGCTGTGAAAAATTATGTAAAATAAAAGCAAGGATAATTTTAAAAAGCTGAAGAACCACATTCAGGTACTTATTTGGTATATGTGATTTACAGTCTTGAAGTTTGGACTGCCACCTGCTGAAACACTGTTTAACAGTAAACTTCGGTTTAATAGGACTCAATTTTCATTTCAAACTTTGATTTTTACCCTATTTCTTTCTTCTAACCCTTGGTGCCTTTGTCCCATGAATCCCACAGTATGGGCAGAAGCAGTAAGGGGAAGATGTACCTTTTTATCATCTTTGCTGAGCAAGGGAGACTATGAAGAAAAGATGACATCTGTGTAACATCTTCCAGAGAAAGAGGACACAAGACTTGCAGGCTTCACAAACACCAAGATCCAAAACAGAAGAGGCTGGGCTGCATAGCATCAATGCAAAATAAAATTCACAGAGTGCTCTGAACCGCAGTTGCAATTGCAAACACTCAGGAAGGATTTCTGAGATTTGAGTTGATTAACTTGTGGGTGTTTGCAGTTGGTGTTTATCCTTTGGAAATGGTGCAGCAGGAGAACAGCTGACCCTTCCAAGATGGATTGCAGCTATGTATACAAACACAGGCTTTTCATCCCTTCACACCCCAGATTACTGCAGGAAGGGGCAGGAGCCTGGCTGTGTGGTCTGTGTGGTTTTGGGGACTGCAAATTCAGCAATTGCTTCTCTGAGGTGCATTCATGCACTTCCTGCAACAAGGGTTTCAGACTACACTCCCTGCTCAGATTTGACCTTAAAATTATTCATTGTCAATTGTGATCTCCTGTCTCACTCTCTCACCCTGTTTTTACTGAGCTTTTGTCCTGCATGATCTGTTGTTTTTATGGGTGGGCTCTCACTTCGTGCACTGGATCTTGCAGCATGAACTGTGCCACAGGTAGCAATCAAACAAGCAGCACCCCTTGTCCATTAATATCAACACTTAGGATTTTTAGCGAGCAAGAAAAAGCTCTTTCACCACCGTGAGACTCCTTTTCTTGTATATCAAATACATGGGTGCGATCACCTGAACATCACCTGCCCTGAGCCTTTTTCACGGGGAAGGAAAACAAGAGCGAGCATTATCCCCTTGCTCTATGGAGCACCGGTACCCTCTAGTGGTAAAACCGCCGGCATTTTTAGGCAAAAGATGACGATTTCACTACTAACATCTTCTGTCTTCCTCTTGGACAAAAATCTGTACATCTTTAACTGACAGTGGTGTTCTGTTGGATGATATGGGAAATTCACGCCTTTAGTTTAAGTAGCTAATGATGTAATGCAATGATGTCATTTCCTTGGACTGTTTTCAGTGTGTTTCATGTTTCATTAAATCATTTAAATGATGCTTGTGAGCTGATGGGTGACTGAATTTTCACATGATATAAAGAAATGTCTGTAATGGAAAGTACCAAGAGGCAGCTGCTCAAGGCTTTAAGTGAAGTGTTAGTGATGGTACTACTATAATGGCTGTAATGTGGCAGATCAAGACTTTATAGATAATCAAAGGAATCGTTGTCTTGGTTGAGGTTTCACTAGTTTGCTCATGGAGTTGCAGAATAGCTGGATTAGGAGTCTTGGCAAGCCAGAGAGCCACTGGTTTCATAACTGCAAGGTGGGGACAACAATGTATGGTGTGACAAATCAAGCTTGAGGACATAACAGGAGCATCACAGAATTGCTAAGTGAAGGCCAAATGTCTTGAGCAGTGGGAGTGTGGTTATAGGTAGATGGAAAAAGACACATTCTGGACCCCACAGCTGTTTCCTACCAACTACATAACTCATGCTCCGGAGCGTGTCTGGTGAGTGGAAAAAGGCAAAACTTGTCAAAGAAATTAAAAATTATTTAGCATGAGAAAACACATTTATTTCTGTTCTAAACTTGCTCAGAATGGCTGATCTGAAATTTTCCTGGAAAAACTTCCTGGAAACTTCAGTCTGAACAGCTAATTTTAGGAAAGCCACAGCAAAATAATCCTTCAGGGTTTGCTGTGAAGTGTTTCGCTGTTGTCTTTTCCTTGCATGGAGATTGCTAGTGGATGGAAATTCCCCCCAAAAGGCAGCAGGAGTTATCTGGAGCTCAACTCTGTCATTTACTCCACCTGCAAAGAAGTTGCAAATTCTCAGAACACAGTTCTCTAGCCCTAGGTTTTTTCATACATGAAGGAAATGAAAACCCGAGGCAGGTTAGAGGACACGTGTCTCTGAGCTGAGCCCTCGCACGCTGCCTCCACACTGCAGGCCGTGGCTCTGCTCATTTCACCCAGTGAAACAAAGTGGAGTTTTACTCAGCAAGAAATGAAATCACACTACAGGTATCAGATTGAAATTCAAAATAGGTAGTACAGACTAAACACAGCTTGATTCCTCACAAGCTTTTTCCCCCTGGATGATTTCAGTACCTTATGCCTATCATTTCTTTGATGTACCCTAGCTATGAAAGCAGGGGATCCAGAGCTTTTATGGAGACATCCTTCCAATTTATTTACTAAACTCAAAGTATTTCTATGGCCACTTGCCCCTCTCTTCCTGTGGATCAGATTTTGGAAGCACATTAAAATGCCCATGATCTGGGTACACAAAGTACCAGAATATGAGCTTTGCCCACTCAGCTTCACAGTAATCACTTATGAGACTCCCTTGATTTTTTTACCTCTTTGTATATAAAGGATTTTTAATAGCTTGGCCCTGGGAATAGCAGATCAACGAGGTTGAATTGGATTTACCAGCAGTGGGAGTTAAATTTTCAGTCAAATCTCTGCGTTCTGGAGCCTCACAGACAGACTGATTTATCATGCATTGTGTTTACTGGAGAGCAGAAATTTACCCTCTCCTATTCTCTTTCAAACCTTTTCGTCTTTTCACCTGCATAGAAATGAGTGCAAAAAGAAAAAGAAAAAAAAAAAAGAAATGCAGTGCAGTTTTCAAGGGAGGGTTTGTCCTGGTGCTGCATTGTAAAGAAGCGTTTACTGTTTCCCAGGTCTCAGGAAGTGCCAAGTAGATTCATTCCACTGTAACTGCAGTGCCATTCTGGGAAGCACACAGCACGTCAGCTTGGAATAGACCTCCTGAGCAATATACTCCTCTGCCATATCATACAATTCATTCAAAAAATGCAGTATCACCCATTTCATTCTCGAAGAATGCAAATGAGTTAATTAATGCATGTCTGTTCCAGGAATATTCTGACTTAGGATCTTGCCATCACTGCCAGTTTCCCCTGCTCCATCCTGGCTGAGAATCCTTGATCTTCATGAAAGCCCATGTGGTGGGGGGAAACAGTTTTCCCCCTGAAGCTGTAAAATGGTAAATCCCCAGGGGGTGGTGACCCTTAAAGTTTGAGCCAAGGAGCGCTTCTGCAAAATATAAACATATCACAAGCGGACCAGAAGAGAAAGTAGTTGTAGTAGTTGTAGAAGAAGTAGCCATGTTGTAGAGCCACGAGGAGAAGGGGCAGGAGCCCCGTTGGGGGCTCTGGCCCCCCCAGCCCCTGGGGGGCTACAGGGACTTGGAACAGTGTAAGACTGGGCTAAGTGTCTGTAGCTGAAAGCTGAAGAAGTTTTCTCCATTGTGAGTGGGCAGATGGAGCGGCGGCAGAGCAGCGGTGGACGGAGAAATGGTGGCAGAGAGACAACAGATAAGAACTGAAGAAGCAGTAAATGAACATGCAGCCGAGCAGGAAGACACAGAGTTGTCTGAGAGAGAAAGCCAGCAGCAGAGAGAGAGCAGGACTAAGCTCTATGGATAGAGACAGAGTTTTGGGGTAAGAACTGAACCAAAAGACCCCAAACCCCTCTGAGACCCCTCCTAGAGAGAGGAGGAGGATGGACTCTTACTTGAGAAGAGTTCTGGAGTGCTGCAGCACCAGAGAGAAGAGCTGAAAAGCTCAGAGAAGGAATGCGGAGGGGGTGACCTTTACCCCCCCCGCTACCTTGAAACAGAGCACAGAGCTCTGCAAAGGGGCTTGAATCCCCTGAAGATACGGACCGTCACGAAGACCCCTGTACTTCGTTGATATGACCGTGGTGAAGTGACCTTTGCCCGGGTGAACACAGCCTATGGAAGAGAAGACCCTCACTTGGAGATGATGGGCCGAGGGGCTTGGATACCCCCCTCGTGTGTACTGGCAGAGATCCAGCTACAGCTGCTGCAGGGAAGAAAAGAGATAACCTGTTGCCCTAGAGACAATGCTGCTCTGAGAGTGGAAAGGATCTTTTCCTTCTTCCCTTCTGGACTTTTATTTGGAGGGGAGAAGAGATTTGATCCATTGTAAATACTTTTATGTCATGGTAGAGATAGCTAAGATTGTATATAATGTATTGTAGTATTTATTTTGTACAGTCATTGTAATATATAATCCCTTCCCCCCATTTTGAGTCTTGTGTGGTGTCTAGAAAACCCATCTCACACTGGGTTGAGATGTGGGAGGGGGGCTAGAACTAGGGAATTGGATTTTGGGGCTCTCAAACCATGACAGCCCATCTCTCTGCTCACAAATAGGAAGGGGCCATCCCCTGATGGATTTTATAGGCAATATCTCCAATTCAAATACAGAGAAGGGTAACAATGCTGTGTTTTTTTCTTTTATTTCATTCCAGGTTTCTGATTGTCTTGGGGTGTTTGATCTTAGCTGTCCTGACAACTTTCAAGGAGTATGAAACTGTTTCTGGAGACTGGCTCCTCTTGCTGGTAAGTTGACTGTGGCTGGTGCTTCACTCCAGTAACACCCTTGAATTGAAATCAGCCCCATCAGCAGGGATGGAAACTTACTCCCAGCTCTGCATGTCATAAGGTTTCTGCCATTGGTCCTGGAGCAGTGACTATACACTTACCTACTGAAGAGTTCCCAGTCCATTGTCAACAAAAACTGATTAAAAAGAAAGTGAAGTTCCTGAGTAAAAAGAAAATGAGAGGAAAAATACCAGCCTGAGGCTTTTGAGCATTTGCCTAACAGTCCTTCCATCAAATTATCAGTAAATTTCCTATTAACCATGCCAGACCTAAGCACATTTGAAAACTATTTTTTGGGGGGATCTTTCAAATATTTTGATTCTCTCTATAGTAGTCTACTAATCCCAGTATTTCTTTCAAGGGAGGTCATCAGAATCAGACTCATGCTTGTGCCCAATAACAGCATAACTGAAATTGTTGCAGGCAGTGCCTCTGAGACAAAATGTATTTGCAGCAAATACATTCCTTTCTCTGTATATTCCAGAATGCTGGTTCTATGACTGTTGAAGTTCATGCTCAAGACTTTATTTTGTAGGCCTCCCATTTGGCAGAAGAGTTAAAAAATAGAGAACACCCCCCCACACTAAGTATAAACATGGCATACTCAAAGTTTTATGAAAATGACCTTAACAGTGAACTTCCTCTTCTCCCATAGCTGTCATGAAATAGAGAGCACAACATCTCGCTTAACCTGTCCTTGTCTAAAATATCCCCAGCAAAATTAATTTTGGGGTCTCAATTTGTCTTTCCCCTTGTACCCCCAGAGGCATGTATATCTGAGCAACAGCAAAATGCCAGAAGGAACGAAAAGTGAATTCCCCTTGCATGTTCCTTCTCAAAAAGTGCCTATATGAAAACACCCTCATCCCTTAGGGAATGTGAAACTTGCTTTTGGTCTCTGTTACCCTGCTTATAGCCCATCTTTCACCTTTAAAAAAGCCTGAGGTTATTTTTCTTCCTTCTGTGCTTGTTTGTTTGTGGCTCTCAGCGGTTTTCAGAAGCATCCAGGAGCTGTGGGTTTGAGCATGAGGAAAAGTGCCCCTTTCCTCCTTGCCAGCTCTTCACAGAGAGGAAGAGTAACCACGTGCCCAAGCTGCCCTTGGCCCATCTCTGCTGAGCACCTCAGAGAAGCCCTCTCCTCCCCATTCCCTCCCCATACTTAGAAAGGTTATTGAGCAAGGTGGAAAAACCCATTTTTTTGTCCACCAAAAATTTAGGGGAACAATACATGCCTTAAATTTGTCCTATATATGTCTTTATCATTGCCTTAAATTTATCACCCTATGAATATACTGTGTCCTGTCCTGTCTCTATAGATATGGTTGCATGAATGAGCTGCTGGTGGGTAATCCTGGGTTACGGGTATAGAGTGCACTGAGGACTTTGCAGTCACCACTCACATATATCTCCCCCTTTTGTGTGGAACGAGTTCTTTCTGTGAAGTAATTGCCCTTACATTAAGGCAGGGTGAGCACTTCACATTTACCCAACAGCAGGGGCAAATTCCTCCTGCAGACTATTTAGAAGGCTGGAAAGGCATTTCCCACTTTGCCTTGCCTCTTTCATCAACCTGTATTCTTCCTCCACTTTTTTTCCTCTCTCTCTCACACATATCCTAACACTTGTGCCTCATTTCCTTCAGCTATTTCCTTCGGGACCTTCTGTCCAGAATTACTGCAAAACTTGTTATAAGACTAACAATTTAGTTTGTGTCTTGATACAGGAAACTTTTGCCATTTTCATCTTTGGAGCAGAGTTTGCCTTAAGAATCTGGGCTGCTGGCTGTTGCTGTCGCTACAAAGGATGGAGGGGGAGACTCAAATTCGCCAGGAAGCCTTTGTGCATGCTGGGTAGGCACAAGCTCTCTACTACTATTTTCTCTGTTATTGTCCTTTTTCTTCTAAGCCAGTTTGGGGAATGTCGAAGAACTGGTGAGTGGCAGTGCAAAGAGCACTGAAATCAGATCTGCCCTTTATGCTAGGACCTGTGTCCTGCTTGGAATAGTTTTTTGAAGTAGCCAGCAATAATTAATTTGAGAGACACTTGGGTATCTAGTCAGTGAGAAAAAAAATGAATCCTTCTACTCTTCAAACACATTGTCCTTGTCCTGAGTCCCACTGCATTTTTCTTAAACTCATCCCCAAAAAGACTCTCTGCCTTCAGTTTCAAACGACTTCAGATCCCAACCCCATCCCATCTTCCCCAGCCCTCTTTCATGTTTGCGTTGTGTTTTATCGTTGTATTGTCAGTCTGCATTTGCAAACAAGTATCTTTGTGATTTCACCTATGTTGTCTTTCAGGCTTGGAAGGCACTGCCTATTACTATCCATAAAACTACTCATTATTCATGTTTGAATCCCCTCCTGCAACTCCTCATCATAACCACAGACCAACCAGCCAGTATTTAGGAGCTCACTCCCAAGCACCTGTCTTGCACGTCCCCATTCATTCATTTGTACAGCACACAGCACTCTGGGGAGCTGTGGTGCCACATGAATACACACCTCTCTTCCCTCGCCCTCCTTTTGTTCACCTCTTGAGTCTAAATTGTAGACAAAATTTTAACAAATTTTGTTTGTGCATCTATGCTATCCTCAATTTGGTAGTGCTCTTTTATGTTCTACTGTTGTATAGATACATCTTATACTTCTAATAGGTTTGTGAAGTCAGCAGAGTGTGGTGTGAGCAAATGGGATTGACCCTGTCTCATGCCTTCTTGGTAAAATTGCCATCTCACTTCTGAGAATGGATCTTCATTGATATCTGGGTAAAGAACAGAAAATATTTTGGACTTATTAATATCATCTCTCATTTATCACTGCTGCAAATTTGTTTTGAGAATGATTGGAAGTGAATAAATCTGAAATTCCCTCTTTTTGGCTGGAAATAGAATATAAAGACAATTTATATTATTATAAATTTTATGTTATTCTAAATTATATATTATTATTTATATATGCCCAGAGCATGTTTGAAGCTGTTTGGTACCACTTTCTTCTTGTATGTGTATAGAACCAAAAAGCAAGAGGGAAACAAGGAAAAGAGAAAAAAACAAGAAGTGATGTGATTTTGCATTTCAAACCTCTTCAGTTGATCAGCAAATTGGTCCTGTGAGCACTTAACAAAAAAAAAAATTGCACTGGCTTGGAGATTTTAATGAGAAAACTCAGCCAAAAGAATCAAATACTAGGTGTACCATCAAAACTGAATTTCTCGTCTGCCGACCTGTTCACTGTGGTGTTCCTGTGGTGCAGATGAATAAAAGTCTGTTTTTCTGTCAGCCTTAGGACACTGTTTCTGTGCATCCCTAAGCAGGCTCAGACAGAGTCTCAAGTCCAGTGCATCAATCTGTAAACAGATGCCGAGGCTTTCCGGTAGGTTTTGTTTGTGATGCTGCCTGTGTGGCAGGTGCAGATATCTGTTTAATTGGAAAGAGCAGGCATTTCCAGGCAGCTTCAAAATTTGCCATGGGAAATTTTCAGCACAACCAGATGGGATTAAGAAGCAGGTGATAGGGCCACTCTCGTTGGCAGGCTTTGTTCTTTTCACCTTGCAGATATCTTTGTGCTGATTGCTTCAGTGCCAGTGGTTGCTGTTGGGAACCAGGGCAATGTTCTGGCCACGTCTCTCAGAAGCCTCCGCTTCCTTCAGATCCTACGGATGCTCCGAATGGACAGGCGAGGCGGCACTTGGAAACTTTTAGGATCAGCTATTTGTGCACATAGCAAAGTAAGTGAGGAGCTTGCAGGGCTCAACTGGGGCTTGGGGAGAAAGATTGAGGGAAAAGAGAACGGATACACAGGTACAGCAATGCCTTGGGATTATGTTTAGTAGTTCCAAAAATAGTTTTGTTCTTTAAGTTTTATTCCCTCTTCCTTTCTCTGAACCATTTCTGCCCCTTGTTTTACCCTTCTCCACTCAATAGTGGTGCTGGGAAGGGAGAGTATGTTCATTCCCACACTTTACAACAGAAATTTTGCCTTTACACTGAATGAGAGCAGGGACAACCCTTTAATGGTGAAAGATGCTGAAATCTTTGACAGAAATGCCTGCGAAGCTGCAACGTGTTTGTAGTGGCTTCTCAGACTTGTCTGATCAACAGATGGAGCAGGACTCCAAAGGGATGGCAAGAGGCTGATTAGCAGAAATGTGGTTTCAGAGTGAACTACTGGTAGAATTTTTCTGTGTAAGCATGGGTCAGACAATACAGAAATGCACACAGTGTGAACTGAGACAGGGAAAATTTCTAAAATCATCTTTCTTTGGTCTAACTTGATGCTGTAGTCAGACACACCCTGTCTCGCACCAGACAGATACTTGTGTTCTTGCATTTTCACAAAACATTATTACAAGTTAAAAACTATCTGCATAATAATCCTCTAGATAAGATTTCTCATCTGCAAAGGGTGTAAAAAAATTACATAGACTCTGTGCTACATACTGCTATTTCTTATCCATGAGTGACATTCCTGACATTTTAGAGGGGTTTGAAAATTAAAATGCCAGCTGGTACAGCATAATTAGACTTTGCTTCTGCATGGTGGCTGATGGGGATACCCACCTTGCTTCATTGCTTACCAGCTTCTGTTTCTTCCCTGTATAAACTTGCTACAAGGCAGGTGGCACATAAACAGAGTCAAAAATGTTTCCTGGGAAACAGATCATGGAAGAAGTTTGTAGCAAAGACATTGTTTAGAAATTGTTTAAGGCTTCATTTTGTGGAATTTCATTCACATGCTGCTTGTTTGGTTGCCCACCACCACCCTTTGGATCTCAGCTGGCTCAGAGAGATAAGAAGGGGTTTAAGAACTTTGCTTTATTGGAGACAATGAAGAAATAATTTTGCTAACAGTTTTCTTCTATGATTGCACACCAGAAATTAGCTGAGAAAGTTCACTTATCTCAAGATTCAATTTTGAAGTTCTCAGCTTGAATGCTTTATTTTTTTTTCTTCCAATACAGTTCTCATAAAATTAAGTGGAATATTGATTTTTTCAACCACTTTTGAAAAACTTCACCAAATTTTTTTCTTCTTTGTATCAGACATTGTTGGGATTTTAACTTGGGTAGCTTCATCTCCCACCTCAGTAGGATTAGACACATACTCCACTTCAGTCACTCTCCCTAAAACAGGAAGGCTCAGGTTTTGTTTTCACACAGATGCTTTTCAAGGTCTGTTCTTATTGCATGAATTCATGTTGAAAACATCATTCATTCATGATGGAATCCACTTTGATATGGCTAAAGAGAAGGAACTGCATCCTGCTGTCGTGGGGTATCTGTTGATAGGTTTCGGTCTGTGAAGAAAAGAACACACACACACACACACACACACACACACACACACACGAACAGAGTGATGACACAAGAGGTGTCAGTCTGCTCAGCGTAGCAGGCAGCCTTTATTGAGCTCGCTTGCCTCTACTTTCTCACACACATAATATAAATATATTCTTGCAAAAACACTTAGGAATGTAACACCTGCACACAGACAGCTTTGTCCTTGTACTCCTTAAAACTCAAGGCTGTGTCCATGGGAACATCCAATTAGCCTTACTGTTCTCATGGGAAACGGCCTAACACTATCCAATATTTCAAACTCCTCAAGCTTCAGGGGTTTTGTGGAGCTGCCACTTCCACCCACATCCTGCAGCTGTGGCTCTCTGGAGGGAGGGAGAGGGCAGAGCTGTGATTTGCTGGCTAAGACTGACCAAGCCAGGGGCAGAAGGGATGTGAAGAGCCAAGGTCAGGGACAGAGGCCTGCAGCAGCTGTGTCACGGGTGCAGCTACATCCTTAGCCCAGCTTTACGCAGAACTGCAACTGCAGATTGCTCTGAGCTGTTCCCCAGGAAGATGCCATGTAAGGGCTAATTCTTGTAAATCTCTGCATTATTTCCCACTGAGTGCTGAGCTGGGCTGGGCAGGGTCTGTGACCAAGCCAGCAGTGACAGCTCTGCTGTTACCCTGTGTGCTTCTCTCTCCTCCTGATGTTTACTCTGCTACTGTGGGTATTGAGGATGTTTTCAGCCCCTTCATGTCCATCTGTTTCTTTTGCAGGAGCTCATCACTGCTTGGTACATAGGGTTCTTGACGCTCATCTTATCCTCGTTTCTTGTTTATCTGGTTGAAAAAGATGTTCCTGAAAAAGATGCTAATGGAGTGGAGATGAAAGAAGAGTTTGAAACCTATGCAGATGCACTGTGGTGGGGACTGGTAAGTGACTCCAAAAATACCTTATCCCCTTCTTAAAAACTCCATACCCAAGAAGAGATAAGATGTTGATGTTAGAGACTATAGTGCAAGGGCTGCTGTATTTGGGTAAAAGGCATGTTACCTGTGTAAAATTACCAAAGTAGGGGTGACCCTACAACCAAATAACAGAACTTACATCCCTGTTGATTTTCAGGTTGATTTTCAGGTTGATTTTCAGTCAGACAAAGGCCCTTAGGTGCTTAAACCTCCTTCAGAAATCAGTCTGTGCTCCTGGCTTCTGGGAACCCTCTCTTTTAGAGGAATATCTCTTCAGGTACAACTGCACTATGCCTATGGAAGACCTGGCTCTCATGAAAGCAGTGTCCTGCCTGTGGGAGCTGCATCCCTCAGAAAATGGCAGAATCAGAGCTGCCAATGGATGGTTCTGTTGGACAAGCAAAGAGCACCAAAAGTTTGGGCAGTTGAGGTAGACATTCATGGAAGTTTGGTTCTTAAGGAGCCAGTGACTGAAGATGTCTCTGGATTCAGATGCAGGAAGTAGAAAAATATTTCTGGAAAGGTTAACTCAACAATTCTCATGTCTTACATGTATTCCACAAAAATCAGGTAATAGGATGCTGAACAAGAGGGACCTTTGATACATCTGTTCTTGTCTCTTCTGATGAAGAGAGGACTATTGGTTTACATCACTAACTTATTTGATCACAAAATATTCCTGTCATTCCAGCATTCATGTTGCTTTGCTACTGATAGTCAGAGAATCCTATGTAATGCTGTAACTAAAATTCAGCAGCTTATTTTTTATTTAATGTAGTTCACTCATAAATGGCAAGATATTTCCCCGCATCTCCCCAACCTCCCCATTATTAGTCAAAAGGTACTGTTGCATAGAACACCTGGATGTTTTCATATCCTTTCATATCCAGGACATTTAGACAGAGTCTCACTGGTGAGAAAAGGTACACAATTGGAAATTAGCAACTGAGAAGGAAAGGAGTAAGTTTTCACAAAGTCGTCTTTGTTTTTAAAAGACCAGGAGCTCACACAGAGCTCGTCCTGACTGATTGTTAAAGGCCTGTAAGTTGTTAACTGGCAAGTCCCATTCCTAACTGTGCACTGATGGTGGGCGGGAAACTCACTGTACAGGCAATGTCCCATGAAGTTCCCTGGCAGCAAATGCATCCTAGAGAGGCAGCTGCTTCAGGACTAAATGCATTCTCCGTGCAATGCCTTGGGACTGTGACACCATTAAAGAAAATTGGTTGGCCCATCATCAAGATCCTATTTCAAGGAGCTGTGCATGAGCACCCACAGAGCAAAGTGAGTTATGAAGGTTTTGTGGTGACATTTAAAGCAGAGCTGTTGGCTTTTTTTTCTCATGGGGAGTCCTGTTCATTCTGCCCACAGATCACCCTGGCTACGATTGGGTACGGCGACAAGACCCCCAAAACATGGGAGGGACGGCTGATTGCAGCTACCTTCTCTCTCATTGGAGTGTCTTTCTTTGCTCTTCCTGCAGTAAGTACCTTTCCCCTCCTCTCTTAGACACAGCCCAGTGCTGTGGACTTGCAAAAAAAACCATAAAGCGAACTTTCTGTAGAACCAAATCCCCTTTTAAGAATTAATTCAGAGACTTGAGGGTGTCTATATCAGTAAACTAAACCTGTTTCTTCCCAACTTTGCATAGAGTAATATACCACCCCCACTACTCGTCAAATCATGGGTGGGCATTGTCTGACAGTGCTGGCTGGCACACAAACAGAATTAATCCAGCAAGTGAACAGTCTGGGAAATCACAAGGTAGTTCATGAGACTGTACCCTGGCACATGTTAGTTTACTGGTATTGACATAGGCCCCACAAGACATATTTTTGAAGGATTTACAACCTATTGTTTTGATAATTAGAATTGGGCCCATCTTACCCAGCCTTGTATTTCCCTTGCCAGCAAAGTCCTCAGGTGAGAATGAGACAAGATCTGAGTGAGATGGGCTGAATAGCAACAGAAAGTGTCCCAAGCCCAGATTTTAGGATACTTTTCCTTTACATCGGGACCTGGAAAGAATTTCACAGAGGATGGCAAGTCCTGCACACCCAAATCCAGAGTATGGTTTAGCATAGCTCTTGTACCACAAAACACAGTTTCACTCTGCCCTGAGCGTGAAGTAATACACCACATGGACACCTCCAGCTTGGAAAGGCAGTAGACATTGAAGAAGCCTGTCAAGGACCTTAAAATGGTCTGTGGTCCTTGAGAAGACCATGAACATCTCCTGTCTTATGAGTGGAGCAGCGGAAAAGACATGCTGTCTCAATCTCCCCCCACAGACCTGTTTCTTCTCATCATTAATCCATTTTTTTCTAAGAATTCTCTAAAATCTTGTATCACTCTGTGTTTTCAGGGCATTTTGGGCTCAGGGCTGGCACTGAAGGTCCAGGAGCAACATCGTCAAAAACATTTTGAGAAAAGAAGAAAGCCAGCAGCTGAACTCATTCAGGTTTGCAGCCACTTACGCTTTCCTTGAGAAAGTGTTGTGTATGAAGACTGCTCAATCATGTTAAAAAGGGCCACCACTTCTCCCCTGCCCAAATTCTCATTTCCCATTCCAGGATGTGGGAAGCTGTGTTTGTTATTTTTTTCACACCGAGCTAGATAATCCAGGGGTCCTTGCAGTTTTTGAGGAATTGTTCAACTCCCAGAATATCTTTCAGAAAAACGTCTTTAAAGAAAGGGTCTCATCTGCTAGGTTCTGGAAACCAACTAACTTCTGCATCAGTGCCACAAAATCACAGAAAACAAGCTGTTGAAAACATATTCTTTCCAAAATACAGGTTTTGTTAGTTCCCTTGAGAGAGTGCTTTTATGTGCAAACAAAGTTACGCTGGTATTGATGTGAAAACAGCAATAGAAGTAACACAATAGACAGCGACTGTTTCAATCAAGGCAAATAAATAGAATGTGTGGTTTTAAAAAACTAAAACACACTCTGGATCTTCTGTTATGTCACTGAATGATCTGAGAATTCATTGGGAAGAGAGTCCTTAGCTCACCTGGATTTCAGTTACAGCCTTTATTATTAATTCAGAAAATTAAGCTTAAAATTACTAGTCTTGGTGCTGAGAAGTTTGACAGGAGTTACTAGATATGGAGCGCATCCTGATGGCAGTGAAGGAAATAGAAGCATTTTTACAGAGGGATAGAGAAAGTTTCTGTGATATCAGATGAAAGTTTTGGTGCTCAGGACTGCCCAGGATCAAACCAGTCCTCATGATAAACAGACTGAGTGGCATATTACACTGTTCTCATTAAAAACACTCTTTAGCAAACAGAAGGATCTGCAGTCATGAGTTGTGAATGGAATTCATCTTTTAAATCAAAGCATCTTCCCTTAGCAGGTAGTTTGCTTAGCTACAGTGGGTTTTAGGTATGTGCTTAAAGAATTTTCTTTGGAGAATTTTGATTGGAGCTAAATGTTGAAATAGAAAATCGCTCAGCAACATTTCCTCTGATGATACATTAGGTAATAAACTATCTTAAGCACTTCCAGAATTACTGCACAAGTCCAGCAGCACTTGAAGCTCTTTAAGCTCTTTCTCTCTCAGAAAGGAGAATAAAACCAGTTTAGTCTAATGTAATGTCATGTTGATATTGGTGGTTCTCTCCATGTTCTGTGTCCTTTACAGCCCTCCTAGATCATAATCCAGTGTCAGTAGTTGTACCATATAGTGCTACTCATTTGGTATGGCTGATTAGTAATTAATTTCTAGATAGTCACTCAGGTGCATTGTTGTGTTCTTTGAAAGTCTGGCTGCAATCAGCCTGGGGAATAGCTTTACTTGACACTAATTATTTTCTCTCCCCTGTAATTCAGGCTGCTTGGAGATACTATGCTACTAACCCCAACAGGATTGATTTAGTTGCTACCTGGAGGTTTTATGAATCAATTGTATCATTTCCATTTTTCAGGTAAGTGCATTGTCCGCCTCTCCGTCATCATTTTCTATGAAGTATCAGCCAGGACAGGAAACACAGACTTTACACATATCAATGAGGCTTTTGTAGGTAACAAATATTTCCCAGAAAACTGTTCTGAGGAAAAGGAAACTCTTCTGAGGTTGTGGTTTTATTTCATTCATCACTTCTGAGTTTATTGGAAAGCATTCCACACATAAAGACATTCAGATATAATGGATGCTCATGTGTTTATGGCCATGAGTCTGTCTGATTCTCGTTTTTCTTGCCTGTCAAACAGGCACCTTTCTCACACTCAGGTCTTAAATTTTAAAATGTTGTTTAAAAACCTATATGGCCCTATGAAAGCCGAGATTTTAGCAATAGATTATCAGTTGCTAATAATAGAAATTACTTATCCAAGTTAATGTTTTAAGCTTTCGTTCTAGACTTGCTGTTGGGCCTCATTCAGAAAAAAAAGTGCCCTTAAACTAGTGCTTGGCTCAAACAGAGCTCTCCACATGTAAGTTCTGCCCACTGCACTAATACTGCAGCTCCAGCTGTTGCTCAAAACTGACCTAAAAAGTTTCAGGCTCCTGCCTTCACAAAGTGCAAATTGCAAATACTAACTCTTTGTTTTATTTGCAATATATTTCTTAGGATCAATTTCATATACTTCAAAAAGGAAACCTCTAAAAATAAACCCACCATAAGTGTTTAATTAAGGTTCAGTACATGTCTTTCCTTTTCTTTAGCCTTTCTCACTATCTGCCTATTCTCACCTTTTCCATTATGGAGAAATTTCTAGAGGGTTTCTGGACCTCAGGCTTTTTTTAGAGGAGAATTCTCAGACTCGTGAAGAGTCCAGACTAATTACTGTGACTTCAAGCTTGTTCACTGTATGTAGGTTCCTCTGATTTGAACATAACCTGAAATTTAATAGGTGTTTTGCAAATAAGGCTCTGGGAGAGAGGGCAAAAGAGATCACCTCTCACCAAAGACTGGATTGCCAATCTAAGCATCACAGATTGGTTTCAGGAATCTATATCACTTTCTTTGCTTTATGGCTAGTTGAAAATATAGCTTTTATTCTACTGTCAGTTATGGTCACAGAACAAAAGATGTATAATCTATTAGCAGTAGATTAGTAATTTATATTTAAAAAATTGCTGAATTTATTATATGACTCCTTTTTCCTTGCTTTCTTGTAATGCTTCCTCTCTTCTATAAAAGGAAAGAGCAATTGGATGGTACTGCCAGGTATGTAGGTGCCATTATTTTATATATATGTTTTAATACAGTTATTGGAGGACGCAAGTTAAATAGTTCTTTGTGGATTCATGAGCTGTTAACCAAAACATGCTACTAACACCACAGGTAGCCATAAAAATTATTAACCAATCCATTTTCTAACTGCTTGCTTTTTTCCAAATATAACAACACAGCTAAAATGCTAACTGTACAAAGGCAGTGTTGCTTGCTGATTGTCTGTAAACAGCTTTATTGTTTGTTATGATTAATCATGGTCTAGATTTCTTCTGATCCGTGACATAGAGCCAGAGTTTAGCATCCAGGCTGGTCTGAGGGGAATTTAAAGTTCTGCTTCATGCTGTTGTTTCATAGTCTTGCATAGAGCAATGTTCTGGTGTAAGGGATGAAGTCTCTGTTGATTTACCATGTGCAAAGATTTCTTAACAATAAATACTAAGATGGATGTCTCGGATGGAACAGCAGGATAGTCAATCTCTCTGGCAGTACTGTAAAAGCTACATTAAATTTGAGGCTTTGGTCCCACCCCTGCTGAAAAAAATGAGAAAGCTCCCCATCACACTGGGGAATTTACAAGCAATGAAAATGAAGGAGTCATCAATCCTAATACTGGTCAGTCACTGAAGACTGCAGCAGAGCAGTCATTGTCAGTCAACCTGCAAGGTCTCAAATGGAAATGGTATATTTATAATCCTCTTCAGCTAAGTAGAAGAGTCAAAGGCACATACAGTAATTCTGAGGCAAAAGTTTAATCTAGACTGTTATCAATGGATCATCCATAATGAAATTCAATAGCAATTAAAAGAAAAACAGCTCCACAGACTCCTGCTGAAGCTAGGTCTGTTTGTATCCCCATTTACAGTGTAGAGAAAAGGAACAAGAATTGTAGCAATATTTGAAAAATGTTAGTCAGAGGTCAGGCTTGAGTTCCAGTCCCTGGCCTGATGAAAAATTATCTTTTATTTGTTTGTTTTTCATGCAACACACGACAGCTTCAATAAAGGAAGTTGGAAAAAAAATATTAACACTTGCTGTTCTCTGAATTTTTAGGGTTCAGACCTCCTTTAACAGAAAGGGAAAACCTATACCAAGTTTTCTCACAATACAGGCAAGTGTTGTAGTGACAAATTATTGGGAAAGGTTGTCTTCCCCCTCTTGCCACCATAATCATGAGGTAACCTGCTACTCCTCGAAGACTGCCTGGATGGGAGCTACCTAGTTTGGGAACCCTCAGGAATCTTTTGTACTCCACATCCATGGCACTGCCCAGGCTAAGCAGTCACTAACATAGATGTCTGGAGATTTCAGCCGTCTGCAGTGTCAACAACAGCTGAATTCTGGTTTTTAATATGTAGGAGAGAGCTTAGGGGCTGAAATCCTTTTAAGCATGTAATTCCATACCTTGAGTCAAAATGTTCTGACTCACATGCAGCAGCAGATTAAAATTAGGTAAGTGAATGGCTGCTGCTGTTGACTGTTGGTCACAGCCCCCCAGAGAAGCTCCTGAACCTGCAGCAGCCAAACAGTTTGTGGAGTAGTTTCTGAGTTACTGTAGCTTTCAGATGAGTAGAAATCATTTTATCTTGACACACTGAATTGAAAATGGAAAAGTATGACTCACAACTCAAACTCTTTAAAACTATAATCCCAAGCCCCCTCATTCTAGCTGGATATATCTTGCTTTTATGTTGTTACATATGTAATAACCTCCAGCAAAATCATCAGTAAACCTGCCTTGGAGCCTTCCTGTTAGCAGGAATGTGTTTATGGAATGAAGCATTCAATTAAAGGCATTGGAAACCCTCCAGGTAAACAGACAAATGATGGTACTTGTGGGAGCATCCACTGACTTCAGCAGAACTGGGACTGAGCCATAAAATCTGGTTGTTTTGACAGTCCTACCACCCATCTCTCATAAAACTCTTATTTACAGACCAGATAATTTAAAAAAAAAAAAGAAGGAAAAGAAAGTCTTCTTCCTCCTACAGTGATTTAGTATAGAATGTATTACTCATTCTCCACTGCAGTTTGTGCTTTGGCTGTACTGAAATAAATGAGCAATAAAGGAACGTGGTACTACTGGAGAGAACAGCCCATAAATGCCGTCAGTCTCCAGGTTCTTCCATCAGTTAGGTACTTAATGGGAAAGTTGCTGTAGTAATAAATGGCATTGTCTAATCAGTGGTTGATAAAGAAGAGAGAAGAATTGGTCCAAAGCTTTCACAGAAGCTTTTAATAAAGGTAAAAATTACACCTGGCTGTTTCAAAATTTGAGGATTGGGAGCACTTTAAGTGGCAGGGTTTCTACTGAGTGGTGTGAAAACTCTTTAGGAACTCCACAGTTCTAGAGTTAAACACTGTGACAGATCCTTCTATGATCACTCCTTGGAAGCAGGAGCTGACATTATGAAAAAGACACAGCTACATACAGCTCCTTGTTCTTGGACCATTTGGGAAAAATATAGAGGACACATAGAGTGGAAGAGTCCACTTCGGAAGTTGGAACCCAAGGCAAGGCTGCAAGAAACGACTTGTCATAGTAGAAAACCAATTGAGGTTTGGCAGCAGCCCTTCAAGGCTTTACTGAAGCTCCCTTTAAACTAAAACTGTGAAGATATGAGATATGATGAAGAGGACAATTGACTGCCCTGGAGCTGGACTGGGTCCTGTGAGCAATGAAGGGAAGAGGAACATGTGATGCAGCTCTGTTAAGAATAGCATTTTCCCTATAGGCTCTGTATAGTTCCCCAAACCAGGAGGAACTGGGGCTGTGTTATCCATGGCTCACTGGTGGGGAGTTTACTGATTTTATGCCAGAGGTGCCTCCAGCTTTTTTTTTTCCCTTAATCAGTGCCTAAACCTACCAACTCCATGAAATCTCAGGTAGCAATTGCTCTTCTGCCAGTATTGCAAAGCCTTTTCATCTGTTCAGCTCTCAAGAAGGAAGATTTATGAGAAGAAGATACTAATGCTCATTTCTACTGGAGTGCAGCAAATCATTTAGCAAACATTTGGTAGCCTGACCTGCATTTAAGATGGGCCTTTGCTTGATGGATATATTGTTTATTCTGAACCAACTTTTTATGTCTAAGTTTGGTAATGAATATTGGGCCTAATTTTTCAGTGCTGTTGTTAGCAGCTCTTCAACTGATTTTGACTAGTGTTGAAACTTCAGCACTTGAATAGACAGGCATTTCAATGAAGAGTTTTGAACTTTCTCCTAGGGTCCTGTTCCTAATCCTCATTTTCCAGCTGTAGAATTAGACATCAGGAGAGCATGTTCATTCCTTGATCTATTATTATGTGATTGCAGAAAAGTCATTTATCCCTGTTTCCTTATCTCTACAAGATAAATAATATTTCTCTGCCTTTGGAAAGTTGATTCATTTTTTTTAAGTGGCATAATCAGTACCAGTCCTTCCTATTATGTATGAAAGAATTCATAAAATGTGGCGCATTTTTGTATTGTCAGTGTTAGCGACAAAATGAAAATAAAGCCATACTTTGCAAGGTGTAAAATTTCACTGTCAGCATTTCATCTTAATACATCTGCCCAAAACAGGAAGGAGAAAAAAGCCACTCTGATCTCCACACTACATTAACTACAAATGAAAGGCTGTTCCCATTCTTTTTCATAGAGCTTTTCATGGGTAATCATTAACGTCTCATCTTAATAACTTTTCTTCACTTTACAGTAATGTCATGTTTAGTAGGGAGTCATTCTTTGGATCAAGCCTCACAAGAAAACTTAGGTATATACATTCAAGTAACAGTTGAGCCTTATTCTTTTCATATTTCTTGCATGCCATTCCCTGCCTGCACTTTCTGTTTTTACTACAGTAGTTCACCTACTACCATCAAAAGTAAGGGGCAATAAGACTGAAAAGTTATTAAGCATAAAAAGGAAGCTGCATGACCTTGCAAATAGTTAATTGTTCTGCTGTTCAGAAAATATGGAATATAATCCTGGCTCTCCCAATGATATGCTTAGAAAGAAGTGCTTTTCTCTGTTTTCATAGAATGGGAGTGATACTAACCTACTCTGCAAATCATTTTGAAATTTACTGTAAAAAATATATACTGTAAGAGCTAAACACTGTTCCTTATGCAGTCCCAACCCTGCCAACACAAATTCATGCAAGTTACTTGGAATTTGAGTTCACTGGAAGAGCGTCTTTGCATGTGTATTTGCAGGTTTTGGTTCAGCAAATGGAAAAGAAGTGGATGCTTTTGATCACCTGAAAAAGTTAGTGACATGCTTGAATATCTTGCTGAACTGTGACCTAAGATGAGGGGCAAGAACTTTATCTTCCTTCAAAGAGTCATAGAAATAATCCTTCTCATTTCAGGAATAAGAAAGAAATATCGTTAGAAATAATATTTTGACTGAATTGTCAAACATTTTATCCTATCTCATACAAACACTTTGCTGTCATTCAACTTTAGCTCATTGTTCTCATTTCCACTTCATTCAACAAACATGAAATCATCAACACACAACTCAGCTTTTCTAGCTGAAGCTCTTCAACTTTTGGAGAGCAGCTAGTGAAGCTCTTTGTTTCTTGATTTGGTGATTTGCCCATACAAAATGATCAGAAGACACTGATTTTGCAGTTTGATTTGCTTTCTAGTGGTTGATACATGGAGATATGTTCACTTCAAAGCAACAAGTGGGTCAACATCCATATGTTTTCTACCTACAATGGCTGCATGCATTGGTGAAAAATATCCATCCTGTTTTGACAAAGAATTGGATTTGGATTATTCTTCCCATAGATTTATGTGACATTGTTTATTTTTACCCATTCCCAATCACTTTTGAAAGTGTGGATGAGAAAAGGGGCTAAGCAAAGGCCTTTAGTGTGCACAAGGTCTCTTTCTCTTTCTGAAGGGCATCAAAATTAAACCCAAGTTGGACTTGTTTCTGGGTAGATAATCTGGGTGGTAGATGAGTTTGGATTTGGAGTCACACTCAGCCTTAAATACCAATGAGGTATTGAGTTAGAAGGGATGTTTCCTCCTCAGACATTAGAAACTTGTAAATTTAGACCTCAAGGTTCAGGATGCAAAGTGACAATTTTAGTTGTCAGGAAGTTGGGGTCAACTATTTTGAGATTAAACATTTTTGTGAGATCTTCTCTGCAGAAAAGAATGTTACTCAATAAAAGGGAAAGCTGATTGGCCAAAATTCAGAAGTACCTTGGAAGTGCAGAATGTTCTTTGTTTTATCTTAAGGAAACTCATGGACTCTCAGAGATCATTTGAACACGTTCACTGCAGGATTCATGTCTGTCTTCATAACATTAGTTTTGTTCTAATTTCTATTAAGAAGAGTTCAAATCAGATTACTTCTGGAAATGTCATTCAGAATGTTTTTTTTTTCCAAATCTAATTTCACCCATATAAGTTCAGCTGATAAGGTATACAAATATTGGAGTAAACATGACTGCCTTTTGCTTCTAGTTGCTTGAGACTAACTGAATCCAGTGATTAGCTAACCTGTGAAAAATATGGAAAAATTCCCTGATTATTTTTATTTCTTGTTAGGTGAAAGTGGTAAACACATGGCAGAGGGCTGTTTGATTCACTGTTAGCATTAATTTATTATTTTCCTCCTCATACATGTGCCATTTGTTTATGAAACTCCAATACTAGGCAGAGGACAGAGAGGAGAGTATCTGGCTTGCATGATGGGATGTAACTGCATTGTTTCTTTGCATGTCTGTTTCTGGAAAAGTATTTCTAGTTCAGTGGTTCCCACTCTTTATTCTGAGCAAGGGTAGAACATGTGCTGCAGAAGCCAGACATCTCTTGTATATCCAGCCACCAAATTAATCCCTCAGGTGGTCCAAAATAATTCCCACTGCTCTTGGGGAAAAAGAATTTGAGAGCTGAATTTTTCTTTAGGAAGGAAGAAGCTATCTGCACTGCTTCCACCTTCCTGCCTTTATTTATCTACCACAGAGTTAAGGAATTCTCATCCTGGGCCCCCATTTCAAACACATAGGTTTTGGAACACATGAGGGAGAGGATGCAATAGCACACAAGACAAGCAATGGAAACATATCCAAGGTAGTCAGAGAAACTACCCTGCATTTTTAGCAGCATGTTTGGGATGTTCCTGGAACTGTGTTGGAAGCTGGGAATCACGTTTTATTGAATGTAAGAGAGACAAATGAAACAGGCCCACTGTTCCAAGGGGAGGAAGAGTAGCTAACACCAGCAGGAGGATTTGAAGGAGGCAGGCAGCAGTACATGAAGCTGTGGGTGGGAACCACTGTCCTAGCCATTCTCATGGAGGATGATGTGACCTGCGCATGCTTCATACCCCGGGACTGAGCCATGCGCATGCTGCCTTAATGAAGGAGATTGTGTCATGAGAACAAATGTTGCCTAAGTCTTTTCAAAAAAAGATCAACGAAAACAAAAACCCCAGCAGATCCAGATTTCATCCCTTGGAAATGAGAATAAAGTCCATTTCTTTTCCTGATGACAACTAGTCATTATCTGGAAAGAAGCTTGGGTTTTGTTTTGGGTTCTTTTGTATACAACATACTGTTGTATTTTTGGATGTGAAGCTGATTATTTATTTTCTGATGATTCTACTGCTCTGGCTGCCTGGTTATGAACACAATTGTCATATTTATTGCATAAACATACTGTTACGAATCTGAATGTTACTTTAAGGGTTAATCATCAGGATTCAATTAAAAAGGAGGGCTTCAGCTCAGGTAATTTTAACTTAGACTAGAGACCTGCTTTTTAAATGACCTCTCATCTAGATCTTTCTGTAATCAGTAAAAAAAGCCAAGTTCCCCAAGCATAAAGTCTTCCCAAGCTGAACCACACTCTTCCCACTCACTGGTTAGGGTTGCTAACTTCCCACTGATTACAGAAATAAGTCTAAAGATTAATCTTAGACAGGAAGTTAAGCTTTTTTAACAGCTTAAGGCAGATCAGATGAGTTCTAGCTCCTAAATTTAAGATGCTAGAGCAACAGTCTTGGGAGAATAGTTTGTTCCTACACTGACATTTATCAATGAGGATAGCTGAGAAACTCCCTGGAAAGAGTTTGGGAATGCTTTTAGTTCGTGTTATCTACTGTAAATCCCACCCCACAAAAAAAAAAAAAAAAAAAAAAGAAGCACCCCACAAATGCATGTGCCTACATATCCAGTAGAAAATGTCACTGTAAATAAGTAGAGTTTTGTGTTGAATGCAGAGGATTATTTTGATCTGTTTTGATCTATGAGAATGATATCAAATTTTGGTCAATCCTATTCTTGTATAGCTCCATGACAGAGCTTTCTGCATATGTTTCCTATTCCATTGGAAAAAAAAAATTCACTAGAGTAATGTTTTGGATACTTTGCATCATCCACTGACCCTTTTCTTTCTGGTCTGATTCTTATAGAGCCTTGCAGTGCACTTTCTGGCTCCTTGTGTTTTGGTAAGGAAGGCAATTATAACAGGAGTTTTAAGGGGGAAATTTTGGGATATCTGGATATGCATTTTGAAGCACTAAGCAGGTTTCGGGGGAGAGAGTCAAAGACCACCTGTAATGGCAAGTATTTTCTTCTTGTATAGTATTAAACTGCTTTTTATAAACAGTAGCAATCTTCTTTCTAATCTATTTTTCTGCTTCTTCATATTTCAGGTTCCATACCTTAAATGTATTCTCTTGAGATCTTCTCTGTAGTGTTACTAACTCAAATCTTGTCACATTTAATATGTTGCTCGAAGCCAGTATGTAGTATGTGATCTCTTCTTGCCTTTGAGGAAATTACCTCATCATCTGAAATCATCTGATTTTCACTGCTAGATTTAATCCTTCTCATCCCATAAGGTCTCTCCAGAAGCTCTGAATCTTAAAATCCTGAAGAATAGGTGGACTACACTCTTCCTTTCATTTGAGATTCGTCTATCAATTATCTATCATTGGTGACCTGTTAATCCTCCCACCAGGAAAAAACTGATCTCCACAAAAAGCCTTTTGAATGTACCTTTTTTTTCAGATCCAGCGATAAATTTCTTCATTTTATTATCATTGAACAGATCTCATTCTAAAACTGCTTCGATTTCTTCCTTCTTGTAGCTTAGCTTATTTCGGTCTCCTTCTGTCTACAAAGATCACCACCATACCATGCTTGCCTAAGTGCTCTTTTTTCTTTATATTAAAGAAATGCTCACTCTCACAAGCTCATTCTCTCTAACACCTTTAGCTCATCAGTTTATATTGCCTGGCTGATTCTGTTATCACTCAGCTAGATTTTTGGTGCATTTCTTTGCATTAAAATTCTTTTCAGTGATATGCATGATTCCAGACTCTTCTTGACCATCCTTCTCAAAATTGATTCCTCCTTCAAACTTTGATTTTATTATTATTGAGACGTGAATTTATTTTCCCTCCTTTACCCTCCCAAGAAACCTCCACACAAATCATTCTGCTGACTTTTACTTCCTCGCCTTTATTTTTTCATGCCCTTTCAAAATTGCTCAGTAGTTGTTATCTTCTCCTCTGTATATTTTTCCTACATGGGGTAGCCAAGTGCTTGAAGAAAGCAAATTTCACAGAAATGCCATGGAGTTAAGACATCTGTCTTGTAAAGCAATACTGCTCCAAACATGGCCTCTGAAGTAGAGAAGTGAAAGAAAAGAGGTCACAGGATTCTTCCTGAGTAGAACACTTGTTGGCATTCTGCACTCACCATTTAGAGCACCTTGGTGGGTCAATCAGATCAAGATTCCAACCCAAAAGCAAGAACTATGGAAGTAATTTTTAAAATGGGTTCCCAAAACGTAGTTTGTAAAAAAATATATGTTACTTGTTGACATCCATGAAAAAGAAGTAATTAATCCCTGATTTTTGCTAGTTACATTTGTCTGCACTTTGTGCCATGAATTCCTCAGGAAATGACAATAGGGCAAAGTCTGAGTAATACTGATATCATTCACTTAGACTGTTCTAATTCTTCACTCAATCCAGGCTTTCATCTCCTGGAAATGCTGATATATCAGGACTAATTGTGTGTCTCCATACACAAGTCGTTCTTAGTTTCTAGTTCCATACTTGTACACACATATGCATGCAATGACAGGACAAGAGTCTGAATTTACTGGGCTGCATTCACAAGTATTGGCATATCAACAAGAAAATTCAGAAGGGCTGAAAAAACTTCCTACCCAAAGCTTAAGTGCTTTCATCTTTTTGTGACAGGGAAGCCCATATTTCATTACTTCCAGGGTCAAAGATATATTAATCAGAAACAGCTAGTAGAAATAAGGACCTCAGTAATTAATGTAGAAAAAACAACAAAAAAACTTGCAACAGCTGTGATGTTCAATGCTCAGATCAGGTGTGAATTCTGTATGCTGTAAATTACAGTATTTTTACTAGAGTTAGCACTCTTATGAAAGCTGTGCTGCCATCAAGCATATCTTTAAGTCTGTCCTTTATCATTTTAAGAGGAATTTCCAAAGGACTTCCATTATGGCGGAATACTGCAACAGACAGAGCTCTCAGATAGAAATAGATGCTTTTTTCACATTTGCAAGGTCAGCAGCCAAGTCTTCATCTTTGTCTCCTATGTCCTTGCATGGTGGACCCTCCCCAGACTTGCCTCTCCTGCCAGCAGGTTTAGTGGCTTCAGCTGATCCTACTGCACAGATCCCTTACTGGATACCTATTAACTCTTTCCTCTGGTAACCATGGCTGTTTATCCTTCAGCTCTGCTCTCACCCGTGGCTCTCAGAAACCTGCCAGCTATGATGGCTTCTTCCCTCCCTCTCCCCCCACACTCAACCTGCTTGACCTGGTATCCCACACAGAACTGCCTCTTGATCATGTGTGCACAATTCACCTCTCCTAGAGCTGTCCCACACTTCAGCATCCAGGAATATGTTAAAAGGCAGGCTTTCTTCCCATGGCTTAGCCCTGCTTTTTTTTTTTAAATAACAAATTAACAAATGTTTGAGCAGCAAAGTGAACAAGCAAACCAAATACTTATACCATCTATCACCTAAAAAATGTTCAGAACATATATAAGCTTATATACTCAGTAGCAGATTCCTTTTCTGCTGCTCTTTTCAGTAGTATTAGTGATTGCCTTTTAGATGGTTTCAGTCATCAGGCTGTCAGGGTTAGTGATGCTGGTAAAATGGCAGATAGATGAAATTCTAGCTGTATGTTGTCACTGAAGGACAAGTGTCTTTGGGCAGTAAATCTATAAGAGGACAGTGTAAGGAATCATCAGAGGAACAAAATATGTCACTTCACTACAACTCACATAGGTCACCTCAATTCTTGGGGTAGTGAGAGATGGCTGACAGCAAATGTTGGAGAGAACAGGGCAACCTGCCCTGCCATGTACATAGTCATTGCTTGGCAATGCCTTGCCAGAGTTTTGCTGGTAATTTACTTTGTTCACAGCACATCTGACTTTCTTTTACTCCTGACTATGCACAGCTCTTCTATGAATAAACAGCTGAGAGAGTTGGGGTTGTTGCCTTTGGATAAGAGAAGGCTCTGGGAAGACCTCAGAGCACCTTCCAGTAACAAGAGGGGGACTGCAAGAAAGCAGGACAGGGACTTTTAGCAAGGATATGTAGTTACAGGGCAAGGGGGAATGGGTTCTAACTGAAAGAGGGCAGATTTAGACTACATATTAGGAAGAAATTCTTCACTGTGAGGGAAGCGAGGCACTGGAACAGGTTGCTCAGAGAAGTTGTGGATGCCCCATCTCTGGAAGTGTTCAAGGCCAGGCTGGATGGGGCTTTGAGCAACCTGGTCTAGTGGAAGGTATCCCTGCTCATGGCAGTAGTGGTGTTTTTGTCCTAATACTAAAACTAATGCTTCAGGCATGCTACATGAGCTGAAGCACTATGATACCTGCACGGAGAGGATAGCAAAACCCTCTGTTAACAATTTCAACATTTATACAAAAGTGCTCATAAAAAGCATTTAATTATCTGTGGAGCTTAACTGTTGCTTATGAAGACATTCATTTATTGTGGTAGCCCCAGCAGTGTCCTTGTATACAAAACATTTACTTAACCCATTATATACTTAAAGCACCATGAAAACAAATTAATAGTGTACAAAGGAGGAAAATGTTTACTTTTGCTTATTTTGTAGCCAAAAGCTGGGTCTCTTGGATCGGGTTCGTGGTACCAATACTAAAGGAAAGCTATTTACCCCTCTGAATGTAGATGCCATTGAAGAAAGTCCTTCAAAAGAACCTAAGAATGTTGTCTTGAATAATAAGGAGCGTTTTCGCACTGCATTCCGAATGAAAGCGTACGCTTTTTGGCAAAGCTCAGAAGGTAGCCCATCTGTGTTGGTTTGTTTCTGTGCATCCCCTGTTCTCCCCATTTTACTTTGTTCCTCTGCATCTTCTGTTGAAGGTTTGTGACTTTCTGGGCTAAGCACGTCTGGTACCTGGTTTTACGTGGTACAATTGGGGAAGCCCAAGAAATGAATCCTGGAGTCCAGGCAACACAGTGCTTGAAAAAAGACAGGAACCATCCATGAAAACAGCAATTGATATGGGATAAAGCCAGTGTTGCAATCAGCCTATTTGACCTAGAAAAAGAGGGCACGCTGGGCAGTGAATGTGTATCCCCTAAAAAACACATGCCATCATGGCTCGGTTTATCAGCAGGGCTGCTATCCTAAGGTAGCTCCCTCCTAGACTGCATCCAGCCCTGCACTAGCCTGTGTCCAGGCATCTCAAATATCTCCTTATTGCCATCTCATAAAAACGTGTTTTATAGAGTCAAGGTATTCTTCCCCTCCTCTCTCCCCAGGCCCTCTGCCCCTAAGCAGATTTCCATTGGGTGTCCACACATTTTTCCTCTCCACAGGACAAAAATGTCCACAGGGCATTTTCCCTCTCAGCTTCCCTGACCACACGTTTTCCTCTTCTTGCCTATAGCATCCAAATGGTCTTTAAATAACAGTTTCTCCTTTATTGAACCAGCTGGCATCAGTGCTGGACATGCTACCATAGATATAGTCTGGGTGTCCACACTGGAAACTTGACTATTCTTCTTCATGAGGGTACATGAGCTCCAAGCAGTGCAAGTGAAAGGAGAGCTTTGCCTGTGGCTTCTAAACCTGTTTTAGCCTTTACGTAAAATATTCGGGCAAAGATCCACTGTAAAGGAAGATATGTTCCTAATATTTCAGAAATGCTGGAATCTGAGAGGAGATCCCTCAAATAATGTGACTTATAGATGTCCCAGAACTATTAAATCCCTTTCAAGAGCTGAACAGCGAAAGAGGAACATGTAAGAGATGGTCCTTTACTAAATTGCACTTACTTTAAGCAGCGCTTTAGTCAGACAGACATCCCTCTAATTACTGTGTGGTCAGATGTTCACACAGCTGGTTTTTGGCCTGCTTTGCAGATGCAGGAACAGGGGAACCCATGGCAGAAGACAGAGGCGACAGTAATGACTTTCTTATGGAAGATATGATCCCCACATTCAAGACAGCCATCCGAGCTGTCAGGTAAATATCTCCACTGATCCTCAATGCCTATTTTTTTTCCCCTCTCTTTTTTCCCCCTTTTTTTTTTCCCAATGTTTATGCTTCAAGAAATCACTTTACTATATTGCTACATGTTGATTCATTGTTGCTGTTATTGCTTTTTTTAAAATGCAATAGAATAGATAATTCTGACTGCATTCAAAAGCACAAGACAGACCCTATTCAAAGGCTGTTGAAAAGATGCAGAAAGGAGACTGTTTTTCAATAACATTGACCATGTCATTTTTGCAAGATAATTACATTTATTATAAAGTAATATCGTATACAGTTCCTCATTAAAATACTATATAAATATGATATATTACTCAGTTTAGTAACTAATATTTGTATTAAACTGGAATTTTCACTAAACAAAAAATTCTGACCTGACTCTGTTCTTCTTTATTCACAATCATATGAGTGTGCAATATACTTTTCAGCTATCATCTTTTAATAGATGCTGAGGTCTCCATTTCAGCAGTTTTTGGCTTGTGACATGTGTCACCTCTATTTTCCTGTCACAAGAGATATTCCCTGGGGTTAGAAAACTCCTAGTAAGTCTCGATAATGTGCTTAGCACATCAAGCAAATAGAATTCATTCACTGATGCCCTGTTACTTCTCAATGTTCTGTTTTCCCTTGAAAAATGCTCCCATGTGAAAATACTCTGCTTTCATTGCAATTGCTGTTTATTTTATTCCAGAAGTTACTAAGTTTTGGGTCAGGGACTTATCACCTTCCAGGTGAAATACTGCAAGTCTGGAGTGCCCCAAAATCATCTAAGAAAAACTTCAAGGAAGATGGTTGTAAAAATATAACCATATATTATATGTATATAACCATAGTATATACTCTCCTGGTTCTCTTCCAGTTGGGTGCAGGAGAACCAGCCACTAAAAATCCCAAGTTTTCTCAAGCCTGTTGAAAGCTTTGTCCCACAGGCTTTGCTCGTGTTACGCATGACTGCTTCCCTCCCAGTGGAAGTTTCTTCATCCCTATGTCCTCCATAGCTTTCCCTTTCTTTCCCTGATACCTGCTTGCTTTCTAACTCAGAGACATGCTACTTATTACTTTTGCAAAACTTCTTTCCCACATCCTGTCCAAATCTAATTGATTCATGCAATTTCCCTTTAAACTCAATCAGGAGCCAAGATTTTTTTTTTCTTGTGTAGTTTATCCAGACCTTGAATGTTAATGGGAAGTAATTCTTTCAGACAACACCACTTAATGGATTTCAGGGTCATGACCAAGGAGATTTTAAATTGAAATTGCTAACAGTGTGATTTCTGTTTTTCATTCATTTTCTTTTAATGTATAGTTTTGCTGTTATCATATATGATTTGGCTAAAATAGGCATAGATATAATTCTGAAATCTTGAAAGATTTATAAGCAACAGAGTTGAAGAGTCAGCAGCCCTTAGAGAGTCATAATAGAATTATGTTTGCTAAATGAAAATTTATGCAGATTTTAAAAACATTAAAAAACCCACCAACATTAAATAAAAAACAAGTCAGAATCTTAACAGATAACAGGAATTCCCCAATTCAGACCAATGAGAACATGAAGACTACTGAGAAAACAAACCCCCAGAACCCAAGCCTAAAACATATGAAGATAAAGATTTCATTCTTTAAACATGTTTCTTCTATTTGTTTAATCTACCAAGACTTAACAGTTTAAAACAATGTATAAACAGAAAAGAATGAAAAAAAATAATGCCAAATATTTTTTAAGTGCTCTGGCCAGCAGTGGTCCTTATTATAAGAATTCTGTTACTAATTACTAGGTCATTTTATAATAATCGCAATAATAACAGCAATTATATTATTATCATTACAACAACAAGAAAAATGTTATACTGCTGATTCTTCAAGGACAGTTCAAACAGTTTTAATAATTTTTCTTCTCTTCACAACTTGAACTGCTGCTAACTTCCTAACTTCCACATTTATATCTAATTTGCGTTTCCTATCCAAAATTCTCCCAGGTGCAAAATGAAACCCAAGATGAAAATGATTCAGCATTACATATACTATAAATTAGCTTTGTAATGGGCCAAAGCATTAAAAAGCAACTTCAACTTCACAACTTCAAAATCTCCCATGGCTTGTATTGTTCAAATTCAAACTCCAAATAAGATTCTGTAGCTTTTAACCATTTGTTTTATCCTATTAATTATGAAAAGCCAACTATTAAGTATTTCCAAATGTGATATGATGTTAGAGATTCTCTGCTTATATTTTATTGACTTGTTTGGAAATAACGTGCTCAATTTCCAAACACCCAGTGTATTTATCAATTATTTGATGAAGCTGGAAATTATCATTATGAAGTTTATATAATTAATATTTTTTTCTGTTTATTATGCAGAATACTACAGTTTCGTCTCTATAAAAAAAAATTCAAGGAGACTTTGAGGCCTTACGATGTAAAGGATGTGATAGAGCAATACTCAGCAGGGCATCTTGATATGCTTTCCAGAATAAAATACCTTCAGGCAAGGTAAGAATCTTCTGGTTAATGGGGAAAATGTTTAGCTTTGCTGGCAAAATAAAGGCATACTCGGCCTATTTGTGTAAGGTCACCCGGAAGCTATGACTTTGCATAGTGTAGCTGGTCCATAAGAAAACTTTTTCACCCAAGAAAAAAGGCAAGTGAGTAGCTAGCAGGGATAACTGCAGCAAGAGGCCACTGGCTCAGATTTAGAACAAGGACATTAAAGTCTTGTGAATTTTCCTGACCATTGCCTTATTTGATCTGGATCAAGTTTCTCTCCTTTATCCATATGTTATAGATGATAAATAAAAGCAATAGCTGCTCTACATGAGCTTTTCTTTGGGCTGGATTCTCTGCTGACCTGTGCCAAGTGAAACATCTCATATAAGTGCAAAAATGCCTCAGCACAGAAGGTTTCACATCCCCTTCATTCAGGTGCAAATTGACATAACTGAAAAAAGAATGGTCTTTGTGACTGTTCAGGTCAATCTTCCCCCGCAGTTGTTTCCTCACAGAATCGGTTCATCGCAATGTGCTTTTGAGGCATGTCTACACAAATTTGTGCTGCTCACACCCTGAGCCATGAGCACAGGTCAGAGCTTGAGGCCCTGAGCTTGTCTGGTCCTGAGTGCACGTGTGTGCACGTGTGTAGCTCTTTAGCTCAGTCCCAGTACAGCACTGTCCAAGTTTCCTGAGGCCCCCAGTCACTCTGAGCAGCAAAATGCCACACAGACAATTCCTCTCATGAATGGGCTGAGGGAGAACAACCCTTGCTGCACACTCAGACCTTGGCTTTGTAAGGCTGCTCTGGTCCTTTTGTTGGACATTGTAATTTCTTATTTCGAAGTGATTTTCCATGTACTGGGCTATCTCTTTTTCAAGTATATAACATGTCTGGTTCCTACCTCACTATTATTGCTCTAGAAAAACTTCTTTCTTTGTTTAATTATGTTCCACAAACCACCTTTGTTACTCTGTAAAATGAGCTCTGCATCACATGAGCTTAGATTTTTTAATGCAGTAATATCTTCTTGAACTCAGGAAGTTGAGGAGTGCTCATGATATTAGAAATCTCCACCATCTATGGCAGGTTCTATATGTCTTATACTAGAGATTCTTCCATTACCTCAGACTGAGGTGTTGCATGATTTTGGACAACAGCACTTCTCAGATACTCTCTTGACTCCTGGCAGCACTAAAAGTGCCTGATATGATTAGGTCCATCTCACACAGTGGTTATGTCAGAGCTTTGGGGGATGGAGTCACATTCCAGGCAGTCAGGGCAAGAATCACAGCACAGCCTCAGCCCTGGTGTTCAACTCAGCAACACCATAAAGAATCACCAGTGGCAGAACTGCAAAATTTCAACAGCCATGTTGCATCTATACAGACCTTTTTAGAGGTCTTTGAAGAAAAAACATAATCCTGCAAAACCATATGAGATTCCTCTTATGGTTAACAGAGAGCTAGCCAGCACAATTGTGCTTTATGGCCCATCTAATCCCTGCTTAAACCAGATGTATTCATGTGATCAGCTGAATCTCCCTTACTGTCTCACAAATTTTCTTCACCGTGTTGGCTGGATCTCCACTGATTGCAACTGGACACAACCAGGGAGGTGCATCCTACTTGTTGAGTTTATGAATAGCAAGGGGCCATAGAAGTTTGAGGAGACATGGACTGATGTCTCAGCAGTGCTTGGGGGCCTGGCCAATATCTAGCTATTTTTGTGAGGCTTGCCTTGAGCTTTTTCAAGTTCCATTTTCAAAACTCCACGGGGCACTGTGAAGCCATGCAATGCATGGATTGTCTGATCATACAAGCAGCTGGTCTGTGCACTAGTGCTGACTGGTATCAGGTCAGTTTGGGGTGTGGGCTGAAAGAACAGAGCCTTGCTTGCACCTGAGCAGCTGGGTATGCCAAATGAAAGAACATTTTGATATAGTAAAAGAGTGTAATTAAATGTGCTGGAGCCTTCCAAACAGTCCTTTTGCTTTTGTGCCAAATAAAAAGTCAAGTAGGATTCATTGTGAAACTTCATTTAAAGTTATGTTTTTTAAACTAAAAAAAAAAATAAAATAGTAAATACAAAAATATTACTGGACAATTAGATACAGCAACTGCCAGAATGTCTTTGGTTTATTAAGAATTTAAGGAATTCTACCTTTCACCAAGTTCTGATTTTCATTATCCAGCACAGAACCTGATGGGTCTCCTGACATTTTAAAGAGCAGCTGCTATTGGGGATTTTTTGACAATCATGCTGTTTGGTTCCTTTGAAGGAAAAGAAGTCATGTGTTTCAAATGTTGAAATTTGGAAACTGTGAGCTAGAGCATTACTTAATTGCCATTAAATTACCACGTAATTGCAATTCAGTTTATTGGTTGTGGACCCAGAACAGAACAAACACACCATGACCCTCAACATATTACCAAATCAACACCTGCTTTGTTTTTGAATCTTTGCTTCAGACATGCATAGCATATTTTGTCACGTGTTAGCATTTGGAGATGGACTTATGCGGTTGCACTTTTCTTTTTTTCAGAGTAGATATGATTTTTACACCTGGACCTCCATCTACTCCCAAGCATAAGAAATCCCAAAAAGGAGGAGCTTTTTCTTACCCTTCACAACAGTCTCCCAGGTGAATTTTTTTATACCTAGTATTTAGCACAGCCCAATACAGAAATAAAAAGTTTATTCATACCAATAAGCATGACCTTTATTCATCCACAGTTATAGTGATGATACTGAGAGCATATGTTGCTGTAAGATATGCATGTGGGTAAATGTTGAGCCAGAAAGTCATTACCTTCCATAAAAACAAAGTATGATGGAAATCTAAGCAATGGCTTCTTATTTGTCTAGGTCAGCTTCTCCACAGTTTGGAAATATGATTTTAAATTAATTACACACATTTGATTGCTGATGTGCTGAATTTCTAACATTCAACTAGTAAACTCACTTAAAAGCTTGAAAGTAACAGTAGTTCGAAAGTAAACTAGTTATCTTCCCAAAGTGAAAAAAGCTTCATTATGGTCCCCACCAAATGCCAAGCAAAGATTTTTAATGCTGCTGCTTTTAAAACAATGACTGCTGAGAGATGCTCAAAATAAATTGTAATACCAGGTTTCTGGGTGTGAAAGTTGCAGCATCTTATTGTATTTCTGCATTCCTGATAGCAAGAATTCAATAATAAATGACATTTCTTCTGTTGTTTACAACTATCAATCTGTCAATAAATACCCATCAAGAACCACACAAGACCATCAACAATCTGTCCCCAAAGCTGTTGTAGTTGCTCAGAACAAAAACAATCTTACAGAAAATAAATTATCCACCCCGGAAAAAATCTGAACCCATGTAAATGGGAAGAGAGAGACATAAGCATATGGAAGAGACAGTGGTCATTTGGGAAACAAAGCAGATTGCAAAAACTGAATGAGCCCATATCACCAATAACTCAATGTGGCAAACCTGACATATTTTAGTTATAGTTTCTGCTCTGGTAAGATCACAGCTGTATTTTGGATTTTGTCAGAAGGCAAAGAACTGGACCTGTTAAAAGTTTTACAGTGTATTTGTTACAATTCATGTTAAAGAGCAAGTGCTTAGAAACTGTTTTCCTAAACTTTGGCATAAGTTATGGGAAGACACATATTCCTTTGAGGTTGGTTTAGAAACCATTTGATAAAGTTTTAACTTGATCATGAGCAGCCTAGCTCCCATGAAGTTATAAATCAAAGCTCTTTAGTTAGAGATCATCTTCTTACCTCCTGAAGTTTGTCCATATGGTGGACAGGAAGGAAGAAATTGCATAAATGAAAATTCACTCTGGAATCTGCTGCCAGACTGTCTCTTTTCAGCATTTCCAGTCTCTGCCACTTATTATTTGGTTTAATGAAATCGAGAAAAAAACCACCCTCATCCTTGAAACTCAGATTCAGTCTCTAAATACACTAATCATAAAGAATTAGATTTGAAAACACATGGCCATCTGCAGACCCACTAACTAGACTATCTCGATATTTGTCACAAACCTGAAATTATTCCACCAAGTCAGAGATTAATTTCAACATTATTTTGAAATTTTTTTTGCTTTTGTTTTTTCTTAATTTTTATCTTAATCGTGAACAAAAAATATTAAATTAAAAATCAAGAGTACAATTTTTAGAATTGAATTAGAATCACACAGAATTTTTACTCTTGTTTTTATGATAAATAACTAAATGGTCTCCGAGGGTCTATAAGAATGCATCACCAAGATGTGAATTGTTTCTGATAGAAATTGCTTACTGCGATGCAAAAATTGAGCACTAATTAGAGTTATTAATTCCTTTTAGAAATGATCCGTATGTAGCCAAAGCATCTACAGCAGACACTGAAGACCAAAGTATGATGGGCAAATTTGTCAAAGTTGAACGACAGGTATGTAATTTCATGACAATGATGGAGGCTGAGGTGCTTGTACAGAAATGGTACAGCTGACATAAATTCTGTATGACTCTGGCTGACCCAGGAAGAATTCTACTGCTGGTTGTTAGTTTTTCATGATAGAATTTACTTACCTGGGATGTGTGCATTTTGAAACCTGTTGAATCAATATCATTATATATGGCAGAAGATCCTAACCATGACGTTTAAGTGGGACTTTTTCATTTCCCTAAACACCATATTCATCACACCTGATGTTCTGTTGTGAGCAACCCCTTCTTCTGCAGGGTCTGGCACCCAAAATGACTGCCCCCAAAGGTATTTTTGGACCCTATCAAAAGATAAAGGGAATGAGTCCTGAAATGTAACCCTGATGTTGTGGGACTGTTAAGAGTTAGAGAATAGGTCTGTCTGCAGACGTACTTCCATATGTTGTATTTTGGTAATGGCTATTTACCATATGGTATCAAGATTTTGTAATAATGTTGTAGACTGCTGGTGGCTACTGGACTGTTAAATATCCAGCTACACTAAGAATTTTTTCGGCACAGTTCATAGGGACAAGTCTTCTTATTCTGAGGCAGTTAGAGGATAAGCTGGCATTCACTGCAGTCCAGCTTGTGAGGGAAGTTCATGATTATCCTGTAATTACCTTCATGATCAATAAAGATGACAGCACACCATTGCTGGAGGCAGTGCATGTGTGGAAGCGTGGATTCTCTTGTTGAACAACTGACTTGAGGCAATGTCATGACATTGGTATTTTTCAGGTAAATGACATGGGGAAGAAACTGGATTTTCTTGTTGATATGCATATGCATCATATGGAACAGCTGCAAATACAAGTCGCCGAGATAAGTCCATTGAAAGAAACTGCTTCTCCTGCAAGGGAGAAGAGAGAAGAAAACAAATATTCTGAATTAAAAACAATAATATATAAATACACTGAGCAGTGTGCTCGTGAAACTCCTTACAACTTCCAGCAGGTTCCAGTCAACAAAGTCAGTCCTTATGGTTTCTCAGCACGAGGTCATATGACTCATTCACAACCTTTATCAACAGGTGGGCAAAACTCTGGCAAACTGCAAGCCACACCTTCCTCAACTTCGTATGCAGAAAGGCCAACAGTTCTGCCTATATTCACGCTGATGGACTCCCAGGTTAGCTACCACTCCCAAGGAGACCTACAAAGCCCTTATTCAGACAAGGTGTCTCCAAGGCAGAGAAGGAGCCTAACAAGAGACAGTGACACTCCATTGTCCCTTCTCTCAGTCAACCATGAGGAACTCGAGCGCTCCCCAAGTGGCTTCAGTATCTCCCAGGAGAGAGACGACTTCCCGTTTGGCCCCAACGGGGGATCGGCGTGGATGAGAGAGAAACGCTACCTAGCAGAGGGGGAGACAGACACAGACACAGACCCTTTCACACCAAGTGGCTCCATGCCTTTGTCTTCTACAGGAGATGGGATTTCAGATTCAATATGGACCCCTTCGAACAAGCCAGTCTAAAAGTGCATGTGGGGGCAGTCACTGGTTGACTTCTCCGTGTAATGTAAGCATACTTTGTATATCTCACTTACTCTACACCCAAAGCTTACTAGTTCCAAACACCAATGGCTGCATAAGATGCATGTGATATTAGTGGTAGTCATTCTGCACCATTTCATACGATTTAATAATGCAGTTTTTTTCATGCTACCAAAACTAAGGAGCTTAGTTTTGAGCATGGTTTGCATGACTTTACCCTGTATAAATGGTACAGCTGATTTCTTCTATGATACATATCTATCTGATACTCTTCAATACAACAATGGTGAATTGATAACAGGCAAGATATGGTGGTCCTTGCTATATTTTGTAAACAGAGCAGCAAAGTAAAAATATTTTCAGGAGCAATATCCCTTTGTGGAAACATAATGTGTTAATCATTTTTCAGTATAAGTCAATATCTAACCAACCTAGCCAAGAACTTCTAATGTCAAAAGCAGGGAAAAAGCTGAGACAAAGTATGACCTTATTGAAATGGGTTTCTGAACTAAGTGTTTCTCATGTGATTTCTTATATAATTACCCCTGAAATAGAATGCTGAAATTAAGTTAAGGGTAGAATTTTAAATCATCAAAGCCACCTTCTGGGATTGATCATAGCTATCTATTTATTGTAAAATGTAAATATAAATCCCTCAAACTACTTTGAAAGTCTTCACTAGTGTTTATAAAATTGCTCAAAGTGTGACTGCAGTGCTATTTTATAGAAAATCTTTCGCTAAGTCGATTTGTTACTTATGGGGCCAAATTTTCTTTCTGTTCCAAAAATAAGGTTATTCAGTGTAGGGAAGTCCAGGTTTATACACTCCACTCGTTTACTGATTTGTGTGCTGCTAAGTAAGATGCATAATGTAACACTGCCTCAGTTTCCCAGTCTGTTAATTGGGAGTTATACTTCCACATGTAAACGCAGGTTGTAAGGCTCAAGTCACTAATATTTGCCAAGTGCTTTGAGCTCCTCAGATGTGCAGAACATCATTGTTCTGTCTTCTGTGAGTCCCACAGTGTGAGATGCTGTCAGGATCTGTTTCTCTCTGTTTACTGCTTCTCTTGGAAATAGACTGCTCCAAATCCATGAATGTTTGCCATATTTAAAATCTATGTATGAATAAATAAACACCATTTTTGTCACCTGTCCCTGAGCAGCAGAGGGGTCAGGATGCTCCCTAAGCCTTGGCCAAATATTATTTTCACAGAAATTGGATATTATATTGAGGGAGAGCAGGAAATTCATTCAACCCACTGGGAAGAAACAAATCAAAGATCTCACCAGCAGGAATGTAGTACCCAAAAACCTAGTGAAGCTAAGCCTATCTGAATATCCTATGCAGATCTTACCTGTGTCAATCAAGGTGTCCATAAAATAACATCCATTTGATTTCAAGTTTGATGGCTGTACACTCTTTACAGCTGGTGGGAAATTAAGCAGTGCAGTCAGTGAGCACAGGGTACAAGAACCAAGGCACACGTCAGCTTTAGGATGAGATTCATCTCACCTTTAACTCAATTATCTACAATGACCAAATTACTACCAGCTTCACAGGGAGCAGAGGGTGACTTACTTCGATGTCAAATGATCAGAGACACCCACAGTCAGTGGGAAGGCTCTCACCTCTACCCCACTGATCCAAGGTGCAGCCTCTCTGTCATGGCTCCCGTCAAAACGACACCTGTCACTCCACACAATGGCCAGAGCACTGACCAACAAAGACACAAGCATTTGGTTCATGTAAGATGTTAGAAAGTGGTCTTTCTGTAGTGACTGCTGGTATTATACTGCAGCTGCATAACTGAGCATCCTTTGCACACCCAGTCAGAGCACAAGAACATGTTACTGGGCTTCCCAGTACTTACTGGGTATTGAACAGCCCTGGATAGAGTGCACTTGAATAGACGATATTTTGTTGGGTTTTGCCCACCATAGGAAAAGTTCATGTTCAATTCCTCAGCATTGTTGACATCTCCTAACAGTAATTCCATCCAGGGAGCTTCTGTTCCTTTCCAGATGTAGGCATTGCCTTCATCTTCATTGTTTATTCTGTATTGGAAGAGACATCTAAAGGATTAGGATCTTCTTACTTCATCTGCTTCTTCTGCTAAATCATGCTGCATCCTTTTGGGATGGATCTTCAGGGAGAACAAATTGCTGTTGTTAGTGGAGTAAATAATGCAGACCAGTTACAGCCTTTGAAGACTGGCCTGAGTCCATGGAGCTGTTCTGAGGCTAGTAACTATGACAACATGAGGCACAATTTTGGTAATTACTTAATTGACAGAATAGCCATTGACGTGAAAGATAATCTCTGTTTGGTGCAATTTTTGTGGCTAAATTTGCAGAGAATAAAACTAACTCACAAACTCATTATAATTTGGTATATTGAGAAGAATTCTTTGGGCTTTGATGATTCTTGGAAATACCTGTCTTGCACCTGCTGTAGGCTTTCTGATATAAGAATAGATGCCTGTGGCAAATCATGAGATATAACCCTCACACAACAAGAGAATGAAAAACAATGAAAAATGATTCTGACATTGCTACACTTCTGAAATTGGTGTAAGTGCATGCTAGACAAGCCTGCTTATTTGTCAAGGGCCTGTCATTCCTACTGATTTCATCTGAGTTTGGTCCTTCTTAAAATGCTTTCTAGATCGGAGCAATCAAAAACCAAGGCAGCCAAAAAGCAGGTACAATCTGAGAAATTTATTTGTGACTGACAGTGTCTGTGCCATGCAGTTCCCTGTCCAATTCCCACTTAAATTCTTCAGTTCGAGTTTCTATTCTTTCCCATGCCAGGTGATATAAAAGGAATCTTCACTTACTATTAAATCTGGCTGAAAATCCATAAATAGCCTCATTATAAAGGTATGTTCTTTCCAAGAGAAAATCCAAGCAAGGGTAGAGACTTGGATGAGCCTTCACCTGCACACAGACTGCAGCCCCAGAGAAAGCAGGATTTGGGCTGCCCTGCACTCTGGTAAGTGTACACACTTACCAGCTCAACTGCCTTTAAGTCAGTGTTTTTTATGGCCTGTCATCACCAATTTGCTATATGCAGCTTAAAGGCACCAGGTCAGGTATTAGCAGCCACATCATGAAATATTTAATGATTTGCTGACTGGCCAGATGAGGTCTGCCTCTTCTTAAATAGCACTGGTGGTAAACTCAACAAGACCCTCTGCAGGGGACATCTGTGGAATCTGTGGAGAAGACCCAAGAAATGGGACAAGGAAGATCTGATTGGCTTTTTTTATTTTTTCCTACACACTTCTTCACACTGAAACCAGTCGCTGCTCTGTTCAGAAGGGTGATGTGCTTAGCAGCTCTCTGCCCTCTACATCATCTGGATTAAAAATAGGGTGTGCATCAGTTCTGCTGTCTGTGATGACCACAGACAATGTGTCAAGGTGTCACCAGCCAGGAGAGATCTGGAGACCATCCCTGGTCTGGGATGTGCACACGAACTTCATCAGACTGTAGTTCAGATGAGTCCACAGAGTGCATCCACCTTTGAACTGCAGTTTATGTGCCTGCCATAGATACTGGACAAAACAAAATAAACTATGTGTGACCCTGGTAACATTTAGGAGGTCAGGATCTTTTTCCACATGCAATTCACAATTTCATTTGAGAGAGCTGTCTGGGTCAACAATAGTCTTCACAATAGGAATGAATTAGATTTATTCCTTCTGTTTCTGTGTGATGGTTCAGTTTAAGAGCTACCAATGCTCTTCGGGACAGATCTTTTTAGCATATCAACTGACACTTTGTTTACATGTGGTTAATATAAAAGAGAACTGACCACTGGAATCCACTCTTTGATAACTCTTAATTAAGTCCTTGAGATATTTTTCATAATCACAAAGTGTGGAGCTTTTCTCTGTTCTCTGTGAAGTCAGAAACCTTCTCAGAGTGATGCAGTGGGAGCAAGGCTGAGTCCTAACCTGCCTTTATTTGTGAATTTCCGTATGATAGACAGTACTGATCTGGAAACATTTTTCTGGGCTACATTTTAACCTGATTTTCAGTCCCTAGTGAATGCCACACATCTGAAAGTTTTCAAAAAGGTGAATCTGTGTTTACATTGTGTGCCTCTCTTTGCAGCATTATTATCAGTTGAGGTTCCTCACTTTAGATTCAAAGTGGGAATACTTGATTAAGGCAGAAGGGAATGTTCAGTTGAAGTATGCAGGTATAGAAAGTGTGGTTTATGCTCTATTTAAGGAGAACTTTAAAAAAAGGTCTAGTCAGGTAATGGTTGTTGTCGCTGCCTTGGCTTTTCCCTGCACTGAATTAATCAGTTTGGCTCCCATCAAAATAAAAGGGAATTCAATATGTGAAGAGATTGATTAAAAAGTCCCTAAACTGACTTCGGCTATATTTGCTCTGTTTTTATCTGTAACTTTGCTGCATTGTTACGGTTCAGAGTGGAAGTAGTTTAAAATTTTTCTGCTCCAAGTTGTGGCCCAGGAGCACCACAAACTCAACCCGACCTGAACCCACGCTCAGCGGGGCCACTGCCTCGTGGCCTTCAGGCGAGCACCAAGGTCCAACCAGTTTGCAAGATCACAGCCTAAAGCAGTCAGAAAATTCAGAGTAAGGAGCAAATTTGGCCTTGCTGGGAGCCCAGTTGCTGCAGAGGTGTCATACCTGCTTAGGTAAGAGCTAAATTCGTACTGCTTTACAGAAGAGCAGGTGAAAAAGAGCTGGATCTTGACTTCTTGCACCCCACAGCCCCCACTACCAAGCTTTAGGTGCCTAAGAGGGCAAACCTAAATTTTCTGAATTTGGTGGGATATCACTTTTTCAGGAGCCCAGCTGAATGTGGATGTTCACCCTGGAAGACTATTTTCAGAGGTACGGAGGAATAAGGGGCCATTTTCAAGTGGTTTTAGCTGGGCGCTGTGGGAATGAAGATCCTGGGTATCAGTTTTGCTTCTGATTATTTAGGCTGTAAATATTGATTCTTCCAAATTCAGCTTTGAGTAGCTTCCCTCTGAAGTTAAGTGAAACAAAATACTGAAAGTGGGATCCTATTCCATCGTCGAGAACGTGCTGGGACTGAAGGTTACATAGCCAACTGCATTTTGTTTTCTAGTTATAGCATCTTATTATTACTAGTATTTGTGCCTTGCTCACTGAAATTTTCTCCATGCTACAAAGATGCTTTTTCAGATTCTGGCTGACAAGGGAACACAACTTTTATACAAGTGGCCTTTAGTGCTCTTTATAATATTATTTATTGTAATTTTTAAACAGTATGTGTAATTTCTATTCTGGCACTGTCCAATATTTGAACAACTTTAATATGTTTATTTCAATATATTATGCAAACAATACTTCTTAACTGATTTTTTTATGTTCTGTCTTTAAAAACTGCACCACTTATTAATAAATAGAAATTTCAATTATGATGCGGATGGATTTATTTTCATTTAAATCACAATATCTTCACGCATATTCAAAGAACACATTGTCAAATGTACTCCTAGCAGAGACATTGACAAAGACCCTTTTGACTTCATCTAGGCAGGACTGAACTCACAGCTACAAGTAGGCTTTGTCTGGCTTCCACAGCTAGTGCTGTTTTAATACAGTACACAGTAGATCCCACTGTTTGTGACTTCTTTTGATTTAGTGTCCATGTAACTTATACAGCTTTGAGCATATGTCTGTGGGGAAATGAAAACTGAGGGAAAATACATTCATATTAGAGATAATAATATGCTAAAATATTATGAAACTGCAAACAAAATATATAGAGAACACAGTAATGGCACATGAGTGAACGGAATATCCTCTGCAGGGAAATTGCTTGAATTCTGCCCCTGGTTGTGTTGCAGCATTTCTATGTGGTCTTGTGTCTGAATGAGACAGGAAGGGAAACACATCAAAAGTCACCTCTTCACAAAACAGCTGGACTCAGTGAGGTCATTTCAAGGCATCCCTGTGGCTTCCTGGCTGTCACCAAAGAACCTGCTCTGCTCAACACTTGAAATACAGCCTAGAAAAGGTTTCTTATTTTTTTTGTGGTAAGTAAAAAATTATTCAGCATTTATTCTGTGTCTTATCCCACTTCTGTATCCCTGTAAAGTGAGGATAATTAAATAATCCTTTAGAACTGCAACATCATGTTGTGGTACTTTTTGAGTTAGTTTGTTAGTTTTAAATGGATTTATTTAAATAAAAATAATAAATCAATAAGAAACAGGATGAGTACCAGGCTCTCACAGCCAAGTTCTATCACTTTGTCCAAAGATTGACAGTCTGTTTTTTTTTTAAACCAATGCACCAGAGCATGGAATTCTGAATCTCTTGGGTTCGGTTTTCCACACAGCTCTGAAGACTATGTACAACACTAGCACTTTCTCTATTCCCTACATTTTTCTTGAGAAAAACACAAAGGTACTTCAAATAAATTTTATTGGCAACATTACCCCACATCATCATTGATGACTTAGCAGTGAATGTCCCAGCTTGAACTGAAGAGCAGCTGCTCAACAACCACAGCAATGACATTTAAATGAGTGTTTCACAGATGCAATGGGTGAACCACTCAGCTTTTGTTCACCTGCACTGAAATGTATTGCATTAACATTTCCCCTTGGCTGTCACCCAAATACAGAAGCCTGACAAATCACTAGATTTCAGTAAGGCACTGGGTCTGATCTTTTAAGAAACAGATTCTAAAATGGTAACAAGGTGTGATACCTATCCTTAGGCAAAGCCCTGCTTATATCCAGGGAGTTTTTCACTCCAAGAAGTTATGCTTATGTTCATATGGGACTTCTGAGGTCTTATATAATTGTCCTCCTCCTAAGCAGAGTAAGACTTAGACTTAACAGTTTAGAAAGGGTAAATATTGATGCATCCAGTATAGCTTAAGCAACAGTGTCAGGACTGGAAGTTTCTCAGTGTATCCTTCTCTTTCTTCTCAAGATGCTTTGATTTTTAAGACTTACCAGAGTAAAATGGTCACTTGATTAACATAAAGCATCCTCTTCGGGCACAGAGAATGGATGGAATCAGGAATGCCAAGTCCCATGGCACAGAGCAGCAGGAGAGTTAGACTGTCTTTAAAGAAATTGCCCTCTAAGATGATGGCTGATAGCCCGGTGTGCTTGAGACAGCACCACAGCTTTTATCCTGCTTCCTTGTGTCAGACGTACATGGTCAGCAGAATACGACAAAGAACCATGAAAAAAGATGTGAGATGCGCTATGAATGTTTTGGCAGATTTGATGGGATCAGTTATGTGTCTGGCACATATCCTAACAGAAATAAAATTGCTGGATAGGTCAATAAATATTTTTCTAAGTAAGTTCTGGACGGCTGCAACTTCTCTGTATCTTATCAAAGCTTTATGAGACTCTGTATTTACAAATGCCAAATGCTTGATCACGAACTAACATCTTTGGAAGCCCCAGAGGAGCAGTGCACCCTAGCGTCTGGGTCTGTAAATATCTCGTGTGATGTATCTAACACACAGATAAAAAAGAAGACCACTCGGACTTCATGCCTCTCATCCCTTCATATTTTCACAATTTCCATGCCTCCTTTTTTTTCAGTTTTTCTCCTTTTTCTGCCCTAAGAATATGCTTGAATTCATAAAAGTTTTACAATGTCAGAAACTTCAAAAGAAAGTATTACCTGCTTTAGACAAACAAATATACAAAATATTCTTACTGAAAACAGTAAAAGTGAATGGTTGTAAAGTGTAATGCTCATTCTTTTCAGGAAGTTTTGTGGTGTTAGTACCAATCTTAGCAAAATATTGATAAGAAGAATTAAAGAAAGAATGTTATAAAGGGCAGGAATTATTTTCAATTCTAAATACATTTTCTGAAAGAAAGTTCTATGAATGGGAATAAATACATGTTTATATGTATAACTATATATTTAGGGTTCAGCAAAGCAATGTGCTGGGTCCTGCACTTGGGTCACAACAACCCCAGGAAGCACTCCAGGCTGATGAAGAGTGTCTGGAAAGGTGCCCAGAGGAAAAGGACCTGGGGATGCTGATCAACAGCCACTGAATATGAGCCAGAGTGTGCCCAGGTGGGCAAGAAGGCCAAGGGCATCCTGGCGTGTATCTCAGTGTGACCAGCAGAACCAAGGAAGTGATTTGTCCCCCTGTACTCAGCACTGGTGAGGCCACACCTTAAATCATGTGTCCAGTTTTGGGCCCCTCATGACAAGAAAGACATTGAGGTGCTGGAGCATGTCCAGAGAAGAGCAACAGAGCTGGGGAAGGGTCTGGAGCACACGTCCTATAAGGAGAGGCTGAGGGACTTGGGGCTGTTCAGCCTGGAGAAAAGGAAGCTCAGGGGAGATCTTATCACTCTCTACAACTCCCTGAAAGGATGTTTGGAGCCAGGTGGGGTTTGGCCTCTTCCCCAGGCATCAAGTGACAGAACAAGAGGAAATGGCCTCAAGTTGCACCACGGGAGGTTAGATTTGATATTAGAAGAGATTTCTTCAATGAAAAGGTTGTCAAGCACTGGAACGGGCTGCCCAGGGAAGTGGTGGAATCACCATCCCTAGAGACATTTAAAAAATGTGTAGATGTGGCACTTGTGGACGTGGTTTAGTGGTAGACTTGACAGTGCTGGGTTAATGGTTGGACTCGATGGTCTTAGAGGTCTTTTCCAACCTTAATGACCCTATGGTTTTATATACAGTTTTAAGAGATGAAATATTATTCTTCTAAAAAAGACTGACAAATAAACATAATTACATTTAGAGAATTATCCTTAATAGAACTTTTGCATAAATAAATGAAATAGAAGAACATTGATAACATGTGAAGTTAAATTCAAATGAAAATAAACTTTATAGCACTAGTGAATTTCTTAATAAAATAAATATCTTGTAAAATTGTAATGGCAGAGGACTAACAGAGAAGTGTTGAACTGCAATCAGGTTTTTTCAGAACAAATGGAATGTACACAACTGCTACTTTTTTAAAGAAAGTTTATTAACCAATTACTCAAATGTGCTTTCATGGAAACATTTGCCACAGTATAAGGAAGTGTAATTGAAAATAAGAATTCAATCCTCTGGAGTAAGCTCGGGTTAGGTTTGCTTCTTTGTTCTTTATTTAAAATCAGCATTTCCTTCTCTATTGTACGTCAGCATCTGGTGAGAGAAGGGCACAGCTGGACATGTGTTTTCCTACTAGGCATATAAAACAGGTTTGCAAGATGCTTTAGGTACTACAATATTCCATGTACCATAGCTCATTTTTAGGGCCCAGATGGTTCATACCTCAGCCAGGGTGGAGGGTGGTGCTACCTGAGGACAGTGGCAGACCAGGACAGAGCAGGTGAGAGGGGATGCTGGCTGGTGATGCCATCACAAGAACGTGTGTCTGGAGCCCTTGCAGTCACTCACACATATCACAATTGCTATGTAGAAATGTGGTGTTTAAAACATGTTTAAAAGACTAAGAAAAAGCCAGAAGGAAGAAATAATGCATTTCTTTCACACTGTGTTCTCAGCCCACAGAGAGATAAAGCACCAACATTCAGATTTCATTTTCTCCCTCCTTACCAGAACACCACACCACACTGTCCTCTCTCTTACAGATAAACCACAGGCATTTCCTTGAATGTGTGTTTATTTGAATTGCATTGCAGGGACTTAACCTGCCTAACCTTCAGCAAATGAATGCATTTACTCAGTATTTTATATGAATTATAACTCTGTTACTAAGAGACGCTAAAAATGTGTTCTTTTCCTGTTCTGGATTTTGGGATGCTAGTTACAGGCACAGTTCTGCCACACAAAGGGATGCTGGAGAAAGAAATCATGTAAAGACTATACTCCTGAGAAAGCTAGTTGCTCAGAGGGATGCTCTGAGTGAGAACACAGCATTGTCCCCAAGAGTCAAAGTTGGGGCTGAACAATAGCCCCCTCCCTGGTCACCTGAGCATTGCTCTGCAGCTGAGGAAAGTTAAAATTACAAAGTCCCAGGGTAAAATGCAGCATGAGGCAAAACCTGCTGAAAGTCTAATTATCCTCACAGCCAAACATCAAACGGCTGGAACTGATCCCAGTGCACACATCTTCCTGGCTATACCTGGTTTTGTCAGCTGTTACAGAGAGGACTTTCATCCCAGCCTTCTTGATGTGATATTGAGCAACTGGTAATTAAGTCAGTAAAAGTAAGTCTTGTCAAAGAAAAGGTATTTCCATATTCCACAAGCTGCAGCATTTAGTTGCGAGTCACAAAATTTTCCTTTTATCACACCAGTAACTTCCATACAGAATTAAATAATTTTAGATGCAGTGACATGCCTGTGCATAATGCTTTTTTGTGAAAGGCAGAGTGAAAGAAAACAAAGGTAAGATTGTGCATGTATGTGCACAGACATACATGCACATTACACATTACATGTGTAAGCATGTAATTTACCAGCTATAGCTCTATTAAATTGGCTGCAGTTGCCTTCCAGCTTATGAAATTCTTGGTGAAGGCAGGGTTTTTGGGCAGACAGAGACACAGCCCAACCACACACATAACCTGATCACTAAAGCACTTTTTATTTCATAAACTGACTCTGAATCCACTTAGCTTTCCTTTTATTAATTGCTACAAGGTTGTGAGTTATTTCACAAACTGGAATGTTTTGTGGCTTCTGATAAAATTACTGAACGGACAACCACTGGCTTTTAACAGTTTGCATCTAAACTCACTGATATCAGAGGAATCACTTGCAGTCCACTAGATTAAATGGGAGCAGAATATTATCCACTGTTTCCAACAGTGATCATCTCTTGGGTACTACTAAACATCACTCAGCATCACTGAAATTGCCCTATGTCATTGTTGTGACCAGATCTCTCTCTCCCTTCCTCAACACTTCACCGTGATGCCAAGCAATTTTCTGTTTTAACTGTCATTTTATTCCTTTCGAGGTTCCACGCTTAAGACACACTTCTGGTTTCATCTCTGTTATCCTTACAATGCCCCTTGTTTGAACTGAAGGATGGCTAAAGCTTTACCAAAGGGGCTTAACCTTGTCTACCTCTCACCATCAAAGGTGGCGTTGGTCTAACTGCAGTAAGATGAGCTGTTCCTTTAAAAGGGAAAAAAAATCCTCCATAATTCAATTCTACTGCCAAAAGGAGCTTCCAATACACACCTGACCTGCCACAGAGCCTTTCCATGCGGGATTCAACAGGCACTTTGTGTGCTTATGATTGTGTTACCTCTAGTTAGTCCTTCAGGGATTAAGATGATAATTTTCACAGGATTTTAAGGAAAGATTGTCTAGCCTGTCTACTCAAAGTTTTTCACAAAGTGTTTATTAAGACCTGGCAATAACCTCCAGTTTTATATAGGCTCTGAAGATTACAATCTTTGTCAAGAGAAGTCAGGTAAGTTGATATTAACTATTCCAGATCTTGGTGTTTTCACATGTATTTGGAAGAAACCATTTCAGCTGTGTTATTAAAGCTCAGTGGAAATGTAGCAAATGAAATGTATTTTTATTAAATGTATATTTATTGCATTTTATTGCATTCTCACACAAATAAACCTAAACTTAAAAAGTAGTTGTAGCAATGTAATGAAGTATGCAGTTGTAACATGGGCATATTTTCACATTAACTTGAAATATTTCTTTAGAGCTCGTGCATGGTCTTCTTAAAATGAGAGATGACCTTTAGATGTTGGAACTGAATGAAGGTAAGGGAATTCTCTTAACTTCTGTTCTGCTCTGTTAAGCGTGAAGACATGAGGGAACTACTTGATATCTCATTGAACTCTGTTTGTACAGGAAAAATGGAAACAATTCAAACTTCATGGTTACCTGCTACATTAAAATGAGTTCTACTGAAGCACAGCTAATAAACACATTGGTTTCAGATTGCTGTTAGCCCAGAGTAACAGAGAGGTATTTAATGAGAGGTATTTAATAAGAGGTCTTCATGAGTGTATAAAGGTAATCAAACTGGATTAAAATCTCCAGTTCAGCAGTTCAAGGAACTCTGGATCAACAGTTCTAAGTAAAATGAATTCTACTAATATCATTCAGCTTAAAATAAACAGAGGAGGATTATCATATCCAGTAGAGGTGAAGGAGAATTTGTAATCAAAGGCTTGACCTTCAGCCTCTATCAGATAAATGTTTGGAAGGAAAATATTCTCTGAGTCAGTTTATGGGATTTCTCTCTGCTCACAGCTGTGTGGCACCTGTGCCTTCAGTGCCTGTGAATCTCAGTATGGTTTGAAATGAAAATTGTGCTTTTGAGCTGGAGGACAATAAGGGTTTCATATTTGCAATCTGGACATGTATTTCAGTCATCACAGTAGTGTCACTTCAAGAGAGATACGGTTACAAAGTAATGAAGACTTGCCCATGATAAATGAAAATTAGATATCAAATAAGCAGAGCAACGCAAATGTGACATGTATCGTAAGAGTTAATATTACTAATATTCACACTGCTGAGAGATAAGGTATTTCAGGCAACAGTTCTAGGAATTTTTGTCACACATGCCTTTGAAATTTAGACAGCATAAATTTCAGATGGTTAATGTTGGCAATAGATTTTGGGAAGCAGCTAAAAGCTAATGCTTCAAAATTAAATCAGCCTCTACCAACTGAGGAGCAAAAGTGGTCCGTAGTGATGTTCCCCAGTATTAGGACTTATCTGCAATTTCTTTTTAAGCATCTTCTACTGGCCAGGGGTAAATCTGGCATTCAGGCAAAACAAACACTCCCATGAATGGAGGATTTTTCATCATTTTATACCAACAATATTCAATATTTGTTTGCTGGAAGTAGAACAAGATTCGTCTTATTACGATCCATCCTTCCAGGTTATAATTGTCTGTTGTCTCAATCCTTAGATGCTTTGCCTGGTTGGGTGTGTAGTGTGTTATGGCCACACTAATGCCTTCTCTGAATTCCTGCTGGAAATCAGCATTGTATGTGGAGAAAATTCTGTTTGTTAGCATGGAGGAAGAGCTCAGCAGGTAGAACAGCAGGGAACTGACAGTTTAGGTGAGCGAGAAAGCATCTCCAAATATGCAAGGGATGCTTGGAAGCATAACTTTGCACCTCACTCTATTTTGTTTGTACTTTTACAGCTGTTTTTCCTCTTTCTCTCTCTCACTCAATGCTTTGTAAGATGGTCCTTTCATGTGTTAATCCTCTTGCCTTTTCTCTGTCTCTTAGGAATGTGCTCTCTCTAGACCCTGCTCTCACCTGCTGATATCAGATTACTTTTCCCTGGCCCACCACCATGAAAAACTCTGAGCCAGTTTAAATAAATCAGTAATAAGTTAGATCTTTGACAGGAAATTCTCTACCATCTACCACTTTACTTACGAACCTTTATAAAACAGCTGCGTTTGCCCATCAGTCTGTGAAATGCTTTTACCAAGGATTTCAGTGTTAGTCAAAGTGTGATTCACTGGTGACTGAGGAGAGCCCATGTTTCTCAAAGAAAGTCCTAGAAATCAAAATTCCTCACTCTGGATGAACACTGGCCTTTGATCTATAGAGGCAGACTGAAAATGGGGCAGGGGATGCCCTCTTCTCCCGCCTCCTGGGTCTATTATTTGCCATGCAGACAAAATCCTTGTGAAGGACAGAGGTGTGGGGTCTTTCAGGGCTGCAGGGACTCTCCAGCCAACCAGCCCCACACCTCAGGGACAGTACAGTGGCAGCAGTTCTGTTGGCCATGTTTCCTGCTGATGTCCCTTGGGTCAGTGAGCACAGAGACAGCAATGGCTTGGTCACACTTGTGTGCAGGGAGCAGGTCACGAGGAATGTGCTCAGAGGGTCTGTGGCCCATAAACACTGAATCATCATCATGAGGCATGACTCATCCTAATGCAAATTTTGCAGAGCCAAGGAGACACTCACCTCTCACAGTACAATCCAAATTCATAATGTTCTGTTCATAAACCAGCACATCAACCCATTTCTGACCTCAAAGACAATAACCAGTAGTTCCCCTTCAACAGGACACTTGACTAACTAGATGCACCAGCCACTCTAGACCCCCTGCTCCAAAACACATGAAGTTACATACCTCCCTTTACATGTTCACCCAACTCCCCATCTCCCAAAGCCTTCCCTCCCCAGCAGCCATGTCCCTGCACCTGTGAAATGTACCAGTTCCTCACACTCAGCTCCACTGAGGCTTATCTCTCACTAACTCCTCTCTACTTCATTCAACCAAACCAAAAAGGACAAAAAATACAAATCTTGAGCAGAATCCAGACGTGGATTAGTTTTATACCTGTCTCCATGCAGACTAAATCACTTCCATCACATCAGGATGTGAATGGGCTTGAGTTACCTCCTAAGTACAGAGTCCACAGATCAATGAAAAAAAGCTGTTACAAGTCCCAGCAAGCTTCATAACATCAGAGAGTGGAAGTGGGGATAGCCTTACCAGGCAGGGTGTCAGGCCCTGTGATTTTCAGGACAGCAATATATTTATGATCTGTAATCTAGTAGTTTGTCAGATCCCAAATATTGCAAGAAGAGTCAAGTTTAGGGTTCTTTGGTACTAGACTGCTCCACAGGACACTGGACTCTGTCCATGCAAAATTCGTCCAGCTCACAGGAAAGATGATGGAGTACAAAGTCTGGGGACTGAGATTTGGCCAACGCTTTCTCTCTGCCTCAGTCCTCTGCTTCTGCACATGCTGTGCAGAAACCATAGATGAGTCCAGGCTTGGGGCTGAGTAAAAAGGATTAGGCAGATGGGCTAAATAGATAGGATGAACTGCCCAAAAGCTTTCAGAGCTTTGCTTGAATTAGCAGAGCCGGCACTTACACACTTTTGACTCATTAGACAAGCAAATACAGACATTTCAAACACACAAATACTTAGTATTGTTTCATCATCCTAAGGAAGAGTCTCTTTAGAGCCACTAAGTACAAATTACCACATTTTCAGAATATGTTCATTCTCTAGTGAGTTCAATATGAGAAATATTTTAAACATGATGATAATAGTTTGCTAATCAAACAGTATTATCTTCAAGATAATGATTTGCTGTGCACTTGCAAGATTAGCTATTTCAAGAGGATATTAAAAATGTGGACTTTTTTTTTGCTAATTTTCATATGGTACCTCATTTTCTGACAATTACAGAGTTATTTGGCATGTTCCAATACCACAAAATGAGGGGAAACATGAAAAGAAACCTTTTTTTTTTCCCCCCTAACCACCTTCAATTACATCATTGAAATCTGGAAAGGAGCTTGTGGTCTGAAAGGCATGAGCTGTTAATCCTTCCTAAGCAGCTAGACAAGGTAGCACAGGATAGAAACCTGGTGACAATAACTACAGAAATACAAGACTAGGGATGACTGGACAAGCAACATTTCTGCACAAAAGAAGCTCGGTTGATATCCGGTCTAAAATTGAACATAAGCAAATTTTATCTTGTTTTAACAGAAAGGATTTAGGCATCTGATGTGTTAGTGTCATTTAGGCACAGGTCATCCTGCTAGAGAAGAGGGTTGTATCACCAACCTTACCAAGTCCCAAAAAAGGCACAGCTATGTAGGACTCAAAAATCAAGAGTTACATGCTAAACTCATGACACCCACACATATATAGAAAATACTGACTGTAGGATTTCTGTTTCTTTGCCATTTCCACCATTAATCTTTCTCTGCATTGCAGAGATCTACTATTTCTCCCATGGTAAAATCATTCTGGGACAAGGGCTGGACAAAATTGCACAACACCACAAATATCACCAAAAGAGCATTTCTCTCTCCTAGACCAGCCAAACCTGCTGGAAGTCAGCATCCATAATGCAGTGGTTCTGCTGGCATGTGGCAGTGAAGATGAGCCTAGGATTTCTGTGTCTTTTTCTGGTTTTCAGCACAGGTAAGGATGATGGTTTGGTGCTCCCCATGGAATAACCCAGGTGTCTCTTTTCCAGTTGCTCCCACAGACCCATTCCCACATCTGTGGCAGGCTTCGTTCTTTCACCCTGTGTAGGCAAGGCTGATGGGTTGGAGCTCCAGGGCTGGTCCCATGCAGCAGGGCAGAACAGATTATGTCTATTCTTGGATCCCATGCCAATAATCTGGAGTCAAAAAGGCTTGTAAGTAAAGGGAGAGAAGGGTTAAAAAAGCTCCTAACACTTAGATTTTCAGTCCAAATTTAGCTCTTACTAAGTGAGAGTTGTTAATACATCTGATTAATACTGAGGAGTCACAGTTTACAAGCCCTGGACCGTAGATTTCTCCTTTACACAAACATGTGTGTGTGTGTGTGTGTGTGTGTGTGTGTATAAAGGGGAACCTGGGTGGATTGAGAAGCTGAAGCTTCAGAGGGACATGGAAGTTTGGCATTTGCTAGCTATTATTTGAAGATCCTTCTACATTACTCTTTGGCGGCATTCATCTCTCCACTGGTGGGACAGGGAACCTAAACCCCAAACACCTGTTTTCAACCTGTTCTGTGATGTCTAAATCACTGCTCTGCACCTCGGTTGGTTACTGAGCGAATTCAAGAAAGCCAGTCCAATCTCCTGAGCCCAGCTCCAGCTCGTTCCTCTTGCAACACAGCTCTTGAGAACAGTTCTCAATTTCATGACAGCTTCGAATAACAGACATGCACACAGGCTGGGAATATTGGTTTAGATATGGCCTTATTTTACTGTGTACCTTACAGCAAATGTTGTGTGCAAGCCTAGTGAAGATCTCTACAAAAGTTTACTACTATATTTTTCTTTTGATTCTTGAGGGTCAAGCTCAGACACTAAATCTGTTTTCTTTCCTTAGCTGGCAGCTGAAGGACCTGGCAAGTCCTTTAGTACATCCTTATTCTCAGGCACTTAATGAATGGATGCTTGCTGGCCTGCTCTGCAGTGCTGATGTCCATCAGCTTCTGAGCTCTAATAAGCAAGAGCAGAGAGCTCAACAGAGAGTTGTGTGATGTCTCAACAGGGAAAACTGTTCCTCAGTCTCTTTCTTCACTTTTCAGCTTCGTGCATAAGAAGAGAAAATAAGAAAGAGAAGCAAGTGGCAGTGCTGGCTACTGCAGGTAACAAGTAGCACGTCAGGAGACGCAGTGTTGGGGTGTTAATGGGAGTGCTGGGCATGAAGGTGGCAGCAGATGGGCTCTTCTCCTTCAGAGTCTGTGAGCCCAAACCCACCCCTGCTGTAAGGGCACCTCACCCAATCCAGGCCTTACCCGAGTCCTGGGCTAGGTTAACCACTATCCTTCCAAAATCTAATCTGCTTTCTCTTTTTCCTTTCTCTCCTTCCCCGCTCTTCATTCACTTTTGTTTTTCCTTTCCTCTCTTCAGTGCTGTGGACAACCACTGATTTTAACTCTAGGGTGCAGCTTGGCTTCAAATTGGTTATAAACAACAGTGATGTCATTGGAAAATTGTATTTCTCCACAAATTTGATTTTGTTCTCATCTCAGCTTTCTGTGCTTCATTTTCCACCCTGTTCTGCTTTTCCTCTCTCTGTCATGCACACACAGACCTTCCTCCTCTCACACAGACGCCGACCTGCTCTGCTTTGGTGTGACTTTGTGTGAGGGGAGCAAGAGAACATCTTCAGAAATTTTGACTTGGGAAAAACAAATAAGTGACATGGACAGAAAAAAAAGCATGATAAAACAAAAAGTGTGATTTGGCTGCGGTAAAATTATTCTGTTGTAGCAGTAGAGCCATTGAGGCAGCTGAAAAAAAAAAAAAATCTGTATTTTTATGTAGGGTTGGGGCAGGGGGAATATTTCCTGGGCAGTTGCTCTGCTGTTTCTTACCTGCAAAAGGAGATCTACTGCTCTGTTGGCAGCAAACACCCATTGCCCAGCAGGAGGGGGCACCAGCACGCCAGGGCTGGCTGGGTCCTGCAGCTGCTCAAGGGCTTGCTCAAGGGCAGAGCTGACAGACCTGAATTTTGGCCCACCATGCACTGCTGCTATATCTTGCTATTTTCCAGACTCCTCTCTGCACTCCTGGAACTTTATTTTTTCATCAGTGTTTTTTTGGTGTGCTCTGGTACATAATCTGCTCATTTTGGTTCTCCCATTCCTGAAGATTTCCACTGTAGATAAGCAGGAGATGAGCAGCCGTTTCCTCGCACCTTTATGCACCCCTTTTTTTTCAGAGCTGCCGGCAAAGACCCTGGACCTGGCTGCTATTAACCTGACAGAGTTGGTGAATGGGATGCTGAGCTCTGCACTCAGAGGTAACGGGACACAGCTGGGGAGGTCACAGCCTGTCAGCCCAGCAGTGCAGGAGATAAAGCACTAACAGCATTAGCAGGAGAAGCTGTAAACATGTGCTGTCTGCCTCCAAAATTGCTTCTAGGAGCACATCAGCCTCACACACTTATAATGCAGGTGGCTGTCTGACCCAAAGAACTAAGAAATTAGCGTGGGTTTATATACAGATACAACATAATTACTTATGGGATGCCTTTAGAAAGTGCTTTATAATCCAGTGTAGGTTTCAACTAAAAAAAAAAAAGAAAAAAAAAGAAAGAAGTAATACAACTGATCCTTTTCTCAGTGGAAATGAGAAGGAACTGAGTATCAGGCAGCTGTATCATATCAGCACCTCAGGAATCCTTTAGACATTAAATTAGCAGAGTCAAAACATGCTGTTCTCACAATTTGTTCCAACTGCTAATGGCATGGGCATGTGTTTCTGCAGGTACCAAAAAACTGTTCTCTTTGTTGAGTGTCACGTCTTACAGCTCATTCGCCTTCCACAAAGTGTCAGTCACCATTTATAACAGTGAGTGTCTGGTGCTTTGCTCTGCTCAAGGGTGGTTTCTCTCTCATAGCCTGTGCAACAAGATACTCATTTTTTCTCTCTCTCCCTACAGTCTCTAATGCAAAAAATGTTGACCCTGGCAAGTTCCCTATGCACTACTGCTACTGTTTGAACAATGTGACAAATGACTTGACAGGTGGGCACACAAGAGAGGTTGGCAATTGCATGTGTTTAAGCTGAATTATTTCCTTTGGAGCTGAAGGCTGTAGCCTGAATTGTGCAGACTGCATCCTTATGAGTAGCATCACCATACTGAGATCAACAGCCATAACTCATGATGAATGGCTGCTCTGACTCAGTGAGCCAGGTCTCAGGTGGCTGCATCCAGCCAGCCAGTCTGGGATGGGGCCATCAGTCAAGTGGCTGGAGTGGTTTGCCTGGTGAAAAGACCTCCCTTTCCTCCTCGGAATACAAATTGCAGCACAGGAGAGACAACCACCAATGTATGATACATCACCTTGGCCACTTTTGTTCTCCTGAGATAACCCACAGGAGATAAACAAGGGCTTCTCTGTGCCAGTGGACTCCAGCAACTTCAAAGAGCCCAAGAGAAGTGAAAAGCAAGGACCAATTTTATACAGCAGTTTGATTCAGTGTGAAATGCTGTTGGGCAAACCCTTCACCTCTAATCCTCATTCACACCCCTGATCTCACAGTATTTAACATTTCAGGATGCATCTGAGCATTTGGATTCTATGACTGGTTAATGTAAGGTATCAAGAGTATGACTGGTTAATGTAAGGTATCACAGTATTTAACATTTCAGGATGCATCTGAGCATTTGGATTCTATGACTGGTTAATGTAAGGTATCAAGAGTAGCTCAGTAGCTTGGGACCAGAACCCAAACCCTCTATGCTGCATGTGGTGACCCCATCTATGAGCCACAGTAGCTTTCATGGCTTTTTCTGGACCCACACATCTCACGAGCCTTACTGCATAATGACCCACTCTGCCTTGGACAAAAACAGAGAAACTTCAATCTTTCTGCCTCAAATCTAGAATATTTTGGTGATTAGAGCATTCTCCAAAGTAGTAAAAATTAAGGGCTCAACACAAGGCTCATGTCCATCACTCCCTAAGTGAGAACACTGACCTGTTACTGCTAAAAGGTACCACCACAGCACCAGCAGCCATTTTTCAGGCTGACAACTTCATCTGTATGTCTGAGGAGACAGCCTGATGCCTCTTGGGAGATCCTACACGGCAGATAGTTAGAGCAAGCAAAGCCTGCAGGCTCTAGATCTCCTTCTACATTTAAGCAAACCACATCGAGTATTACTTTAAAATGTTCTCTTGAACAGATAAATTCCATTCAAGTTTACTTTTAAGCACATTGTTGTTAATTTGGATATCACCTTTGAAATATATTTCTGCAGAATATTCTCATGGCTTCTTGAGTCCAGTCCCATCCAGGAAAAACACTGGGAACTTTAAAACATTTTAAACTTTGTCATATATGAGCATATATCCAAAATATCATCATGTGTAAAAGTGAATTTTTGACTTGGCATAGATGATGGACTATGTGCTTCAACAGTAAATTTTCTATATTTGTTTTCTAGATTTTACAGCTTTACTTGTTGACATCACTGGAAACTCCACCAGTTATCTCACAGAAATTTTTAAATCCACTTCTATTCTCTCAGGTTTGAATTTCTTTTTAACATTATCATTATCTTATTTGTCTCATTTACTTCTGGCATGGAAACAAGCATAGAAATGCAGATAAAAGCCTACTGCTCTTACTCAGCAGCAATTGCTTTGCAAAGCATGGAACAAGTATGTATATAATGTGTGTGCATGTAATACAGAGACACATGTTTCTATGAGCAGCTATGTTTTCTTTGAATGTTTGGTTAATAATTACTAAAACCTGGTACTTTTGAGAATCTTTATTAAATACTCATATTTGGGGAAATTATGATTCCCAAGAATAATTATGAGCTATATTATCTGAATAGTTTTTTTCCATATAAAAATACTTGTAATTTAGAATTTTTATTAGATAGAAATGTTTTCCCTGAAAATCTTGAACATGTGGATTTGATGCTGGTTTGAGGTTTTGTCAAAAATCAGATGAGAAGGAAAATATTTGACCAGCTGCCATAACCACATACCATATTTTGTTTGTTTTCTCAACTGTTTAAGATAATGTCATATAATGAAAAGTGGTAACAATGATCTCTTTTACACTTTTTTGCCTTTCAGTACATCAGAGCAATGACTCAGATTGTATCTATATCTGTGTGATGACAGGGCAGACAGGTAAAAGTTAAAACCATTCCACCCAAAAATATTGCCCTGTTTATTGTCAGTGATGACATACTAGAAAAAAAAGTGCCTTTCTTGATATTTGTAAGCATTTCTATTTGCAGGGAAAAATCTCTCTGACTTTTGGGAAATATTAGAGAAGTCTCCTGTTATTAATTACACATTTTCCAGTAACACATCATCTGACCTGGGTAAGTACATCCTTGGGGGATAAAAGGAAACAGCAACAACAGTGAAAACCACATCCATGTAGCACTTGCAATGAGTACTCCATCTTCATAGTGTAAAAATACTTTAAACATTATTTTATATTTTTATTATTGCTATATAAGCAATAATATATTTACACATTATTATGTATTTTACTATAATTAAAATAAAATTATATTTTATATTATTGTATGTTTAATATAATAATCATATCATAAATATAAGTAAATTTTACAAACTTTTAAATTATTTGTTACAAGGTCTTCTAGTGGAGGAATAAACGAAGAGTGCTGGGACGAGAGCTTTTACAGAATTCAGCACTGGGCTGAGGAGGGTCCCTAGCACTCTAATCTTCCTTAGCTCTCAGAACAAATGACCTCCCATGTGAGTTAGTTACCTTCAGAAAGGAGTGGAATATGGTCAGTGTGCTGCATGGTTCCTCCACCCAAAGATGCTTTGCCAGGTTGAGCTGCACTTCAGATGCTCACCTCTCACTGCTGCCCATGACTCTCATTTTCAAGGCTAGATTAAAGTGGGCAGATAGACAGTGAAATCAGTGGCAAGTTACATGTGCTGAAAGCTGTAGGACCCTTCTCTCCTGTTAAAAATAAAAAAATCAGGTACTTTGGAAAAAAATACAAAAAAAGAAAAAACAAACAAACCTTTAATTAAAAAAGACAACAGCTGTTTCCATGATACCAGAACCTGATTTCTTTCTTTTTTATCACAAAATACGTGATGGATGGTGAGTGCTCTAACCCTGGCTTCTCATACCTCAAAGACCTAGAATCGATTTTCTCAAGTTTCGTGAAATTACAGGAAGAGCCAAACAAGACCCTGGACCCATCAGCAGAACATGTGTGGACATTTAAAAGTGAGCACATATTGTCAGAACTAAATTTGTGCCATCCTTGACTAATGTCTTGACAAGTGATCATGTATGTTTGCTGCACAGCAAACATGATGTTACCTACAATTGCAAAGTAACATAGAAATTTGTTGGAAATAATAGGAGGTGAGGTCAGTAATGCATTGACTAGCTGGAGGATAGAAAAACTATTGTAAAAAGTAATTTTATTAGAAAAATATGTCTTATAAAGGGACAGAGAAGTAAAAAAAAAGCGGTTGTTGGCTTCAAACCAAAAACCAAGACTGTTTAAACTGTTTCCTCTTCTTTTTTATTGCAATTTTTCTTTGTATTCATCTCTATCTTCCTCTTTATATGACAGTCAGTTGTTTTTACGTGAGTATTGCATAACTTCAGTAGATTTAAGTTTGCCACAGGGCTTCAAGATAGCAAAGTGCTGGTGTGCCACATTTTGGAAGCCAAAAGCAAGGCTTTGCACTTGCTCGCACATAGTAGAAATCAATAGAAATTCAGACCTTGACTTCATACATCCTTGTCACTGCAGCTGCATCTCTCTGCTACAAAATTCCCACACTTCCCATAGTCAGTCTGATGTCTTTTTATAAACTTTTTTAATTTCCTTAACCACATGCCAACCTTTATCATCTCTTCTAGCCATGAGTGTCATTTCAGTTCTCAAACGGCAATATTTGCCCTCAGTACCTGCCTGCTCACCTTCACACAGAGATCTTTTATCTCTTTCCTCTGCAGTGAAGCAGCTTAGGAAATAAAAAAAATAAATTATGTGAAGAAAAGAAACACAACACTTCGCAGTAGTATTTTGGTTTCTTTTTTTGTTTATGAAAATTTGCACATTAAAATGTTCTCAGTTAAAATTTCAAACATTATTGGCACTCCCTGTGTTTTCATACTTAAAATAAAATGGAAACATGGTCACTCACCTGGCAGAGAAACACTCAAGGAGTAGATGGGATTTTCTGGTTGTATTTTAGATATTTTTGTTCCTTAGTGTGTTGCACTCTCTGCTGCCTTGGGGCACCAGTGTCCCTAGTGTGCTGGTGCCCTCCCTCTGTCTCTCTTGCTTCTCCAGCCACCAGGATCCCTCTTGCCCAGAAAGGGGAGGAAATCCCCACCACAAGGTTCTCACCGTGGCCAAAGACAGCTGGAGCAAAAGGACCCTGGTTTCCATCACCCCATGTGGAAGCTTCCAGATCACAAGGCACAGCTGGATCCCCTCCTACTCCTGGGAGGAGCTCGGTCCCCTCCCCAGCCCCACAGCCCAGCCCCAGTGAGTACAGGGAGGAGGACTGGAAGCTGCTTCACCCCACTGGTTGTGGGGTTTGGCCAAATGTCTCTGGGGTGGAGGTTGGGAGGCCCTTCAGGGAGACCCACTCTGGGTCACTAGTGAGTTGATTACTTTATTGCAGAAGTGCTAAAATCAGCTATAGGCAACCAACGTGTAGTTTCTTATCCTTTAGGAAAAAACTCAGTCTTGCTCCTCATAGATGTTTCTGCCGCTTGGGTCTTCCCTCACATTTTGCTCCAAATTTGGTGAGCAAACCTGTGGAAAAGCAATATAGAGCTGCTTCTTTTGGTCTCCTCTAAACACACCTTCTTTAAATCCTGCCCTTCCGTAGCCCATAGGCTTTTCAAACTCTGGTCAACTACAGCTTTTGTCCTTCCTATTTCATCTTGACATTTTTATATGCCACTGGCAGTACTGGGTGAGGGACTCTGGCTGTTGAGCTGTCTCATACACAGCAATTCTTCTCAGTAGACAGATAAATAACAAATATGAATGACAGGCAGCGTGTCTCTCTGTTCCCATAGCTGGCATGCCCATGTTTTGGATGCAGACAGTGTCTCCACAAGAAACCAGCAACCAGATGCAAACAGAGCCAGGTAAGACTGGTCTGGGATAGCAACAGAGTGTGTCAGTTGGCACATTTATTAAATAGAAAGTAATATATAGGAATAAGTGACTGATAATGTATTTATACATCAATGTCTATGTAAGTGTTTATTAGTGAACTATGACTTCAGTGTTTGTTTTTTTTCTTTTCTGTTACTACTTCAGTCAACCTTCCTTTTTGTTTTAAGGCGTCAAAGCAAGTTATATTTGTTTCCTTCCCTCAGATTTGCCTTCCTCAGTGCTGTCTGTGCCACCCTCCTACAGACCTGGTGTGACACTGAAACTTTACTCAGCAACCAGTAAGTAGATGCACCTCATGCAGCAAAAATAGTAGTATGTTTGAAAGTAATGCGAGATGCAAATTTTCCCATACAGACACAACATACATGTTTAATTTGCTTATGATAGTTTATGTATATAAACCACCCAAGATGTCCAAGGAACTGCTTCCATAATTGTTTCATACACAATTGCATATTCAAAACATAGATTATACTGTGCTGATAGATATAACATAGGTACTCTGTGTGCCAATTTTAGCATCGATTAGTTATTGGAGAATCTTAAAATTCATTCTGAAAGAAAATGTCATGCTTTAAATCTCCTTATTGATACAAGTAAAAAGATGAAGCCAACTCATGCCACATGAAATCTCCAGAGCTGTTCTGAATTTCCAATACTGCAAACTGCTTCCTCAGATAAAGAAAGATCATCAACTAGATTTTCATGAAAGCTCATTCTTTTTAAGCACCTAAACAAAAGGTTAGAAATTAAAAGCTAGAGTAATAGTGTCTCTCTATTTATGTCTTATATATATATTGACAATAAAACTATATTTACAGAGAAGTATTTTGTAAGAAACTACATACTTTGAAAAACTGGACCTGATTCAATGCCAGGAGGACAGTCTGAACTCTGGGAGAGACCAGCAGCTACTTTTGATGCTGAGCATGTGTGTGCGTCTGGCTGGTGTGAAAGCTCCTATAGTACAAGATGCTGGGGCAGTGCCTGTGCTCAGCTTGAGACTAGAAAAGAAATAATGGTCCTCACTTTTCCAAAAAAAAAAGCAGGTGGCTCAGTTCCAAATTTCCCCTTCATCAGGACTATGTCCTTCCAGTTTGGCTGCTTAGAGTTGTGATGCAGCTCTGAGCCCATGGGATGCTCAGGGAAGAGGAAGAGGCCATTCTTCGTCCCTCCCCATTGAAGTTGACTCTCCTACTACCTCAAATAAGTGAGAATGTGAGCCTGGCTGAGTGGTGAGGACTGATGGAGGCAATTTTGGAAGTCTGTCTCTCACTTGCTTGTGTTTCTGTGTGGTGACTGTCTCAGAAAAGCATAGATGCTGTGTAGAGCAAAGAATATATTGGACTAAATTGCAGGGGTCTTCAATATCCTTTGGATCTGCTATTACAGATAAAACCAGAGGAGTCTAAAGAACTAAAATACCAGGCAAAACATATTTTTCAAAGGTCTACTTAAATATCCAGGAAATAAAACCAAGAAAAATTGGAAATACGAATGAGCAAAAAAAGACTTGCATAAAGACTCCGAAGGATGGTAGGTGAGAAGAGCAGAAAGAAATGCTGATTATATGGTTTGGGATGGATTAACAGGAAATGTGGAAAAAGTAAACTGCACTATCCTTATATTGTCAAACGAAATTGTGGGTCTTTGATATGGTTTCCTAATAAATCTGAATAAGAGAAGATTGCTGCCTGTCAAAACAGAAGAGGTGAGGTGAAAACTGAGCATCACCAGGCAGGTTTGTGCATGAAGGGAAACTGCAGCCTTGTGGTCCTTCTCTGCTAGTGGAGCTGACCCTGAGCACCAGGGGTGCCACCAGTTCCCTGGCTCCATATAGGCAACCTTTGGATCTTCATTTTGGGATTATTTGAAGGCTCGAAATGCAAGCTCTGATCTGGATTCCCTGCTAATCTCACAATTTTTAGTCATATTTGGATTATTGACTTCTCCTGGCTCATTGATGAATTCCAACGCAGCTTTACTTATCTGTAAAGGTGTTTTTTTGGGGGGTAAACATGTGTGACTCAGAGAGAAAGGTTCTTTCACAAATCTTCAGTTTTTCTGTCACTGGGAATAATTGCACAGTGAGCAATAGTATCTTACAATTTTGGTGTCATTTGCTTCTTCCGTTGGTTTTGCTGGTTTTGCCTATTGCAGCAACCCAAGACCAGGATCCTGTGCTGTTACTTGTTTTAGCTTTTGTTGATATAGATCAAGTTTTTCATAGTCCCATTCTGGTTGTCTGAACTATCAACATATGTTGGGTTGCTTGCCTTCCTTTTTTTTTTCCTCCTCCCATACTATTAGAAAAGAAAGTATTTAAGGGCATATTGCTCAGTGGGTCATCTGTTTTCAGAATAAAGTAGCATTTTCAAATCAAGAAGATGATGATAAACCCCAAAGTTTGACAACATCCTCTAGTGATCATACAAATACAACTGCTGCAGACAGGAACTGTCAGAGGGGGAGGAAACTATTGCCCAGGAGGCCTGAGAACACTGCAGTAAAAAAACTATAAACTTAGACTCATTTCCAAGGAAAACACTCATTGGTGCTGAGGCAAGGAACAGTTCTTAATGTAAAAGACCCTTCAAATCATGGAGATAGGAAGCCAAATAACTTCAGATTTCATGGTCACCTTTTTAACTCTGATAATGCTTCTGAATTCTGAAAACTGATGATCTTTCTCTCATTTAAAGACCTCCGAATACCAGAGTATCCTCTTACCCCACATGACTGACATACACTGAAGGAAATGAGTCAATGCCATAACATGTGAATATAGTTTGACTTCTTGACACTCTTGATGGTGTGAAGAGAAGAATTTAGGATAAACTAGGTCTTCTTAAACTTACTGGGAGCAGAAGAATATGTTACAACAATTTTCATCCATCAAAGATTCTGCAAAAGACCAAAGTTGTCTGTGTGTCTTGTTTGCTTTGGGTGAATTTGAGTTGAGGATTACCCAGCAGTCAGCCAGTTGGAAGTTGCTGGAGTGTGTGACTGGACTTGTGGTGTGCACAGTCCGGAGTTTGTTCATGTGCCCCTGCTCTCAGGTGGGCAACTCTACAGACCCTGGAGAACCTAGGACTGTCAACAGCCCATTTTGAAAAGGTTGGGAAACATGGATTTCAGTGAGATCAGTGCACGGCAAGTCACCAGTTGCCTCTCTATCAGAACCATGATGGCAGAGGCTGTCTGCCTGCATCTAGCAGTCATGAATTTGGGGAAATAAATCGAACGGTGGGATCACAAAGCAAGGAAGGACATCAACATTGTTCTGGGCGCTGAGACATTATTCTAGTAATTAATTTCTTGAATCACGAAAGTTGGTGCCAACTTGTAAAATATGCAAATGTGCATATTAGAGCTGCAGGGAGGGATATTTTAAGTCTGAATCATTTGCAGTAACCATAACGTTGCTTTTCACTGGCAGCAAAATTTAATCTCAGTGTCAGAGGGATGTGATATTGAGTTAATAAAGGAACTGTCTGTTTACTTCAAGAGTTGGTCACTTCTCTGCCTGTGACAGTAATGTGGCAATTTCAAATATGCAGAGCAAAGCTCTGCACAGCGAGCTCTCGTCCCTGCCTTTTCTGGTCTCTTTTGACTGAATCAATTTCTTAGGAAAGAGTATTCTTAGAAAAGAAAGTTCTGAAATAATTCCTACTATTAATTATTTTTTTTTATTTCAATCCAAATCTATATGAGCTTATGAATGGAATGCAAAAAATACATTTCACAGTAGATATGTATTACAGAAGAAATATAAAACATGACTATGGATCACCGAAAATTTTAATTTCAATTATATGATGTGAGTATACTATGCATTCCAAAAGAAATTAAATACTACATGAATTGAAAAAGAATTTCAGCATTAAATAAATAGAGTATTATTCAAATGCATTGTTAATTTAAAATTAAGATGTTGTCAAAAATGAAAACTAGAGCAATTTCCTTAGCTTTTAGCTTTTTTATTTGACTTCTCTTTTCCACACAGATTCCACTCCAAATTGAAATTGCCATTGTTCAATGTACAGTTAGACAAAGCTGAATTTCTGCTGAAAAAAAAAATAGTTTGAGTAAAGCATTGAATACCCGTTTGGCAGGATAGGAGTCCCCACGTTGGCAGAGGCTGAGATTCGCAGGACAATAGCCCTTAGGAAGTTTGGATCATTCACATCAACTGTAACATTACTTTTCAGGGGCAACTTGCATTGAAACCTCATTGCCTCATGCTTTGATATTTGGTTATTAACATGAAGTATATTTACTGTAGCAAGAAATCATTAATTTTTTATTGATATTGAGTGAAAAAATGTCAAAGTGTGTCAAATACTATTAAGTGGACAAAGCCTAATTGCATTTATACAAAGTAGCTGAGGTTAAGAGAAATGGGGCTCCCTGACTAATTACACCTGATATTTGTGTAGTGCCTTTGACACACAACTGGTTTTCAGATGGGCCTGTGAGTTTGGGAGCTGTCAGTGTCTGCCCCTTACTCCTCCATGACTCCTCCTACCTTGAGCAAGCGCTGCCAGAAGAGAAATAGTTTAGTAGCAATCTCTTTCAGGTTGGCAGAGCCTTTATTTTCCTCCTGCCCAAGAATGCCATTTTATATTAAACTTCTTGTCAGCACTAGATGACTCAAGCTTATTTCAACAGAACTTCATTAGTCCAAATTTAACCCCCATGACCTGTGCTATCACATAACATAAGATGGCCCAAAGCTATAAAGTGTGGGAGACATGTGAACCTGGAAATGCAATTACACTGTCTAAGGGGATTATACTCAGCAGGTAAGTCAGTTTATCCACACATGGCCAAAGCCTGCTGCTAGTTACACAAATGGAAGAAATAGCTGACAATCACACAGCGGCCACTTCTGCACTGCTTGTTCAGCTCTTCCACCCCAATGGGTGCATGTGAAGGGGACACCCATATCATGCAAAATGTGCCTTCTCACAGCCTGTGCCCTGATTATCTTTTCAGAGCCCCAGGGTGGTGTTTTCAGGGGTGTCCCTTACTTTTCAGAGTGCTGGAGTAGGGAAGACATTGTTCTGGAGCTCATAGCCCATATAAAGTGTTGCAAGAAGTTTAATGTGACGAGTATTTGGACTAGTTCAGAGCTGTGTTTTTTCCCCCAGGGTGCCCACAGGCAATTCTCAGAGAACCTCGTGTGACCTCCCCTCCTGTCACTCTTATAGTGCAGAAGATCAACCCCTGTGTGATGGAGCTCTGTAGGTTCTTTCAGCTGTGCCTCTGTGTTGGTCAGAGAAGATATTCCAGAAAGGAAGCCATGAGGTAAAACCTGGCACTAGTTTCTCTTTCCTTCTCTGCTTTAAATACTCCATCAGGTTTTTTTTCCAAATGACAATTTTCAATCACTAATGCTTATTTTTGAGAGTCTGTGGCTACTGGCTGAGACCCAAATGGGTCCCAGGGCAATGATCAGTACCTGATCTGGCTTACTGTATTCAGACTAAGTGAATGAAGCCCAGCTTCATTTTTCCAGATATCTAATGACATCATTGTAGTTGGACTCTAGCTTTTTATTTCCATATTCAATAGTACCAGCATGGTATACTGTGCTTATAGAATCATATAATGGTTTGGGTTGGAAAGGACCTCAAAGATCATCCAGTTTCAATCCCCCTGACATGGACAGAGAACATGTTCCAATAGACCAGGTTGCTCAAAGCCTCATCTAGCCTGGCCTTGAACACTTACGGGGATGGGGCATCCACAACTTCTTTGGAAAACCTGTGCCAGTGCCTCACCACCCTTCTAGTAAAGAATTTCTTCCCAATGTCTAATCTAAACTTGCTCTCATTCAGTTTAGGGTCATTCTCTCTTGTCCTGTCACTACATGACCTTGTGAAAAGTCCCTCTCCTTAATGAAAGATAAGCTGCTACTCTCCTAACTTTAACTACATCTTCAGGTACTGTGTTGAATACTATTCCTGGTTTGTGAAAAATGCAAGTTATGTCTGTGAAAGAGTCAAAAGAGTTACTTACTCCCACAGTAAGTACGTTTTCTCTTTGTATCTCTTTATCTCTACATACCTTATTGTGTAAATATAACAAAAAAATTTTACATATCCAAAGACTATTTACTGTCTTTCATCAGATAGCTATTTTATCTGATAATGATCTTTAAGGGATTAAAAAAAGGATTATTTGACCTTCATGTATGTTTTTAGTATTTCCTCATAAACCCTAATGAACATTTTCTTGTGTTCTTCCAGCCTTAAAACAAAAATGCCTCAAAAACATCTGTGCGTCAGTTTAGAGCATTGAGAAATGATACTGCAAGTTGGAAGACTGTGGCAGTTTTAGTTGTCTTTTTTGATTTCTCGGTGTAAACACCAGAATGCAACATGTTTTTTGCAAATATTTGTAATAAGAAAAGCTATTAACCAGATGTTAAACCTAGAAACCTCTCTTCCTCCAAGGCATTGTAAAAATAATGTGTACAAACAGATATATTTTATACAAGTGATGTAACTACAATAAAAGAATTGAAAGGCTTTTAAAAATCTTATTTTATAAAGGATATTTATATGGTTGGCCAGTAAAGGAAAATAGTTTATACTAGTTTTGTTTACAATTAAGACATAGTAATCAACATGAACAAATACAAAATAATTTAAAAACAACCTGAATTACTGAAGACAAGGAGGACTTTCCCTAGTGTTAAACACCGGCAGATTATCTTCTAAATCAAGTTTCCCAGTATTCAGCAACACATGGATTGCAGAGGTCAACCCAGGAAGTGTTCAGGCCTCTTGTACTTTCACTCTGGGACATATTTGTGTGAGGTCACCAGGATTCATAGAAACAGGGAATCATAGAATTGTTTGGGTTCGAAGAAACCTTAAAAATCATTTACTTTCAATCCCCCTTCCATGGGGATGTCACCCATGAGATCAGGTTGCTCAGGGCCCCATCCAACCTGGTCTTGAGCACTTCATGTCCTTCTTTATATGCAAATCTGGTGAACTAAAAGCCAGTTCTAAAAAATGAAACAATTACCAAATCAATTGCATGAGCCCATAGTTTGCTACCCTGCAGCAATATCTTTCTACTATCTCCCCAAAGTGTATCATCAAGCCATTAATATTCTTTTAAATAAGAAGTTTGTTTGCACCATATCTCGTGCACATTGATGTTTCACTGAAGAAATATGTATTCAAAGTAAGATAAAGCTGAGGAGAAAGGTGGCACCACAAGGAATGCTGACCCCAGGGAGAGATGGGATGGCAGCAGCCCTCTTTCCAAATACATTTCACTGTTGTGCCCATGACAGAAGCACTTCTGTCATGTCAAAGAGCAGGATAGATTGGAGTAGTACCAATTACAGTTCATATTGAAAGTTAGGCTAATGGAATAAGTAGGAATGTCGATACATTGGGAATGTTAGCATGGCTGTGGTACTGTGATGAGATTTCGCTCTGCAGCAGCTCTCTCAGTGTGTGCCCACTGCCTCTTGTCATGGGGGGCTCTTATCAGAGACTGGCTCTGTCCTCTTTGCACCCTCCCCTCGGGTGTTCATGGGCATTGATGAGGTCCCACTGCGACTTCTCTAATGAAGAGTCCCAGCTCTCTTGTCCCCTCCACATGAGAGATGTTCTAGTCCATCACCTTTGTGGCCCTTCTTTGAACTGTCTCAGGTTTGTCCGTGTCTGTCTTACACTGAGGAGCCCAGAACTGGACAGAGTGCTCCAGATGTGGCCTCACCAGTGCTGAGTAGAGGGGACCCACTCCTTCGATCTGTGGGCAGTACTTTTCCAAATGCAGCCGAGGACATCCTCAGCCTTCTCTGCTGCAAGGGCATGCTGCTTGCTCAAGTTCAACCTAGTGTCCAGCAGGACCCCAAGTCCTTTTCTACCAAACTGCTTTACATCTGAGTGGCCCCCAGCATATATTTGTGTATGAGGCTGTACCTCCCCAGGTGCAGGACTTTGCACTTGTTGAACTTCCTGAAGTTCCTGTTGGCCCATTTCTTCAGGGTGTTGAGGTCCCTCTGGATGGCAGCACGACCCTTTGAAATATCAGTCACTCCTCTCAGTTCAGTGTCATTTGCCAACCTGCTGGGAGCACACTTTGCCCCATCATCCAGATCATTGATGAAGATGCTAAGCAAGACTGGACCCAGCACTGACCACTGGCACACACCACTAGTCACTGGCCTCCAAATAGACTTCGTGCCACTGACTGCCACCCTCTGGGCCCCACCATTCAGTTTTCAACCCACCTCACCAGGCACGTCCAGCACAGATATCAACAGCTTCTCTATGAGGATCTTATGGGCCACCGTGTCAAAGGACTTTCTGAAAACCATGTAGTTCACAGGATCTGAAGGAGCCAAGCCTTTTCTTCATGTGAGTATTTTCACAATTTCAGATTTGTCAAACTTCTCCATACCAAAATTCAGTGGACAGTTTGCCTTTGTTGATGGACTCTTTACAGGGTAGTTGTGTCTGTCCCTGGCAGAAAGCACACCTTCCCAATGAGGAGAAGCCTTCCCAAAGCTCATTGACTCAACCTTTCCCTGGATTTGTCTCAGCCTTGGATCAGAGACTCCGTGGATAGACAAGAACAGACTTCTCAGCCCTGAGGAATGCCAGTGTTTAAAGCTGTGTAAATTCTCACTCATCTTTCATCACTGAACACTACCTCTTGCTAAGCTATTAGAGCCACATTCACATGCCCAAGAGATTTTGTGAGTGATTAATAACAAAGGGATGATTGTTATTTAATTACAGCCAAGAGTATTAGGGAAAGTTATTATACAGTGAATGCACCTGCAGAACAGACTTCTCAGTATAGATCCTTTACATGGCTGGAGCCATATTGCTAAATACACTGTGGGCATAATGACTCTAAGGAATCTTATGCAAGAATTAATTAATAAATGTTGAAGTGAGTTTGATAAAGGAAGTGATCACATGGGTGACATCTATATACAAGTGGGTATAAATAACTTAGTACTGACTTTGTTGAAATCCATTTGTCTTCCATCCAACTGCTTTCGAATAATATCCCTCAAGGTAAGCCTTTCTCAACGTACTCTATAATACGGGAATCAGGAGGAAAATGATGTAGAATAATCTATTTGTGACTGTGGAGTTGTAGACTAAAGGGTAGGTAGAGAAATTTGGGATGGTAAACTATAAATATTTAAAGCTGTTAGATTTATAACCTCACTTCCTGATGAAATATTACAAGATTTTATAACAGAAATGAATGTAATATTTGAACTTAGAAAACAAATAATCATCAGGAAGTACATATTTGAAAACTGATATATAAATATTCATTTATTTGTCTGTAAAAAGCTCCATGCCTGACTTACTTGGAAAATCATTCTAAATTTAGAGTAACCTGTGACTGTAGTTAAAAACCAATCTTCCATTTAATGAATATCAATTCAAGACTTTTAGCTTCAGAAGAATTCTTTACGCATTTCTGTAAGGTCAAGCACAGCCAGAACTTGAAGATCTCCAAACATCATGTCTATCATTAGGAAAATTTATGATACGTTAGATCAGTCTCAACACAGGTTAGAATAAATGTTTGACTACAAAGTGGGAGAGATTTTTGTGATATGAAACGAACTCATATAATGAATTGAAGATTAACTGGAGTTAATAGAAGTAATCCCAGAATATCTTTTCATTTACACAGTGTTTCGTGATATCTGCATTTAAACATGCAAAGAATTGTTCAAACATCCTGTTAGATCAAGGAAAATGTGAAAACTGCAAACCAAAAGAATTTTGAATTGCATCATTTTGATGCTAAATTGCACTTTCACAGAGTCTGTTGACTCACTTAAAACAACACCAAAATAAATATTTTCAGTCAGATTTGTAGAGGACTTTGGTAAAATTTGAAGGATACATAAATATCATCATTTCTGTAACATGTGCATTTGCTATGATAAGGGTAAAAAATTAATTGTATCAAGCAGAAATATATTCAGGCTACAAAAGAATGATTTTCTAAGCTAATGTCTTCCCACTTCCAGAGTCAAGAGATAACATTCTGCCTAATATTTTACTTAACTCACCAGGCACACCAGTCTACTGTGTGGCTTTTTTTCTTGTCTTTGGATTAAACAAAAAAATGATTGTAATTCTGCTGATGTCTATGTCTGTGGTGGTGTACAGTGGTAAGTGGCAATGTATTTTTATCATTATTTGACATTATGCCAAAATACTATTTTAAGTATGAGCATTTGGAAACAATCCTTTAGAAACATGCCTTCTCTCCCCTCAAATTTGGATGTTGTTGTTCAACATCCAAATGCACTTAAATAGGTTTATTTATGAAGTACTTATAAAAATATTTTTCTCAGGACATCTAGTGAAGCAAGAGATATTTAGTGGGGTTAAAAATATAACCAAAAAATTGCTACTTCCCTTTGCTAGCACTTGGTCTATTTAAATCTTTTAGACTCCAAAAATTGCAGGTTACATATACAGAGATTCTACTCATTAAGTACACGTGTATTGTCTTAATTCTCCAAACTACTCAGTGCATCCTGAAATATAACCTCTGTTCACATAAAGCTCCTCTTTCAAATTTTACTATGAATAGGATTTTTTTCTTCATGTGACTCATTAGATTTTATTGTTATGATTGAATGAACATCCCAGAGACAGGGATGGGGGAACATCTCAAATTTCTGCAGTCCCTGCACTGTGTATGAATGTCAGCAAGAGTTGTGAAAAGAAGGACTCTTAGAAGGTCTAACATCATTTCTGGTCAATCCACGGGGTTATTTCTAAAGGGAAAAAAAAAGCTCAGGACAAACTCTGCACTGACCTACTTCAGCTTCACCAGTTGCCTCTCTTCTGAGTGTTGCTTGCATTGGAATTCAAAAAAAACCCTGGATCTAACACAAGAAACCACACAGGGTAAAATATATTGATGAAGCTGAACTCTAAGTCTCCCCTATATGGAGAGAAATCAGTGAGAATATTTACATTTCCCACTGCAGTGATAGAGAATGCTAAAATACCTGTACCATTTATTAATTTTAAAAAATTATTTTAAATTTTTAATAGAATTTTTTAATAAAATGTTTAAATTTTATTAATTTTTTATGTTGATAGTGCACTCAAAAATATCTGGTCACTCATAAATTTTTCTCACATAACATTTGAAAGAGACCCCAGAAACCTCAAAAGGTTGTGCAACAGTGTTTAGATTCTTTTCGCCCAGCTAAGCACAATCTAAGCACAAAGATTTAAAATGTTACCATGTTTAGGTTTGGAGAGGATAATTGATTTATATTTGTGTGGGATCTATTTTGCTGATCTCTGCTTTGAGACTGAAGCAAATATCCGTACATGAAGTAGCATCTTTGAGAGGAGTTAATGTGATTTACCTTGAATAAATCAAATAGGTTGGGTTTGATGCACCCTGACTTTTCCTGGCACAATCGATATTTCTTCTCCCCAAGGATTATAATGACTGTACCTGTGCCCTGTATTATGACATTTTAATGAGCCACAATTGCAAAAAAACCCAAAACAAAACTGGAGGTACACTGATGGTTTTTTGATGGACTTTTTTTCAGGCAACACTTCAGAAAACTCTTGTCAGACTAGGAAAGTCACAGATGCAGAAACAATTTTACACGTAACTGAATGTTGAAAGAAATTCCATGGATAACATATACAAAGGGAAAGCCCAAGAGCTGATGTAGGACACAAGTCTCAGAATATGTGCCAAGTTTTTAGCAGATTTTAGAGAAAGGTGAGGGAAGCTGACATCCTCAGGGTCTTCTGAGATTTAGAGGATTGAGTTTTATAGTGCAACCTTTCACTGGCTGTACAGGGAATGATATAGGACCAGTAGCTCCAAATACATGTTACCAAAAGAAGAAAAGAGAATAATTAATCCAGAAAGTATTTTCTCTTTGTTCCTCCCCCCCCTCCGCCCCCCCCAATTTAAACAAAAGTGAGCAATCTTCTTAGCAAACATTGGTTCGTTGATCTTGACTTAGTGACAATTGGAAATATTGTTCTTTGTAATGAGAGGATTAGAATAGCCAATGGTTTACCAAGATGCTGCCCTTGTGGCAGAGATTCTTTTCCAGGGGGAACTTCAAACATTTATGTGTTAACTGTGTGTACAGTTCAGTTTGCTGAGAAGAACTAAGTGCAAGTGAAGGATACTGGAGCAATCACAGCTTCCAGCAGCCCTGGAATATGGCTCCATCAATTTTCTCTTCTGATGCATTTCAAATGAATGGGATTTTCATGTTTTTCAAAGTTTTGCTGAAAAGACTAAATGATCATGGCTGTTCATCAACGGACACTGTGTTTGAGCCATGGTGTTATGCAAACCTGGCCCTAGATGCACTCGGTAGAACACAGCTCAGAGGAAGGATATTTGTCATTGCAGAGGAAATACAGGTTTTAAGCCTGAAAATAAGGGTCAGTTTTTCTTTAGCAAGCATATATACAAATATAGCATTCAATGCTGTTTTTGAAAATCATGCCATTATTTTTCTTGAATCTAAATTCCTTATGGCCATCAAGCTTTCAACAGACTTGTTCCAGTTCTGTGAAAAGGACAGCCTTTATCGGGAGACCTTTTCTGGATTGTGGAAAGCAATTTTTTCCCCTTGGATCTGCTGCAATGATGGACATTTCTGACAAATTACTGTGTATCTGAAAGCTTCTTGTGACTAAGGCTTTCAGGAAAAGAATAACACAAGAGGTAGCACCTCTTTCTGCCTCACTCAATCCCCTATCCATATCTTGCAACTGAACTTGAGAAATGAATTGCTGGATTGTTACCATGAACATCTTGTTCATGCCACAAAAGTTGTGGGCATCCTGAGAAAGCCCTTATATGTGATTAAAAAAAAAAATCCTATTTTTTCCTAATCCTTTGCTAAACATGCAGTTAAGCTTTACACCTAAAAAGCCACTACTCTGCTTTACTCTCTTCCACCTATATTTATGGCAGGAAAATGTAACAGATGAGCAAGAGAACTCTTTCCCAGAATCTTTTGTAGAGAAAAAGGACAGCTTTCCTAATGCCAGTTATTCTGAGACATAAGATATGCCATATATTTAACATTATGGTTTTTTTTAATTTTCAGTTTTTAGATTCTTGAGACAGTAAATACCCTTGACTTACTATGTTTTTTAAAGAAAAGCTAAATTTAAATAAAACCAAAGTAGCACATTTTCTTCTAAAATCATCCAGAGGAAAAGAACAGGTTAGAAAATGGGAAGGGAAATAACAAGTATTAGATTTCACTCTAATTCAAGACTTGGCAAACAGAAAAAAAATGAAAGTGTTGAAAATATACCAAATATACCACAGCATCCTCAAAAAGAAAAAGAGAAAATTAACTTTATGAATAAATAAATAGTGATAGGAAGAGAGGCAATGAGGCAATAAGGTAATAGCCAACAAGACTCAGAAAAACCAAACAACTTGTCTTCAGATAACCTTGCTTCAAATAAGAGCACAGGTTTACAGAGTAGAAATATTTGGGGCATAGTTGGGCACTAAAATAGTTTTAAATAATTCTCCTGATTTATCCCAGTAAGGGCTAATGTTCAGGTGAGCACAGGAAGACAAAGGTTAGCACACCCTCAACAGCAATACCTGTCTAATAAAGACTGGTTTTTGAGCTGAAGTGGATGTGACTTACCTCTTGCTTCTGGGCTTTCCTGGGTGTGGGTGGAGCTGAGCAAGTGCTTCATGGCTTTGATAAATCAGCTTGTCAGTGCAGGAAGGTGTTCAAAATTCCTTCAGGGTATGTGTCATAATGAAATATATGTTGCTGGTTTACTGTGTTGTTGTGTTTTTTCTTTTAAAAACCTTTTTCTTCTGAAATTTGTTTGCTGAGATAGGTGGCCAAGACCTGGAGCCACCAGCATTCCTGCCAGAGCTTCTTAACACGCCTGAGAGAATCTTGAGTAAGAATGGTTTAAACTATACTTTCTGTGTTCTTGCATGGCAGTGGGGAATCCCTCCTCCTCCAGAAGCATTGCAGGGAAGTGGACTGTGAGCAAATAGCTGGGAACTCATCTCAGAATGGTTTAACACCTGAAGCAAGACCAGGGACAATCTAGAGACAGTTACTGTCATTTACTTTTCTTAAAAATAAGTGTAGTTTGTTTATTTTTTTCATTTAGATAATGCCACACTCTTCAACGGAGTCTTTCAAAATGTGGAAAGTGTTGCATTATTTTTTGGTAAGTATGTGTTCCAGTTGTACTTGAGCACTGAACAGAAATCCTGTAGAGTTTGCTTTTATATGCTTACTGAGAAGAAACAGGAGTTTTTGAAGCTGTAGATTTCCCCAAAGACTACTGTAATACTAAATACTGCTGAGTGCCAAGCACTGCTCAATGTCCCTGTGTTACTGCCTTGTTTAGGCTTCATGTTCATGTGAATGACCCACTCCTGGCTCACCTCCATTTACCATGTGTTTTATGACTGTTCCCTTTCCAGACTGCCTGGGTTCTCACTTCACCTGGTTACAGTCCATCTTCACTAACTTCCCTGCCCTTCTCAACTTTGTGAACAAGATGAAGTGTGTTACTGGGTTTTGCCCCAGGGATTTTGAAGACTATGGTTGCTCTTGCAGGTTTGAGATGGAAGGGCTCCCCGTGGATGAAGTTGATGAGTAAGTCATATCCATGAGATGTCCTTTTCTGCCCTGACTGTCTCTAAATGCCCTCATGCTCTGATTATCCAAAGCATAACACGAGTGTAAATGTTTTCAAGACAGTTGTGAAAAAAAAAAAAATTATTTGGGAGTAAATAAGACCCACACCATCTGGCTCTGTTTAATTAATCATCACTCGCCACTGGAATGTCTGATATGACCAACGAAAGATAACTTCAAGTCTGGTATATCAGCCCTTCCTGTGTTATTCCTACCTGCTGGTGAGCACTGTCTGCTTTGCTGGGCCAACAGCTCGTGCCAGTTGCCTCAGAGCACGGCTTGGGAACAGACCTTTGTGAACAAAACCTCATTCATCCCTTGGTACTGGGGAATTCTCCAGAACAAGTAAATCAGTGACAAAAACTGGAGGCCCTGTTAATAAAGAGAGTGGGGGAGCTCTAATCTGAGCAGTTTGGTGGGTTTGCAGTTTTACCAAACTGTTGGTATTGGGGGCTGTGTAATAAACCAGCAATCTAAGTTCATAGTGGACTCTAATAAAAATCTTGGCATCTGAGGGGGATTTAGGCATCAGCAGAATCAGGTTACAGCTAAGTATGACTTTAGGTGGCGTAAGGAGCTTAAGTAGATCATGCCCTGAGTGCCTTTGTACACGACAAGGTTGTAAGACATGAAAGCATCAAGGCCAGAGAAGAGCAATGTAGCTCAATGTTTCTTCTCAGTACCATGCACCAGGAAAAAAACCATCCAAACTCCACTCTGTGCTTTAGAGGGACATTGCCCCAGACTGACTGGGCTGGTGAGAAAAAATGTAAGCTTGGGCCAGGACAATCAGATCATTGTTCACTTACGTCAGCAGGGGGGTTAAAAGGAAATTCAAAGAGAATCAAGATACATTTATGTGTTTGCAGAAAAAAGTGTTTCCAACAATATAATGTATTAATTCCCTGCATGAAGACAGCAATGGCTCAGAAAAGGCTGATGCCTATAGCTAGATGAAAATTAATCCATCCACTTTGCAGCATGGGATGGCTGGGAGAATGGAGATCTAACTCTGCTGCTGGAAAACAGCCATGGAACTTCTCTACGAAAGGTTTTCTGAACAATTGTGATGACATCCTGAAATGAAAGCTCGAGTCAGTTCAATGGATTGATACCCAAAGAGCTGAGCACCTGGGCTTTTGCTTCACTCAGCTTTATTTTAATGTAGACCAGCATAAAACCAGAAACTACAGAACCATCCATCAGCAGGTTTGTCCTGAGAAACATCCACAGAGTCAGTTTGTGTTTACAAATTGGTTTCCAGCCCCAGGGTGAGGTATTCTTAGCAGCACAGAAATCTCACTGCCGTGTGCAGCGAACGGGGACTGACTATTGCTTTGCCACTGACACAGATGTGCCCTTGGCTCAAGAGAGCCTCCAAACCAGTGGCTGTTATGTGTTTGTCCCAGAGACAGTTCCCAAAGTGCTGCAACTTTTTTCACTAACTTATTTCTTAAAAACTAGTTTAGCAATCCTTGGGTTTTGTCCCTGTCATTTCTGTTCCACAGGAAAGGGCTGAACACCTCACTGCAGGTTTTTAAGGCATTAGAAAGTGCCTTAGTGCCTATAAACCCAACCCTTTCCTATTTCCCAGAGTAGTTAATTGTCATATCTAAATTAGGAGCCTAGTCTACCTCCATAGTCCACATGAAAAAGAAGCATGACCAGGGGACAATCCATGCCTTACAATCTCCTGCTTACAAAGGCAAAGTAAGTAAATTTTCAGATTAACTGGTGCAGTAAGTGTTGATGTAATTGTGATACTCTAAACAAACAAGAACTGCATGGAGCTTGTATTAGACTAATTATGCAGCTAGAGGAGCTTTCAAATGCTAACACATCACTAGACCTCAGGCAGAGACAGGAGTGTTTTGAGACATGTCATCAGCTAGATCCTTAAGACCCTGTTCCTGATGGAGCTCACAAACTTCAGCCTCACCTCTGAAACAAGGCACGGTAGAATTTGTGGTGCAGAGGAGCCACCAGGGCCTCTCTGCTGAATGCTATTTCATTTGTTAGCTACATTATTTGGACTCCCCTGGTTGTGAGGACAAATTAAATATTGTAACCATGATTTATCAATATAGTAAGTGATTAAATATTAAATGTTTTCTAAATATAGAAAGTGAGAAAGTGCACTTATAGCCTAGAAGGGAGCCTGGCAAGGGACAGGTGTTTGCTCTGTGCTCTAATCACCGCGGGACTGTTTTGTCCCCTGGTGCCTCAGAGCTGTGGGTGATGTGTAATAACATGTTTCACTGTGCCTTTAACAAAAATCCCATGTGAGCTTAACTAAATGCAACTCCTTACTTTGTGATCACAAGTTCACCCTTCCTGGCAGCAGCTGCTGGATGTGGGTGTTCACGTTGTCGTTACACTTGGCATGGTCCAGGCCAATGGCAATTCAATAACAGACCCATATGCTGAGTCCCTTTCTCTGAAATGAGGATATTTCAATCTCAATCTAACAGCAAACTTCTGTTTAATCTATACAACAATTTTACATGGGTTAAATTATGACTTCAGTCTTTTACTGGTGTTTCATTTACAGCTGATGTCAGTGTACACAGATGCTGCTATTATATAAAAGCAGATGATTTATCTGTGCAAACAGGTGAAGAGAGGATTGATGAAGACCTTGTTGTTTTACTGGAATTTTTATTGCTATTCACAGCTATAGTGGCCATGCAGGCATTTGAGGTTTGCAGGACAGCAACTGTGTAGGAAAACACAAGGTTTCTGACTGCCTGTGTTGTGTGGAGGTAGGAGAAAGCTGCTTCACTCCAGTGTGAGAAAATTATTTTGTGGCCCTTTCCTGTGGATAAGTGGTGCATTTTAATTCTAATTGTTGCATAGAAGTAAAAGAAATAGAGGATGACAGTACCTGTATTTATGCAGTCCCAATGAGACACAGGGCATTGCAAAGCCATTAACCCTCCATGAGTGCCAGGTTCAGAGTAGTTCTCCAAATTTGCAGTGGGAAAGGTTGGGACAGGACTGCATCCAAGACCGCTAGAGTCGAGCCATGGGACAATGTTTGTCAGTGAGGTGACGGTGCTGGGGGGAAGTATTTGGGCACTGACAGTGGATTTCTTATTTAAGCTGCCTGTAGACTCCTTGTCAGCTCAGTACCACAGCAGGACAGAAATGCGTGGTCACACACAGCACGCAGACCCGCTCCCACAACTCAGTGCTGAATCCAGATATCTTTATCCGACTACTTTCACTCAGAGAAAAGCAGTACCCAGCCTTTCTTTTGTCTGGGGATCACACCATGGATCCCCCTTTTCTCCTTTAGCACCTTTTGCATTGTTGTGCAAGAGCAACATGGCAGCATTACAGTCTGACTTCAAACTGAAACTAAATTGTGAGAACTCTCTGTTATTTCATTCTTAAGATGCTGCTTCCAGCACCGCAAATGCTACGAGGAAGCACTGGAGATGGAGTGCACATGGGACCCATCAAAGATTTCTACAGATGTCAGCTGCTCTACTGAAAACCTGACCTGTGGTGAGATTAACCTGTCACAAGAGCTAACACTGGAGCCTCACTATGACCAGAAGTGCATTCTGGTCTATCTACCAAAAGTCATAGACAAATTAAACAGAAACCACCAGGGCTTGCCAGGGCTCCTGCAACAGGCAGCCTCTCCCTGAGGTTTCCCTGACTTTTCAGGACCACTAAACACTGCTTGAGATGTCTCTGCACAACAGAAATGCAGCAGATGCGGAGTAGAGACCTGAAAAACAATTCTCTTCTGAGGCGTCAAGTCTGATTTTTATAAATGAACCAGAGAGGCAATAATCTTTTTGCCAGGCATGCCAGACTTCATTGGTTTGTGTTTCAAAACCAGTGTTGGACTATGAAACTTGACTGTGTTTGGCATGGAGAAGCTCAGTATAAATAGGTTTGCACTAATGAATACAGGCACAAACCTTACAGGGAGGAAAAAGAAGGTGGAAAATGTTTTTCAATAGTGCCTTGTTTGGATTTTTGTTTTATTTCCAGAGTCTGGGGATCCCTGTGAACAGTTCCTCTGCACCTGTGACAAAGATGCCATTGAATGCCTTGTGAATGCACATATTAACTCTTCCCTGAATGGGCTGGATGTCTCCTTCTGTCCATCTCCAATTACAGGTAATAATAAGGATCTGATCCACTGCCTCCTCCTGCCAGTTTGTCTGCCAGTATCGAATCTGACCCAAGGAGAATGAAGCTGTAGCTGGGTGCTTTCCTGCCATAAACCTGGCAGTCTGTCCTGTTCTCAGTTTCATGTGTCCTGCCCATTTACTGCTACTCAAGTGAATATCAGGAGAGGAGAAGGCAGCAGACTAATTGCTGTCCTGGAGCAGGTCCAGGAGAGGTTACTGGGATGGGGAGGGGGCTGAAACTCATGATGAAAGAGAAGGAGGCTAGGGGGAGATGTTTTTGCTATCCTCAGTACTTAGTGAGGTGTGGAGAGAAGATGGAGCCAGACTCTTCCTGGAGGTGCATAGGGACAGGACAAGAGGCAAGACACACAACTACAACAGGGAAGTTCCAGTTAGATATGAAGAAATTTTTTTCTTCAGGAAGGTCCTGTCAGCCTTGTGAGGCTTTTTGCAGCTGGAATGAATGAGTGATATGTGTGATGAGGTCACTAGCAGGAATGCTAAAGATATTGCTGGCCAAAATCTTCCCTTGAACCATGCAAAAACTAACTGGAAAAGTGAGAAACAGGCTTATTCTGGTCAGTTACTTGGTTTCCATTTTGGAAGGAAAAATCCCTGCTAAAGGTGAAGGGGATGTTTATGTCCACTGTCATACACTGATCCCAGCTCTGTAGCTGAAATTACAGCCTTGCGAGACCAAATACCTGTCCTGTGGGAGCAGGGCTGGATTAAAAACTTCATTCCTATGGATTGCAATTGGAGCATGGCAGGGGGAGGACCTTTGGACTCCCAAACTGAGGGAGATGGGAAAAAGCAACGTTAGCTTTTCTAATCCTTTTGGCTCATAGTCACAGACCTCGGTGCTGAGATCAGGCATACACCTCTATGTCATGCTCTGGATGTGTGCATCCCCTCCTGAGTAGGTCAAGGGAGAAGAAAATGCCCCAGGCAAGTTGCATGGAAGCCAGGTTGTTTTTTGGGGGGTTGTTGTTGTTTTTTTTTTTTTTAAGACATTAATCTTTCACTGGGATCAGATGGCCCTAATGTACAGTATGGTAGTTCCCAGACACTGCAAATAAAGGGGAAATTGTTAGGTGCTAACAGGAAAATCATGCTGGTTTTACCACTGCTGATAAAGATGGATTAATTTTTAGGTCCTGGATACCTCCACTGATTTTAGGTTCTCGATTATATTTCTTGATATGAAAAAAAAGCCTTTTAATTAAATATTTTTATTTAGTATTCAGTCATGTTATTATCCTTCTGTGTAGCTATTCTGTTCAGTTCAGATTTTGGGGGGAAAAAATCCTATCTGGTAAATTTACAGGAAAAGGATTTTGGTAGATTCTTTATTACAGAGAAAAATTTTAGTAAAATGGGTATGTGTTTGACTAAACCTTTGTTTTAATAGGAATATATTCAATGAATGCCTGACTTATTCAGATCAAACAGTGACAAATCCCCTTCTCACACTTTATGACAGACCTTTCTCTTTTTCAGAAACAATCAGCAACAGAGAGCTGACAACACGTCATACAGAAGGTAGGTCATCTCTATAATTCTTTGTCTGGAACATATTAAATTGAGACCAATTTATACTCAGAAAAATAACCTGCTGAAACAGGAATTTAAAGAATGGTGATTGCTAGCCAATTCCTATTTTTTTTATGTTGAAACTCTTTGAGATTATTTTTTATTATTGTACTCTATGTTGCTGAGTAGAATTTAGTATCAGCATGGTATAAGTACTAAATCAGAATTTTAATACTGCTACTGTAATTTTAAATAATTAGGTTTATATTTTCTATATTTATATCATAAAATAACTGCACAAAAAGGACAATAATAATATTTAGAAATAAATTCTCTTTTGATTACTCTTATCATGTTATGCCAAGATCCAGTCTAAGGAGCATCCTAAGCCATGAGTCTCTGGAGTTAACAATGCTTTTCCTTTTGCAGAGCTCCTTCATCGTGGGACTGATGAAACATGGACAGTGACTGCATCTGTGGAAGAAGGTTTGCAACTTAGAGTGCAAGAAGCTCTGTTTTCAGCTCCCAAAAGCTGAAAGAATACAAGCTGTTCACTTTCTTTCTGCCCTTCTAAAAGGACTGATGTAGAAGCAGATACAATGTTTTGGTGATTGAATTCAAGACTGAATGGGAAGGTGCAATTTTTCAATTTGTGCATGTAATGTGTTTAACCAGTGTTTACAGTAAGTTTCCCAAGAGCTGAGAATGAGCACTCTGCAACAAAATCTGTTTTCACAAACAGCCTTTTTTTCCCCTGGGAACACAGGCTGGAGCAGGTGAGCTGTTTGGCAGAGACGTGCTGTGTGGGTGCCAGCCACTGGACCCACAGCTATTTGCATATTTCTTGTCTTTAAAGAGATGTTTGTTTAATTCCACAAGATCAAGCAAGAGCAAGAGGAAAGACTGAACATGGTTTGTGGCAATGAGGCAGCAGTTTGGTGATTTATTTATTTGTAATGCAGAGATCCAGGTTGAACTCTTCTCACTCTGGTGCCTCCTGGGTGAGTCCCTAAACCACGAGACCAAGTGGTTCTTGTGACAGTCTTCATTTTTTTTCCTGCTACAATCAATGTTTGTCTTATTGAGGAGTCTATGCTTGCAAAAACTCATTGCTGCAGTGTTGTAGTTTGAGACCCCCAAAATCCAATTCTTGAGTCCAAGCTCCCCTCCCCACATCTCAGCCAGTGTGAGATGGGTTTTCCAGACACCACACAAGACTCAGTATGGGGGGAAAGGGGATTATATTACAATGACTGTACAAATAAATATCACAATACATCATATACATAATCTTAACTATCTTTCCTATGATAAATCAGTATTTACAATGGATCAATCTTTTCTCCCTCCAATAAAAGTCCAGAAGGGAAAAGGAAAGATCCTTTCCACTCTTTGAGTAGCAGTCTCTCTAGGGCAGCAGTCTCTCTTCTATCTTCCATGCAGCAGCTGTAGCTGGATCTCTTTCCATTACACACGAGGAGGGTCTCCAAGCCCCTCTCAGCCCTTCGACTTCAAGCAAGGGTCTTTCTCTTCCGTGGGCTGCGTTCACCAGGACAAAGGTCGCTTCACCACGTCATATCACGAAGTGCAGGAGTCTTCGTGACGGTCCCTGTCCTCAGGGGATTCAAGCTCCCTTGCAGAGCTCCCGTGCTCTGTCTCAGGCTGTTAGCTTAGCAGCAACAGTGGCGGGGAGGGCAAAGTCACCCCCTCCACATTCCATCTGGCCATCCCAGTCCAGTTCCGGGACATCTTTGAGCTTCTCAGCTCCTCTCTCCGGTGCATGCTGCATTTTAGGACTTCCATCCAGTAGGAGTGCACCCCCTCCACTTAGGAGAGGTCACAAAAGGGTTTTGGGGGGTTTGTTTTAGTTCTTACCCCAAACTTTGTCTCTGTAGGGCTTAGTTCTGCTCTCTCTCTCCATTAGAGATCTCTGTGTCTTCCTTAGCTGCATGCCGTCTCTGCTGCTCCTTATCTCCTTCTGGCTCTCTGCCACTGTTCTCCGGTCAGTGCTGTTTCTGCCGCTGCTCCGTCTGCCCACTCACGATGAAGAAAACTCTTTCAGCTTTCTAGCTACAGATCTCAGTCCAGTTTACCACTGTCCAAGTTCCTGCAGCCCCCCAGCTGGGGCTGGGGGGGTCTAGCCCCCCAACGGGCCTCTGGGCCCCTTCCTTGTGGCTCTACAACATGGCCACTTCAACAACAACAACTACCCTTCTTTTCCAGTCTGGCTGTTGATATGTTTATATCTTGCAGGAGCACTCATTGGCTCAACCCCAAGGGTCACCACCCCCTGGGGGGGGTTACCATTTTTTTTAACTCCAGCGGGAAAACTTTTTTTCCCCCACTACATACAGTATGAGAAAACTACTCTCTTCCTGCCTGCATGGTGAGCACTGCAACACGAGAGGCCAGGGACAGAAGTCACCCAGAGCCCTTGGTACCTCTGGGAGGGCACACCTGATAAATGAGGGCCAAGTCCTGCAGGCAGGAAATAGAGAAGGAGACAGGTCTTAGACCAGCCATTGCCCAGTTTAGCTGCTGAACTCTTGCTATGAGGCTCCTTCACAAGCAAAGCCCCACTGCCATGTTCAGAGACCCCCTATCTGCCAAGCATATGAGCACTGGGTGGGTACAACCAAGCCACTGCTTAACTCAGAAAATCACAGAATGGTTTGGGTTGGAAGGGACCTTGAAGATCAGATGGTTCCAATGCCCCTGCTGTGTGCAGGGACACCTTCCACTAGACTTGGTTGCCTGGGGAGAGGTGGAAAGTCGCATTTTTTTAGAACTTCAGAACCTGGTTTCAAGGTGTAGTGTGCTCCTCTCTGTGAGCCACTGCCCTAAGTGTCAATTTGGAATAATGAAAACCATACAGAATCTTACTTTTTTTTTTTTTTTTAAGAAACAACACTTCTGACTTTTAAAGGGTTATTTTTTCTATTATTTTTTAAAAAAACAGCACAGGCATAAGTGTGTGTACTCGAAAAGGCTGAGTGTAAGTGCTGGCTGTTCCTTCATATCTCTCTTGTATTATCAAAGTAGTTTTTTTACCAGATATTTCTCATTTTCACCTAGCAACAGCTCCAGTTTTGGTCCATGTTTTTCTAGCTGCTTCTGGGAAGCTTGGTAATAGAAAACTGAGAACTCCTGAAGGAGCAAGAGCACCTGTATTTGCACATCTGCAGCAATCTTTTACTTCCTGAAAAACAATTACTCATGCTCTCTAAAGAGGTATAAGTCCAACATAAGGCTCAAAATATTACCAAGGGATAAAAACCTGTACTAGGAATTTTAGAAAGCTGAAAATGTATCACAGATAACATACCTAGTCAGACTTTGAAGGAGACATTTGGAGAACCACCTACCATTTAATTCTCCTCGTTCAAGCCCAAAGGAGCTTCCACTTTGACAACTCTGGAAGATGCATTAAACACAAGTTAAATATCACTCAGAAACTCATTCAAAGGCAAAGGCATTCTTCTTCACATCCCAAAGCCCTAACAACACACAAAAAGAGGCAGAGATGATTTTTTGGATCATTTGATAGCCATGCTTCTAATTTGTCAAAAGGTAACTGATAAATTATATTCATTTTATCAGGTAAAGAAATAAATTAGAGGTTAGGGAGTTATTTGGCCTTATAGCTGCCCGCCCATATCTGTGCAGGCAAACACGAGGTGTTCACAAGGTGGCATCTTTCTGTGCACAACAGTGGGATTTCAGACCTAATCCTGTTTAGTCTATTTGTGTGTCAAATGGACTTCATTTTGAATTTCCCACTTCAGTCATATTTATGCTGCTTCTTTCATAGAATCATAATCCTATGTTAGTGCAAAGTACATTATTTGCATGCAGCAATGAGATTATTTTATCAATATCACTTTGTCTACAACAATCAATACACCGCTGAAAAAAATAGGCAAATCTCTCTCCATGACATGCCTGGGTCTTCCTGTTTTCAGAATAATCACTTAGCAACTATTCATAAGAGTCTGTGCTGGCAACTTGTTTTCTGAGTTTACATTTTCTATCTTCAACAGTGATTTCTTTTGAGCCCAGTGAAATGATCTTGGTGACTCCCAAAGCCAGAGGTAAGAATCTGATTAAACTTCTATTAAAAATTTGGTGGTCTTGACTCAAGGTGAAGTTGGATTTTCATTTATGAAGCTCTGTGGTGTCACAGTCAAAAATCTGCAGCACAGGATTTCTGGATAACACCTCTACTACTTCTGCTGACTCGCACATCCTTCAGCAAACCACTTCCTTTCTCCTAATTACCCTCTTTATAAAACCATGCTAATAGTGATGTTTGTTTAAGCTTTACAATGCATTCAGGAGTAGTCACTCCAGAAATGCACAGCAGAAATGTAGCAGGTAGGTCACTACCACCATGCCTCTGTTTTTTGTACAGTAACCATGAGGGACCACAGAGGAACAGCTCCTGCTCCTCCCATCCCGTCGATAAAAGGTCAGTGGCCCTCAGCTTTCCTCTTTCTTTGACTGACACAGCAATTCTTTCTCTAAAAGCATCACAGTTAAAACCCTGGGCATGGTGACAACAGGGCTGCCAGAGAATCAAATTTAGATCGGGGTCAGATAGCAGATACACAAACAATAAAACCAGACTGAGAAGCACTAGCTGTTTCTTGCCTCCAGCCACTCATTTGCACTCCTCACCCAAGTATTTCTGAAAACCTCTTCACATAAGGTTTTCAGATGTAATGGTTGGTGCTGTAAATTACATTCATAGCATCTGCTGCCAGAAGGGTTCACTTTGATTTTGCCTCCTCCTTTATTATAGATAATTTCATCAAATTCTTTACTAGTCCAAAACCTGTTTCAACTTTCACAGGTGTCTGTGCTTCAAGCACAGCCATACCAGTAGGTACAGCTAAAAATGGAGCACCTTGGTAGACTTGGAACTTTTCTGTGGCCCTCTCTGTGTAGAAAGGATTATCCAGGCAGAATGAAATGCACCAGAAAAATGTCAAGGTACACCGCATATGGAGAGTAGAAAGTAATCATTTTTTGACTCTGATTACACTGAGCAGTATCCTGTCTCCCACCTCAGTGCAGAAATTTGGCATTACTGTACAAACACTGGTGAAAATTACTAAATGTTCTCCCCCTTAATTTGAATGTATCAGAAAATCTGTGTATTGTGTTCCAGGTCTGCACAGCTCCCAGGAGATTATTTGTAACATTTATTCTTTGTGCAGAACTTCCCAAACTCTGGGTTTATTTTCTAAATCTAGCAAGAATCGCTTTCATTTCAACACATCACTGCCTCAGTGGTATAAAATGTGCATCTTGCTGAGCCATCAAAACTAGTGTGTGACTATTGATCGCTTTCTGCCACCTTTCATGGGCTTTGTTGTGTTCTTAGCAGTACTTTAATTTCTTCTAATCTGTTCTCATGTCCTATGACAGGTTATTTTCAAAACATACTAAAACCAGAACGTCAGAGAGACAAGTTTAATGAATTGGGGTTTAGTCCAATTAAAAATTTCAGCCAAAGAATTCAAAAGAAAAGCTCTTAAAATATTGAAACTCAAGCTCACTGGTATTTTCAAAGTATTTAGTTTGTGAAATGCCACATGCTTCATATTGACATTTAGAAAAAATGAAACCATTTGATAACAGTGCTTTCTTTTACAAGCTAGCTTATATAAAAAAGAAGGTTTAAAAAGAAAGAAAAAAGGATGTTAAGTATCCACAAATTTAACAAAACATTCCTGCTCAACAATAAATATATACCAATTTAATTTTTAAACTAATCTCCTGAAAATAATGTATTTATATGTCAAATCGTTTTGCCCTTGGTATTTCCTTGTTTACAACTCAGTAAACCCTTCAGTCAGCCAGCTCTGCATCAGTCAAATAATTTCCCGCTTTCACTAATGTTGCTCCACATTTTGGAACCTTCAGGTGAACAGACACTTTTTTTAAAGCAATTTACTCAGAAAATGACATCTCATGACATCTCACCTGGGCTTTATCTCTCAGTACAGCTGACTAAGAAGCAACCAACATGGTTTTCAGCAACTGGCACAGCTCTTTTTCTCAGTACACATAAAATTAAAATAAAAAATCAGCAGTTAAACTGATCATCATTAACAACAGTCCCTCCTTCTGAAAGGCAAGGAATGTGAAGAAATGACCAGTGTGGATACTCTTTGCTTTTCCAATTTTCCTGTTGAATGTTTTTTCTCTATGACCATCAATTCCCACTGGTTCTGCCTGAGGATATTATTCTGACCAGCTATCTAAAATTAAAATCTTGCTGTTTATTTTCCATGTCTTCTTCTGCTTTCCTGTTTCTGCTTGCTCAGAAGCAGATGGATTTATGGCAGCTGTGGCCCCAGTGGAAGCGATAACCACCTCCCCAGCCTCATTCCCAGGAGATATTAACTCCATGCAAGTCAAAATTGTCCCCACCGAGAAGATTTCCACAGGCACATCTGCAAGGACAAAAGAAAAAGGCAAGTAAAAAATTAATTTATAGCACTCCCCTATTCCTGTTCACAGCTATCTGAGGAGTCAGCATTTTTCATGGATATGCAGACTAACATTATTTTCTCCCTAAATCTGGATAGGTTACATAAAATGCGGGGTGCACAACACTGACTGACCCTGGAAAGGGTAGTCTGACTGGACAAGGAAAGCTTAACTGGCAAGGAAAGCTTAACTAACATTTAATGAACAGCCTCCCACTACAAATTTAACAATTTTAGAAGACTGCCAGTTGATTATCCTTCAGAATGTGCACACATCACTGAAAGAAGAATTTATTCTACCTTCACAAATCTAATCTATGCATCTGTCCTCTCCAGAGACAAGTCCTGCAAGGGGTGGCCCAAGCATAGCTTCCTCTGCAATAGCTCTGGAACCAGGACTGTCTGACAGGGGACCCAATGAACCTGCAGGAAAAGGTAAATAAGGGGTTATTTCCCCATTATAGCTGATAAAATATTCATCTACCTCTATATTAAAAGTAGGTATATATTACATATAGAGATTATAGTTACTCTAAACCAGTTAGATAAGCACAGATGTATTGGTATTTATAAGAAAGGAGATGCAGACATCTGCAAAACCTTTCGTCAGTTTAACCTCTTCTGCCAATGTGCTATCACTAACACTTAAAGAACCTACTTATTATTAGGTTATAAGAACATTTTTCATACAGTGCAAAATCTAAAATGAGCTCAGTGAATGTTCCCACTTGCTTTTAGGCAGTTCCTACTGCTTGTAGGCAGTAATTTAATCACATTTTTAAGTTACCTTGTTTTACAGCAGAAGCAATATTAGGAACTTCCTTGATCCTCATTCTGACCATTTGCAAGTCTTGCCAGAGTCAGACTTTTTCTCACCATTTCTGATTCTATTCCCATTCCTGCTCAGAGATCCCAGAAATCTCAAGACATTTCAGACCTGACACTGCTGTAGATTCACACTCATGGACTGTACCATCCATCTTGTTTGGTTTCCCAATGGAGAGAAGCAGCCCCAGAACTGGAAAAGAGCAGACATGAAGACTCAAACTAATCTTCCACCAAAGTGGAAAATTTGATTGTAAAATATCAGCTGTTAGAGAGGACATGTCAATGCATGAACCTTGTGGTTCATTCTCAGTGAATTAACATGAGAGAGTGAAGACTCAAGCAGGCATATAGGCAGAATTTCCTTTTGGAGGCAGTAAGCCAGGGTTGTCCCTGGAAGAAGCAGGGAGTCAGTCTAGAGCTGCAGAAGGGAAAATGGGATTATTTATGGGAGCGAGGAGGATGCAGAGGGAACAGAAGCCCTCCATCTCTCTCCTCCAATCCAACCAATCAGTCCCTTCAAGTCCTTTCCCTGGCAAAGTCTCAGAAGAGTCCCCCTTGACATGTTTTTCTGATATGGAACACTGTGTTCTCTCAAATCTTAGGAATAATTCCCACAATATCAGTTCTTCTTGAGTGGGGGGAGCCACAGAGACATTAGGATTGGGACATGGTGATGCCAAAACCTTGGCACCACAGCAGGCACTACAACAGATCATTCCTGCATCTGGACTAGGAGGATTATAGATTGAATTGAACTATATTTCAAATGAAACCAAAAAAGATACAGCACAACATGGTCATTGTCCAGCTATCACTGTGCAAGCACAAGGGGTATTTGCTGAATCAGCTGAGACAGAAGCCACTGAATACTCAGAAGAAAAATTTAGCTATGAAGGATTACAAAGGACTGCAAAGTATTCTCATTGCAATCCAATTTGACTTGTAATTATATTTTCAGAGGAAATCTCTCTCCCCTTTAAATATTTCCCTATCCTTCCGCTGTCTTGCTCAGCAGAATTCTAAGAGCCATAATTCATGGACTGGAGCAATAATTTACAGATTATAAAGTGTTGGCTTTCAAAGTTTCTGACAGCTCTGAAAACACTTTTGTCATGACAAGGGAGCCCCCAAGCAGTGAAAACATGATGTGTCAAATAACAACTTTGCTTTACAGTGTGTGAGCGATTAACCTTTCTGCAAGAGAGGGGAAGTGGAAGAGCGAAGAGGGAGCTGCCCCAGCTTGGAGAAATGCTGTTCTGCTTAACTGAGCGATGCCCAGAGGAATTTGAGTCTTATGGTTGCTATTGTGGCCAAGAGGGAAGAGGTCATCCCACCGATGCACTGGACAGGTGTGGGCTCTTCTTGTTTGCCATTAACTGTGGGCATTATCGTGGTGCCCAAGGACTAAAAAAGATCAGTGCGTCTTTTGTTGGGCATTGAATAGCTACGTATCAGCAGTCAGGTCACATTTTGGGGAAAAAAAATCCACTTAAATACGTTAACACATTAAATACTCTGATGTCACTAAGACCCATTCTACTGTTGCGACAGCATTTTGGAGAGGACATACTAACTCAAAATAAGAAAGGAGAATGATGGCAGGTAAGCAGAGCAGAAGGAAGGGTATATTAAAAGGGATGAGGACAAGTGAAACTTGGCTAACAGGTGGTTTGGAAAGTGATTTATGAAGAGTTAACATCCACCCACACTGCACTGTCCTTCAGAAGAGAGAAGAGCCGGACCAAAGTCCTCCTGGAGCTGCAGCCCAAAGCCCTTCCATGCCTGACTGTGTGCTGTTATGGCACGGCTGTTAATGAGGAATAATGAAGAGAATTCAACCAAAGTAAAGACATCTCCTCTGAGAATATTGTATTTACAAATAAAAATCTGTCCCTCTGTGGAAGCTGGAGCACATCAGGTCTAAATATAGCACCTGGTATACAGCACACACCTTTTCCCTACACTTGCACACAAGTAAGACTGCCCATGCATGAAAAATTAGGCTAGATGAAGGTTAGTGATCTGGCTATCGCGATGTAGTTTTCATATTTTCAGCCAAGATTTGATTACTGGAAGACACTTCTCATGGCAGATTAGGTCATGGTCACAATTGTAATTATGTGCCTTAAAATTAAAACAACCCCCCCTAAAAAACAACAGCATTGTTAAACACGTGACACCAAAGGAATTAGGAAGGAAGAAAAAAAAGTAGGAGCAAGTATAGAAGGTAAGCAGGAATAGTTCGGGTTTTCTTCTTTATAGAAAAAAAAATCCATGGTATGAAAATTTCTATAATTTCTAAAATTTCTTAGTTTTAATGGGCATTGAAAATAAAGACCTACAAATAATTGTGAGCACTCTGGGATGCAGGAAGTCTAAGTATTTTCCATTTACATCTACTGTTTATTTTAGATGCTGCTTCTCTCATCACTGTTGTATGGAACAAGTTAAGAAACTTGGATGTCATGCAGAAAGAAGTTCCAGATCTGAAGTATTATGTATTGATCATACGCCAAAATGTAAGTTTGTGTTAGAGGAAATTCTCATGTCCTGACAGTCTATCAGCATGACAGACTGAGTGCCACCATGACTGAGAGCTGCTAGGGCTGAGTATGGAGACAGAATTATTTAGTTTAGAAAAAGTTTGCAACATTTACTTTAAACTAGAGCTTTTTTCCTAGTTGAGGCAAAGATTATTACACCACTGTGCATGATGTGACCAGATCAGGTTGAGAAAATTACATTCAGACATTTTGTAATTGCAGACAGGAGTCAGCTCTTTGTGTCTTTATATTCACAAATTCAACTAAAGCCAGTTGGACCTTCTGCTGCCGAGCACCTTGGTGTCAGGCTTGTATTTAGATGGCTAAAGGTGAATTTGGAGACTAAAATTTGAGGCAGATTTGAAAATTTTATCACACATTGGCTAATTTTAACTTCTTTCAAACATTAATTCTTAAACTCTTCTTTTTAAGGCATTGGTTGGAGCATATGTGAGAAACTCCTCTGTGCTTGCGACACGGCGGCAGCCGAGTGCATGGCCTCTGCCTTCTTCAACGAGAGCCTGAAGCTTCCACATGGGCGGGAGTGCCGGGAGGAGAAAGCCTTCTGTCAAAGTGACCCTTATGAAAGGCCCCCAATAGGCACAGAAACAGGCACAGGTGTTTCCAGCTCTGAGGAGAGTAGTGAAGAGGAGGGTCCACTGCGGAGACCATTAAGAAGAGGAAAGAGAGGGACACGCCGTTCCGTTGGGAACTCCAGAACTGTGGGACGTGGAGGCAGATAACCAGCCACCTTCATGGGCTTGGGAAGCAGCACGGAGCCTTTTGCAGTCAGCCACCGTGTACCTTACTCCTCCTTACCCTCTACAGGCTGCCTTACACAGCACACAGATGATGTAATCATAGACTAGGTATTAGAGTTAGGCTGTATTAACTCATTACTGTAGGGAGGTCAGCATTACAGACCATCTATCTAGGTCAGATACAACACTAAATAATTATTTGACAGTGTTCTGTATAATTTCACTTAATTTTTATGTAAAACCTGTTCTGATCACAGACTGATTTTTGTTAACTGTGTGCTTGGTTCGGATTAAATCTCGCTGATGGTGGCTAAGTATTTCAGGTTTTTAATTAAACCAATCTGTAACTACTGCAACTCCTTTTGCAGACATTCTTCCTTTACTGAGCTTAGCAGGAAATACCCAGAAGGAAAGCTAAAGTAATTACATGAAGATGAGCTCCTTTTTCCATTCCTATCTATAGCTGAGTGTGACTCACTTCTGAGGGGAAGAGAAGGCCCAAAATGCTGGACAGACCCTTCTCTTAGGAAGTGTCTTGCCTCCCTGGGGCCCAAGTTAAGGACATCACTAGGAAACTTCCCAGGTTGGTATGGCCCTTGGACTATTACTCATTACTGTTCTTCCACGTGAGGGGCGATGAAGTCATGACGTGTAATCCAAGGGTGATCAAGAGACTTCAGCACCTTGGAATGGTTGGTCACGGAATGTGGAGCACAGGTAATTTTTAGCCCTATCCTTCCAGAAACAGACAGACCCAGTCTATTAATATCTGTCTCCATGGCTGGTGTCACTGCTAGAATTTTGGGGTTTTCTGGTAACAGCACCAGGCCTGCTGGTGTCAGATGGGATTCGCCTTTCTCACAGGGGAAAGAAGGTTTTTGCTCATGAGCTATCAGGGCTGACAAGCTTTAAAACAGACTTGAAGGGAGAGAGGGATAGTATCAGGCTGTGACAAGTCTTTAAAAGTCCCTTCCAACCCAAACCATTCCATGATTCTATGACTCACATTTGTTAGAACAAAAATTTTGCTACAAACTTCGCAGGGATTCAGATGCTCTGAAAGGTCTGGATTTCTTCTGTATCACCTCGTTCTACAGGGCTGAACTTTGTCACCAAAGTTTTCCTTAAAGACCAATGACTGTATCCTCATGATGGATACAGAGATGCTACCTGTGTTTTTCCAGATCATGCAGCAGTTACCTAAACTCCAGCATTTGATCTGTGCAAACTGAATGGTGTGAGAACTGCAGATGAAAACTCCAGTGAATGTTCTTGGATGAGCAGTTTATATGGCATAAACCTCTGGCTGGTGCTATTCCCCTCTCAGTATTTTTCCTACATTCAAACTGCAAAGGATTAGTGCAGTGCAAAAAATCCCCAAAAAACCAAAACACAAAAGCAAAAAAACCACCACACACACTCCCAAAATAAACCCCCAAAGGTGTTTAGTCACGTGAATCCCACTGGATCCCAGTGGCTACACCACCAGTACTAGTGAAAAAACACAACAGAATAAAAGGACATTTTTTAAGGGAAGGCAGAGAGGACAGCCAAGTGATGTGAGAAATTCTATCTGCAGACAAGATTTTAATTAAGTTCCTCCTTATGCTGTAAAGAAAGAGGACATCTCAGTTCTGAAGCAAAACGCTACAACTGCAAAATGCCCATTTTTGCCCTATGCTGAGGATGAGATCTGCATTACACTGGAACTTTCATCAGCCTTTTATCTTAGGGATGAAAAATTATTTTATATTTCACAGCATTTCTAAATAAAGACGGCAATGAAAAAGTGAGATAATGAGCTGAAATGGGAAAAACTGGCCTTTAAACAAGTGAATGAAGTGCACTGCTGAGCAATTATAACACCAGCTCATTTCTCTGATGAGAGCAGTGCTGCTGCTCTGAACACTGCACCTTAAAATAAAAACTCACTCCTTTCTGCTAATTATTAGAAACCAGTATTAACTTCATGGTTATACAAATAACACATGCACATACTCACTCAACAACGCTGAATTTTCTGATTGCAGAGATAGGGATGGATCATCTGAATCGATCAAGTAACAGAGAAATTACAACATAAATATGCTGTTATTCAGGCAATGTTGTCATTAATTCCTTTGGTTTTTTTTTTTCCAGTATCTCTTACTTCAGGTAGAATTTAACACCCAAGTTGTGCCATAATTACTATCACATGAATTGTGTGGATAAAGAGAAGTCTTAAAATAATCTAGCTATGATTAGCTGTATTTATTGATTCTCAGAGATCAGTGCTAAAATAATAGAAAAATGTCAAGCAGATCAAGACATTGAGCATAGCTTTCTTCTTTCTCCTCTCATTCTCACAGTCACTTTACATCATATATTTCACAGATTTTGGGCACAGATGGCTGAAACCTAGTTGAGGCTGCACTCAAATCTCACTGTCCATGTCGCTGACAAAGAGTTTAAGAAGTGTCAGTACCAATACCAACACCTGAGGATGCCACTCATCACTGGTCTCCACCTGGACATTGAGTCATGAATGCAACCATGCAGCCAATTCCTTATCCAATGAAGTGGGCCATCAGTCAAATCCATGTCTCTCCAGTTTAGAGACACCTCCAGGGATGGTGACTCCACTGCTTCCCTCGGCAGCCTGTTCCAAAATGTGGGACACCTGCTCAAGGAGGTGGGTGGTTTAGGAGAGCAGACACACACAGCTGAGGCACTCAAAGGGACCTCAGAGGTGATACAGTTTCTGCTAAAAACAGGGTCAATTAAGAGGCCACACCTGGTACCTCAAGGCTGCATGCAGTTGGGTTTTGAAAACCTCCCAGCACAGACTGAACAACCTCTGCTGTGCCTTCCCATCAGCAAGGTCCCCCAGACTCTGTGTAGGGACAGGGTTCAAGGAGAAGCAGGAACAGCAGCAGGTAAGCTCCGAGTCACCAGTCACTTGGGAGGACTCTGGGTTCCTTCCAGTCTGATTTATTTTATGACTGTACCCCCAAAACAAGGGGCAGAAAACTCACACAATTGTAAGTGACTAGAATTGACACTATAAAGCCAACAGGTTTTTTAACCAGCAAAGTAGGCCTGAAAAGCACAAGTTATTTATCTTCTCGAAGTTTATTTGCTTTTAGAAAATTATTTTTGTATCGCTGCACTCTCAAATTCTGGTGGCCTTAGAAACAGCAATGGTTTAATAGTAAATAAATGTAGTATTTTAATAATGCTGCAGTGCTGTAACATTTGCAAAACCAAGTAAAATGGTGTGTAAAACAAGCTCTATTTTAAATGCTAAAAATGATGTCATTGACATCTTAACTGTGAGCAGTAAATATAAACTGACACACCTTAGAAAAAAATAATTTGAAATTTTGGTTTATTTTATTGCTTAAATATAGATTGCACAGTGTGTTCTTACATTTATTGAAACTGGTTCATTACATACAGTACAGAATATATGACCATCAGAACAACAGACAAATTAGCCCTACTGTGATTTTGGACAACAGGCTATTTCTATCTTTTGAAATTACCACAGATTTAATTTACCTTAAAGTGACCCACTACAAAAGCTATATTTTTTTTCAAAATGACATAATGGGAAAGAGAACCCAAAGCACTGGAATACACTTAAACAGCTGGGTACCAATTCATAACCATTATGACAGTGCACAAAATGTTGCAGATAAAACAGGACCAGTTTGCATAAGGAGCTTTTAAAGCTCTGCAACTTGTCTGAAGAACATAAAGAGAGAAGTGAAACATAGCAGCTTCATACTGTACAACAAACAGCATTCTCAATTCTTTTGGTTTCATTCATTAGCTACCTATAACAATAGCTACCAAAACAATACATTTTACAGTCTCTCCTGTCTCCCATACGTCTAGAAAGGTCAAAGTGAACCAATTACCAACTTACAGACTCCCTGAATTTCCAGAAAGGAAGAAATTAAATATCACGTGAACACGCAGAGTGTTATAAGCTCTTTGTTCCCTGCACAAAACCTGCATTTATCAAACAAAGCTCATTTGAACACTGGAAACATGGAAACCTGCCATTAGCATAAATGAAAAATACTTCATAAAAAGAACAGAAAATGAAATGCTGAATCTAGTTATTTTCACATGCAGCATTCATGCAACAGAATTCAATCACAGAAACAATCCTGTATTTACAGCATAGTCTTCATACTGCACAAGTGCAAACAGAAGTACATTCTTTATTACTTAGACTCCTTATTTTCTTTTTGTACAAAAGTGCCGAGTGATATTCTTAAAAAATTACAGCGTGGAGAAATGTTTTACATTGTATCCCTAGGTTAGATTTACTGTTTAAAAAATTACACTTTTTATATAGGCCAAAAAGCTATTAGTCTTACCTTAAAAAAAAAAAAAAATGAAAACTAAAGGCTAGAGTCCTATTTATGTGTAGACTGTGGTCTGATCAGGCTGACACGCTGCAGCAGTAAAAATCGCAACGGAATGCTGTAGATAAGGGGCTGTTTCGTCATCCACTAACAGCTGTGATTGCACTGTTAAACTGAAAAGAAGGTCTCAATTACCTTTTGAGCTTTGTGAATGCCTTCTGAAAGTCTCAGCATGTCATCTCATAGGTTTAAGTAGCTGATATTTGTCTGATGTTATGCCACATCAGGCTTTTAAAAGTAGTTCAGCAGAATGCTGAACTACAGTTCAAAAAACTTAAAATCCTTTTTACAGTGGGTTTGCAAGTGCTTCAAACAGTCAGCAAATTAGCTGGGCTGATAACCCTTCAGATGGTAGAGTTATGCAATCAAAGATTAATTTAGGTTGGGACTTCTGAAAGTCATCTAAACCAAGCTCCTGCTCAAAGCAGGGCTAACTGAAGTTAGATCACTTTGTTCACGGCCTGATCGTTGTTCATGCAAACCACTGGCTAAATTAAATGTCTACATTTATTACAGATTTTTGAGAGCATTCATTCATGTTTGTGCTGCTTCAGTCAGATTCAGAGAGATTAAGGGACTTCAAACTTAATATGCATGGCATCAATGAATGCTGTTTTTCTTTTTTGCCTGCAGAATTTAGTGAGTCATAAGACAGTCTTGGCAATTATCATCAAATGTCAGTGATTTCCTGTATCACTTTTACTTTATTTACATTTAATAGTATGCTCAGATACATAAACCTATGAAAGTTACCTTAAAGTTTTGAGAAATGAAACAAAAACAAACACAGAGATGCATCTCTAAAAATGCTTTTGCTTGAAAATATATGTAATAAATTCTTGATCTTTAAATGGTTTCATTTAGTTTTCTTTCAATTTCTAAATATCACTAAAAAGCTGTAATAAACTACAGAGAAATGCCTCATAGAATATATTTATAATTTCATTAATTATTATTTAAAATGCCCTCAGTTTATTTTCTGCTATACTAAATATATCTCTCGTGTATTTATACTAAAGCAGACAGTAAAATACTACTATGTTTTCAAAAGTACAGTCTGTAAACCATACACCTTAAGACACGAAAAATATTGCACAATTTCTTGCTTTGAGAGGAGATTTCTCCTCTCTTATGCAAAGCATTAAACTTTTAGCAAGAAACACAGGACATATACTGGGCATATCTACCTAAAAAGCATGTTATGTGATGCATCCAAAAAATACTTAACAAGTGTCCATTAATTCATTTGTTGTACTTGAACACATGTAAGGTATTGGTTTTTTTCCATATATTTCAAAGCAAACAAGTTGACTAGCTATGACAGTATGAACAAAAGGGAGCTACAGTAGTGCTCCACTGGTTACATTTAATGAGATGAAGCAAGGCAAAAGCATTCTAGTTAGACATAGAATTGAGGTGGGGATGAGAAAAAAACCCAACCAACCAAAAAAAAAGGGAAAAAAAAAAGATTTAACAGGTTCTTCAGTTACAGTATCTCCAATTAAAGGAATTTGCAGCAACACAAATTCCTAGAGTAACTGAAATATTCCCCTGTATGGCAAGACAAGTTTTATGTCTGACTTTTACATGTACTCAAATATGAAAATGAAACATGATCTATGAAAAACCTAACTTACAATATATTACAGAAGAAAACAATTCAAGACAATTTCATGAATTTGGCTAAAGTAATCTGTATTTGGCTCATGTCCATCATTATATTACTTAGTTTAGATACAGTAAACAATAAAATTTGAAAACTCATCTTGTTCTTTCTATTGTACTCTATTCTAAATAATGTCCAGCAGACTTCAGAAGACACTTAATACACACAAAGATCTGGAAACTTCATCTCATAGACTGGAACAGAATGGTAATGAGCATGTCCAGCAGTAATGGTCATCGTTCCTGAGGGGCTAGGCGGAGGACTGTGTGAGAAGCACAATCAATATATGTAATTTATAATTACATGGATTGCTTTGTTATAATTTTACACACTAATTGCTGAGAAACAAGAGTAAACTATCCCCCCACCCCCAACCAACAGTATTTTATCCTCCTCCTGAAATTCTAATGAAATTACCATGCCCCAGGGATTTTTGTATTCTCATCTATATCATCAATTTCACTGATGTTACAAAACTACCCAAATGCATTTTATTGCTAATAAATACTATTTATTCTGAACAATGGATGCACACAGCTCTGTAATAATGCCATGTACTATTTTGGGTTGTATCTAATTACATTCTCAAACAGATGCAGCAATGGGAAAACAACAGCATTCTGCAACACTACTGATAGACACAGAAATACTGTAAGACTGTGAGACACTGTGACATGGTTTCTGGAGAGTCTTCATTATAAAAAAGATTCAAAATAGGAAGAAAATCAAAGTGATGAAGAGTACTTTTTTTCAGTGTACTGTTTTTGGCTGGGACTGAGAATTCTTTTTACATTAGCTGGTCTGGGACTGTGTTTTAGATTTGTGCTGGGAACAGTGTTGATAACACAGGGATGTTTGTGTTATTGCTGAGCAGAGCTTACACAGAATCAAGGCCTTTTTTGCTGCTCACGTTGCTGTGCCAGTGTGAGGGCTGGAAGCAGGCAAGGAGCTGGGAGGAGACACAGATGGGACAGATGACCCCAACTGACCCATGGGATATCCCAGACCATGTGGTGTCATGCTCACCAATAAGAGCTTTAAGCAAAGAAGTAGGATAGGAAGGACATTCAGGCATTTGTCTTCCCAACAAGCCCTGATTTCCCGGAGATGGCTAAACACCTGCCCACCCATGGGAAGTGAATGAATTTCTTATTTTGCTTTGCTGGCATGTGGGACTTTTGCTTTACCTATTAAGCTGTTCTTATCTCAACCCATGCTTTTTCCCACTTTTACCCTTCCAATTCTCTTTCTCATCCTACTGAGGAGGGGTAAGCCAGTGGTTATGTGAGGCTGAAATGCCTACCAGGGTTCAACCACAGCACACAGTTAAGCCCATTATTTTCTCCCTATTACATGTGTTTATGAACACCATGACATAACCAACTGAAAGTAGCCACAATTGTTTTATAACTCATTTTTCACTCATGACACTCTTCCTGCATAAAGCCTTACCGAATGGTGAGTTCCAGTATCTGTGCAAGTCTGTCATGAAGTAAGTTTGCCTAGGGAAGAAAAATTAAAATTGAATTATTAGCTCCTATATATTGAACTGAGCTCCGATGAATGTGCCAGGCCATACTCAGTGAGTGTGTTCTGCATTGCCACATGCAAATCTAGGCAGCAATTCCTGTCCCGTTTTCTCACTGCTGAAAGCATTCTGAGCCTTGAAGATGCATCTGAGATTGAGTGAGCCTGTCCTGGAGTGCCAGGAATTATATAGCAAATTCTGCTGTTGCAGACAGGAGTTTAGCAAACCTGAAATACATTTAGTTGTTCAAAATATATAGTGGGGTAAATACTGCTCCAGTTATCCCAGAACGAAATAGGAACGGACTGTGAATGTGGATTTCAAAGATAGCAAGGAAAGCATTAGGGTGAAGAATATATGAGATATCCATTCCTTTCCAAACGGTCTAGGAACAACCAAAAGCATGCTTTAAAGTTACTGGAATCTCCCAACATTGACAACAGTGGAGACAAAACAAAGAACTGAACTTTTTCTTTACAAGTAACAGCAGCAGTGACACAACATAAATCACCTGCAGCCAGCACATCCCCATTAATGCCTACATCAATTTCTTCAGTGCTGTATAACAGTTTCCAGAAACTCACTTTGGTTTCACACTGGGCTGCGATTTCTTCAAATGGCGCTTTTTGGAACTTTTCAATCACAAGACGCCTTTTTTCCTTTTCCTGTTCTTCAAGTCCATTGTTATCTTAAAAGAATAATAAAAAAATAGAGACAACTGCAATCTTTGCCTATCAAGTATAAGTGATATAAACGTTCATATGTGCACTGCAGAAAAAGCACTGTGCTTGAAGTGATGCACCCATTCTCAAGTAAGGTGTCATCTGGTATTGCCTCTAGTGAAATGCAGATAAAATTTCAGGGAGCTGGTTTGAGGACCCAGTTTGGCCCCTTTCTTACTAAGTGCTTTAATTATGAGTACATCTATACTCCCTTTTGCTTTATTGCCTGGACTCAGGCCTGCACTTGGGTGCACGCTGGTTCAGACTCAGAAGAAGGAAGCATCCTGCCTCCCGGTATCATGCTGACAGGTGGCCAGAATTTTCTATTAGAATTTGGGAAAAGTGAGTTCAACCTCCATAGACTGAGTGAACTTACAAGCAGCTGGAACTTTCCAGCATCTAATGAATTTAAGTACCTCGCGGAATTAGGCACATTTGGAAGACTGACAGATTAAATTATTGTTTAAAATATCAGTGTCTATTGTTTAACACACCCATGTTTAATCCATATTTTGAACAGGATTTTAGTGGACTAGACAGCATTAATTAGTAATTACTTATAGTAATATGAAATAAGGAATTCGAGTAATTCTGTGTTCTTGTAGCTGGGTCACTTGTTACAGAAATGTTCTTTTAAAAAATCTGAGTGTTTTTGAAGTCCACAATGTGCACCTTACAATCTGTTTTCTGAATGCATTGAAGACCTTAAAATCTTAATACATAAAAAATATTTAAGTTGCTTTATAAATAATCATCCAATATAGCTTGCAAATCTCATGTTATTTATGGCTTGGCCTGTAAGGCAAATTTAACAGATGACAGGCATTTCCAGATGCTTTTCATTGAGTCCCATTAACTTCAGAAAATGAATTCACTAACATTATCAAAGTATCATTTCAGAAATTTAGAAATAAATAACTGAAGTTTTAAACAAATTTACTAGCTGAAGAGAAACAAATGTAATGTTTTCATTATGTTATTCTGGCCATTCCTTTTTTTCTAGCAATTCCATAGTAATTGAGAACTATTCTGCATAAACACAACTGTAATAAGTCTTACCAATGGCTTTCTTCAAAGCTTCAAAGGTGATTTCTTCAGTATTATCAATCTAAACACAAAGAAACAAAACCCTTAATCATCACATATAACATATAAGCTTCAAAAAAATAAGGAATATGAAAAATACAGAAGGCCAAAGCGGCCAGGGCTTTTCTGCCTTACAAGTCTCTAATAGCTTTATCTGGAGTTTCTGTGACAGACAACAGAACACTAATTCACATTTTTAAAGCCACTGCAAATAGTGGGGAATTTTTTATCAAATGAGGTGAAGGAAAACTTTGCAAATTCTAGTCAAGATGCTCTATAGCAACTATACTTCGGAAAAGGACTTGAATTCTGGCAGAACACTCCTTTGGGTCAGGAATAGGCTGTAGTGTTTGTATACTGTAAAGTCTTAGTATTGGGTTCTTAAACAACTGATGTGAATAACAGCAACTGGTTCCTGAGACTTGTTGAGTTACCAGCAATGTGATGCTAAAATAAAGAGATGGCAGTAGAGTGGAGAGTGGAAAATGGTTATTGCTTTAGTCTAACTTTGTACCAGTATGGGCTCCAAATAATTTGGTGCTTATGTCATAAACACGGAAGTTAAAGGGCTCTTCATAACAAGCTATGTCTGATGCACTGAGAAAATCTGTTCATCTAGTGATATGAATATCCATTTGCTGCAGATGTACTTCATTAGGAACTGCTTGGGGCTGCAAAATTACCAAAGACGCACGAATATTTCTCTGAAGAGCTCCAGCTCATGGATCTTCGTGTTTCAATTCACTACAGACCTGGAGTTTCTGTAGAGTTTCTATAGCAGTAAATATATTTACAGTGAAACCACTGTGATGATATTAGGGGAGAATGCTTAGATGGTAGAACAGTGTTCACCTGAATATAACATGGTTCCTTGGCTTGAACCGCCTCACTTCAATCCTTCAAACATGTAAATAGGCAGCACTTTTATTTTTCCTTATAAACGCTAATTGTTTAGAATGGTCTAATATGATTTAAGATAAGAGATCTGTAAGGTAGCAAAAAGTTACTTCATCCAATTCAGAAGACTCTGAATTCTTTCAATATTTTAATTCATTGGCTTGAGCTATTGTAGAGGGAAAAGCCAGCAGAAATAGCTGTTTCCTTTTTACTTAAGTGTTATTTCAGGAGATGGAGCTGTAAATGATACTTTTCTATCATTTTACTACATTAGCATTGTATTCTCTACCTCTGAATATATAAAAGAATAATTAATAAACAGTGAAATACCCTTTGTGTCAAATATTTGTGGATATGGCTAGAGATCAAGGGTATTCAGGTTCTGAAATAATCACCTTTTATACAATTCACATTTGGTGAATTAATCATTAATTCTAAAATTTCCATTAAGTAAGTAGCTAATCCTCTCAATCATAAAGCTTTATGCTCCTTTTTTTCTGCAGTTTAGTTCTGCTGACAGTTATGGATTGTTATACTTACTAATCTACAAAGCAAGAGAACCAGATTTCATATATAGCTACGAAGGTGCAGTCAGTAAATTGGAAAATATTGGTTCTTCCTTTGCTTTGTAAACAAACATCATAAGTAAGGGAGAAATACTTTGCTTCCTGTGTTTCTGATTAATAAAATTCTTCTTTTTAAGAGGTAAACCAGTAATTAATTATCCAAGACACTGGACCCCATTAAGACCATATTAAACTGAGAACCCATAAAAAGGTTTTGATTTATCTACAACCACTACAACCACTTCAAAAAATGTCTATATATTGATGCTTGATATAATATCAGCATAATAACTTGAAATCTGAAGTGGAAACTTCATTCATTTAATTCTACTTTCAAGAGAGTTGTTCAATCATATATAACCACATATAATACACAATCTTAAAATGAATACTAATGTCAAACACCCCCAATCCTACGAGGACCATTCACTTTCTTCAGAAAGCTAGAGATCTGATTGTCTCCCTTATTTTTCAAATACTTTTTTTCTTCTTTCTCCTGAACTTTTATCTGTATCCTTGCTAAAGCACAAAAGTGAACACATAATATCATCTGAGGTACCATTAGCACAAAGCAGAAATAAATAATAATAATAATCATGCAAAATATAGATCACTTCTGTCTAAAATGAAGCTTGCTCCTTTGCAACAGCACTCAGCTTGACTAAGTCCACATATTCTGCCTCATGTCTTTAGGCAGTTTGTGCTTGAATATGCCAAAGGTAAGAATCATCTGTACTTCATCTGAGGTACAAACACCTCAATTTCAACAGCTAATCTCCACTGCAGCCAGCAGAAATCTGGTTAATAAAAATAAGCAGAACTTTGAAAAAGATTCAGTAGAAATTTATTTTAAGAAATACTTCAAATGAAGTGTCAAAAGATGTGCGATAATTTTAATTATAAGGCAGTCTTCCTAAGGGATAATTAGCATCAGCTCCTGTACCCTACATATGAACTTTTTGTTGCTACTTTATCCTTTCTGTGAGTTTAAAGTGCTGTGTGCTAAACTCTGCTGGAAGGGAACAGTGATACTGTAACACCATGGTGCACAAAGCCTGACTGTCCCTCTCAGAGACGGCAGGTCAACCACTAGTCTTGCATCTCTCTGGTTTTACATCTCTCAGCCCCATGTTGATGAACAAGTTTCTCAAATACTTCAAATGATGAACGGATACAGGAATTTACTGGTTGCCTCAAAAGGCAGATAAAACATTTCAGAATATTTACTCATAAACCATCAGTTGTTCAGTGTGTATATGTATTGCTACCCCATATTCTGCAGCACTATCTGTAAAAAACTACAGTGATAAAATACTTAACATTTTTATACAGCAAGACCAGCACCAGTGTCTTTGACAACACATTTCTGCAAAGACAACTTAAAAAAAATCAACCCCTTGAAGTATTTACAATGCTAGAATAATCAGATATTAGACTTTCTGGAAAAACTTCACTTGCATTCCCCCACTCCCTCCAAGATGCTGCTATAAAATATTCTGGGATTTTCATACCTTATCCTCTGTGTTGTTGCCAGGCAGAATATCCACCTGAAGAGACACTGTGTCCACAATGCTTTTTCTCCTGGAGAGTCTGTCCTCATCTAGCAGAAAAACAACTTCTCTCACTTTTTGTGTAACACTTGAAACATGATCAATCAAATTTCTACCCATGAGATGCAAATTTGTTTCTATATGCCTATTTTACCCACGATCATCTATTTTATCATTTGAATAGTTGTGAAAAAATGATCAGTTACGGCTTTAAATTACTAAATATGAAAGAAAATAACGTTTTTATTGTCTCTTTCTCACCCCAGATCTTGCCAACTTTCCCTTGAAAGCCCAGAATTTAAAAAAATGAGATGAGCTCTTATTCAAATGCATAATAAGTAACATAGCACATGATGATATATAGCTGCAGAGTTCTTTACAAAAGCCTGAACTTATTTTGTTGGTTGTGAAATTTAAATATTAAGGTCTTAATCTGAAGGTATTCTGAAACAGAAAAGGGCTTCTTGGAAGATGACTCATTAACAGAAGAAATAGATTTCTGAATGGAAATGAACAACAATCCTTCCTTATTCTTGTTGCTACAAGTACCATATTCAGCAAGTCTAAAAATCTACTGGGTGAAAAAAATTCTCTCCATTTCACACTTCCTACAAAGATTTTAGCAGGTCCAGCTGGCCTAAAAAGTTGTCAGAATAAGACCAACTGTGCTGATACTAAAAGCAGCACAACAATTTCATTAATGCATAAGCAGATTATGATCGAACCATCCATCAGTTGATGGATTTTCCTTCTGTGACTCCATTCCTGAGGCAGTGCAGCAATAATCTTTTCTCATTTTTAATGTTTAGTATATTAACATGAGATTTTAATAAACAGTAAAAATGTATTTTAAGACATGTCATGAGAATCCTTCAATAAAGAGAGACTCAAGAGGTCTGACTTTTGTGTATCTCATTTACAAAACCATGAATTGCAATGTCACATTTTAAATTTTAGCCAAGATCAAGCCATTTGGACCTGGCTACTATTATTTGATGACTTGCACTGCACACAGTTAGAAGCACCTACAGGCACTTGAAACTAAGACTGAGAGAAGGATTTAAAATTCCCCCACCACAAGGTAATTTATGCTGGTTCTTCTACAAGCTTTGTTTAAGCCACTTCTAGCAAAGTGCTTTTGCTGTGCAAATATTGAGCATGAACAAACAGAATTCATTCCAGCAGAGCTGAACATCCTCAGCTTTTAAAAATCAGAAAAAACTTTCAGAAATCACATAAATGAAATGTCATTTTAAGATCAAGAGGCAGTGAAAGAACAAGATTAGTGGGAAACACCTGAATTCTAGCTATATTTGCCAGGTTCCCAGAGACCCTGAGCATTTGAAGTGGCATTCTGAAGGATTTACTTAATTTTTAATCCCTGATGGCTTGCTGGTACATGACCCAATATATAGAGTCTGAGGAAAGCACCTCAGCCCTCAAAAGAAAACACAAGACAAAACTACATCTCTGCTGCCATCTTGCTGCTCTCTCTGTAACTGACACACAAACACCACAAGATACATTTTTGGGGCTACTTTGGATAGAAATCATTTTTGTAATGGATGCTTCACTGTACTTGACTGAGAAAAATACCCATTTGTCTCTTATTTCAACATATTAAGTGGCTAAAAAAATGGTGAAAGTTTCCATTTTTTCTGTTATATGATACAAAGCTCATTTCCATACACACAAAGGAGCCCAGAGGCACCAGGACAGCCCCAACACCCACTGCCCCAGCCCCTGACAGGCCTGTCCCAGGAGCCTTGGCTCCGTGGCCTGGGGAGTGGCACCCACACCATGGGGCAACAGGAGCTGCTCTCTGCATCCACCTCACTGGCTGATCACTTTTCACAAGGGCATGTAGGAATAGGACAAGGGGGAATGGCTTCGAACTAAAAGAGGGTGGATTTAGATTGGATATTTGGAATAAATTCTTTACTGTGACAGTGGTGAGGTACTGGAACAGGCTGCCCAAAGGAACTGGGGCTGCCCTGTCTCTTGAAGTGTTCAAGGCCAGGTTGGATGGGGCTTTGAGCAACCTGGTCTAGTGGAAGGTGTCCCTGCCCATAGCAGGGGGGTTTGGAACTAGATGATCTTTAAAGTGCCTCTTTTCCTGGGTGAGGAACTCTATTCTTTGTGCAGTTATGTGCATGGGGGTCTGAGCACAGTAACTGGAGTCAGACCACAGGTCAGAGGCCTGGTGGGTCTGGAGCAAGCAAAGGTGCACAGCATGATGATTCCCACGTGATCATGAGGGAACATCAAGCCGGACCAGCAGGCAAATAGGCCAAGTGGTCTGGGAGCGAGGGGTGACCGTGTGTGTCTGGCTCTGTGTGTTCCTGAGGGGCAGGCCCCTGGAGAGACCAGGAGGCCCAGGTCAGCTGTCAGGAAGACCATGAAGCCTGGGGGGTTGACTGGGATCCATGGACATGCACATGGGCATCACAGTGTGCAAGGGGGATCTGTACCAGCAGCTGGACTGGGGCTGTGGCACTTGAAGGACTCACATGCTCAGGTGCCAGTGACTGGGGAGATTGGGAACCAGGAGACAGCTGGTAGGAAGACAGTGTCTAAGCCCAGTCCTGGTGGGATGCACACAGCTACTGGGATGCAGACAGAACATATGCACATACACATGTTCTGCTAATGGACCTTTATCCTGAACAGCCAGTGAATAAGATAACTCTTCATTCTTTGAACAATTGAGAGCTTCTTCCAACTTTCTACAAGTTCTTGCAATGTCACTCAAAGAGGTAATTAGTACCATCACAAAAATGATACCTCTAGCCCTACTACCTGCTCAGGAAAAGAAAACAGGAAGCTACTACCATTGTAGAGTTTCAAATCAAGAGTAAACACAAAGGTAAACCTCACAGCAGCTAACAGCGCTACAGGCATTTCAAGGAGATGAACAAAAAGAAGCATATGAAAACACTAAGTACACCAAGTACAACACAATTTCTGGCCTAAAGATCTAAAGGCCTTCTAAAAGCATTTTTTGACAGTGCACATCCTATAGAGACACCACAGGCAGCAGGAGAGCAGGTTGACCTACAACTCATTTTTACCTTTTGACTTGTGTTTGCATTTATGAGGTTTTTTGCCTGATGGAAATAGAACTGAATTAAAAAAATATATATATGTACTGACAAAAAAAATTATTAAAAGTACATTTAAATTACCAGTTTTCTCTCTCCCCAAAGTAAAGAAGAGAAAAAGGCAGATAAAAAAACCTGCAGATATGAATGTCTTTCAAACTGACAAGAAATATCAAAACATGAAACAAAGACAGGATGACAAAATTATGTCTACAAGCCATTGTTAAGCATTGTGTCACTGATATTTGGAAATACCAGAAATAATCACGATGAAATATTTACTGGCTTTTTGGGTTCAACCCTAGATTTCACAGGAATATAGAAAAATGGATTAATTTTTTACTAAGATTAATGATTTCTTTTGAAACACTACATTCTAGCATTATAATATTAATAGCAGAAATTAAACATTTCATTGCATTAAAAAATTAAAAGCTTAGGAATTCCAAAATATCCATTTGTTCCTGATTTAGTTAAAAGAAAACCTTGGAAGCTCAATATTCCACAGGATTAGATATTAATGTATTTATTAGCTATGGCAACAGACAAGGAGCGAGTTTTGGTTGCTGCTCTTTACAAAAAAATTACAAAAAAACCCAAACCCATCTGACTCACATATACTAAGATTTAGGACTAAATATGGCAATTTCTCATCACGTGCAGAGGCAGTTAATCACATACTTGCAGGTAAACTCACTTAATCTCGCTGTCAGAACTTTCATGTCCTCCTGTGTAGGAATGCATTTTCAGCAAAATATCCAAGAAAACCCTAACAAGGTCATTTGGGCACAAATACACCCTGATTTCTAGAAGAGGCTTAACATAAATTTCAAACCAATCTATCTTTCTCATTCCATTCTCATTTACTCAAAGTCAGTAACGTTTCCTTACTTGCTGGCTACCTCTTCTGCCAATACTAAAATATAAAGTTAATTGTTTTTCTGGATGCCAGAAGAAGAAATCTGTGAAGGATAGGAACATTATCCTTTCTAGAAGACAACCAGCAACAGAAAACATAGACATTGTAGCTGTGTCAGAACATATCACTAGTGTGCCTGCTAGCATTTGGGACAAATCCACACGTGCTGTTTGCAGAACTCAATTCCTCCCATAGCAGCTATCCAAAAAAGACACTCAAGAGCAGGCAGCAATGTCTCTGAATCAGACTGCAAGAATGACAGATCTGGCATTCACTGTCCCTGTGTACTATGATTCTTCCTATGTGGGAGCTACAGACCAGAGAAGTCACATTTTTCTGCTTTAAAAAGGTCCATGCTTCAGGCTGGGGTGTCCCACAGTCTGTTTACAATAGCAACTGGTTACATAGAGCCACAAAACACACATTGTTAAGAAAAAAAATTCTTCAAACCATTTTTTGAGTAAGTTGCTCAATTGGCTGTTGAAAGTATATTAAAAGCCAAAAGCACGTAATGTCACATACTTGCTAGTCCTCCACACACTATTCACGCAGCCTGCGTAGCTGGAACTCCCAGAAACCTTCCTCAGGCATTTCTACTGTTACCTGACACTAAGCTTGCATAGGTATCTAATGGAGAAAAACATCCCATTCTTGACTAAATTAGCATCTGCTCATTTAGAATTTATCTAAGGCAAATAACTCAGAACAAGACCATATGGCAAAAGCATGGAATATCTTTCATTTAGTGTTTACATAAAAAGAATAAAGTATGCTGGCTTGTATATTCTCAAACTAACACAGGTAGTCTTTTGAAAGCAAAGACTTCATTAAAAAGAGTCAAAGTGGGTTCAAGGCCTTTCTGCCCCTCTTCCTTTCTTTAAGGAAAAAAACCAACCTTAAAAGGACAAATAGTTGAAACTTTTTACAGTTTCATAGAGTAGTTAATGAGAAAAAAACACCCCATCCTGAGAAGACAAAATGATCTGATTAGGTTTTGTTGCCAAGCAGTCACATTACATTTCATAGGCACACAACACATTGAGAAAGCGTTCTTAATAACTGGTACTTTGTGGTGTTGCTACTAATCAGCACTTACCTGTTACCTGGGGTACATACGGAACTGACAATCTTTCCACACTGTATCCACTGCCTCCTAATGATTCTGCAATCTGGTTCGTCAGGAAAAATAAGTCTTTTTCATGCTTCTCTAAGGATTTTGGGAGACTGTCAAAATATATATTTGAAATTATTGTCTACACACAGGTATTTGTTGGTTACAGAAAATATTCCTCCAATGTCTGTGAGCAACCAATGGTAATGATTTGATGGAAATGAAGCTTGCTCAGTTTTTTAGGAATGAATATACACCCAAATTTAGTTTATTCAACACCTCTGCATTATTTTAAATTACCTCAACACTTACTGGTTATCCGAAATATGTTCCTCATCTATTCTGCTACATCTTGAGAGAAAATAGTCTTTGTTAAATAAAAAAAAACGCCTGCAGAGCAATAGTAATATTAATAGTAATTAATTAATATCAACAGTAATATTTGCCATTTGCCAGCAGTGTGCCCTTGTGGCAAAAAAGACTGAGGTATCCTGGGCTGCATCCTGTATCCTGACTGACAGGAGGAACATTGTCAGCAGGTCGAGGAAGGAGATCCTACCCCTCTACTCAGCTCTGGTAAGGCCACACTGGACTATTGAGTCAGGTGCTGCAGTTGCCAGGGAAGGTGAGCCTTTACTTTAGGGAGTCCAACAAAGGGCCACTAAGGTGGATTAAGGGACTGAAGCATCTCTCCAATGAAGACAGAGAGAGAGAGCTGGAACAGTTCAGCATGGAGAAAAGAAGGTGGATCTTATCAATGTGTACAACTACCTTAAGGGAGAGAGGGTGGAAAGGCTTGTCAGTGCTGCTCTGTGACAGAGCCAGAGGCAATTGCACAAACTGAAACACAGAAGGTTCTGGCTGAATATCAGGAAACAGTTCTTTACTGTGAGGGTGACCAAGCACTGGCACAGGTTATCCAGAGGGGTTGTGGAGTCTCTATCCTTGGAGATATTCCAAAGCCATCTGGATGTGGCCCTGCTTAAGCAGGGACCAGATGACCTGCAGAGATGCCTTCCAGCCTCATCCATTCTGTGATTCAGTGAAAATGCATTTGGCTGTGTTAGCACGCACACCCAAGCATCATCTTGTGAGGGTGTAAGTGCCTCTGACTACAATAAAAAAGTCTGAAACCCACCTTTTTTTCCCCCTATACACGCACATGCTTTCAATATTTGAGTTTCTTCTGCCTACCCTGTACACTACTAAACCCCTAAATTATTTTTCACATATGTAACATATTTCAGTGATGTCTGAATTTTAATAGTAAAAGAGGTACTTCACTGTCCACTAATTGACATTTTGTATCTCCTTACTTGCATTTGTCTTTGAAAATTGTTTCTGGGAGAAAATAAGATGCTTCCACACTTCTGGTTTCAATGACCTGAAAAAAACACAAGACAAACAGTACAAATGGAGTAGTTCCACAGCTGTTTTCTCCAATAACTAACTCTCACTAACACATCTATCTCAGCACAAATGAGGCCTTTAGAATTTCTTTTAACCAGAGAAAGAGACTCTGGCACTCACCCTTTAGACTAAAAATCTGGTTCTCATGGTCTTGTACCTGTCAGTACTTTTTCACCCAAGCCATTGAGGCTGTAAAGTCTTATACCAGATGAGGATTTAGCCCATTATATATGGTACTATAAACAAAGTAAAAATGCTATACTTTGAGAGAAGTTTATTCTGTTTATAATTTGAAGAGTCAGCAAATAATGCCATCAGAGACTGAAGACCAAGAGCAATGTCAGTGGACACAAATATGGGAGAACAAGACCATAAGCCACTACTTGATACAAGTTATTTACCCATTTTACAGTAGAATGTGTAGTGTCATAAATGACTTATTTAATTATGTGTTACCTTGCTGACATGCTGACAAAAGGCAGGAACTGCAATCATCTGACTCAGAAAGTTTAGATAGGCTGCAACCAACGCCATGACACCACAACGATTAAACATTGGCAGATTATCCTCGTTGATGATGGCAATGTCCTGAAATACAAGGGATAGCATTATGCTTTCCAAAGTTAACAGGCTGTCCTGAATATATGGAAGTCAAATTTATTATTAGTAACACTACCAGACATATGATGACGATCTGCTACTACTTAGTATTTGATACCTCTCATCTTAAAATTCTAGTCTTTTAGCTCACTCCTGAATTACAAATATATTGATCTGAAGTTAAAAAGCTTAAAAATTCAATCACTATGAAGAGAAATAAATTTACTCAACTCAAAATTCTGTTTCTCAAAAAGGAAGTACTGGTTTATAACTGGTAATCTCTTGTACTTACCACCTCCTCATCAAAACATTTTTCAGGAAAATTAGAAATAGCAGTTTAATCACAAAGATCACCTGTGTGAGTCACAGATACAGCACCATAAAGGGAATTATTTCATCCTTATTAGCATTTCTATGTTTATTCAGACTGCATTATTTTTGCTCTAGTAAAACTCCTAATGTCATTTTCATTAAGTAAGGATTTGGTTCAGTGACAAATTTTATAATTAAGGATGCACACTGCATTTCAGAGGTTTCATAATACAGATGCACATTTGGGAATAAGATTAATGACAGAGAGAACTGGGAATACAGGGCCTGATTTCATCAAATTTCCAGGGCACATGTTAGCACTCCTTTATTTTTTTTAATGCTTTGATTTCAACACAGACAAACTTAGTAAGTTTGACAGTTTCCCTGAAGACTGTATGCAAGTATGAGATAATGTATGATTTTTTTAACAAAATGTTAAGGAATAAAGCCTATCAACACACTAACAGAATTTTACTCTAAGGTGAGATTAAATAGCTTGGTTTGACAAATATTCCCAACCAATCGATTACACAAAAGCTTTCATCCAAGGCAAGGACAGTTCATACCTTTTATACAGAACACTGATGCACAATGACATGTTGTAAGAACACCTTTTCAATCTGCTAACAAATATCAGTGATTCTAGGAAACATTTCAACAAATTTCCACATCTGCTACTTTTCCTGAACAGCACACGCTGTAGAAATTTGTTACAAAACTGATTAGCTGAAGCTTTCCCTATAATAAGTGGCATGTACAAAGTGTACTTCCTTAGTGGCTCAAACATGTTTGGACCAAATGATGAGATTTCCAGTTTGAAGATCAATATACAAACAAAACAAGTTACTCACATATCCAATTACAAATATAAATTGTCAGTCAACAAACACACCACCAGCTCAGTCTCATACCTGCAAGGCAATAGCTAATCGAATGAGGTCAATAACCACTTCTTCATTGGCCAGTTCAATTGTGGTTAGAGCTAGAGATGTAAACAGGAGTTCAAAGTTTTTTTGGACATTGTCTTCTTCTTTGCAGCCTAAGTAGATGTGTCTGTACAACTGCTGACCATGCTATAAAAGACATAAAAGGGAAAATGATATTAAAATAATAGAATAATTTAGATTAGAAAGGGTATTTGAAGGTCTTCTAGTCCAACTCTCTACTCCAAGCAGGGTCAACTTAGAATCCTCCTTTTCATAAATGGAAAATTATTTTTTTTAATATTTCAACAGGAAATGAATGCCAACATCTGACAGTGCAGTATTCATGCAATTCTCTGCATAAAATAGAACAGTACTGTGTTTATAAAGAAGCTGTTGTTAGAAACTAGTGGTAATATTGGTTAATCATACTTGTTTGTGTATGCATGTGTACACATGTATTTTATCCTCTTTCATTCTTTTAATTCTCTGTCTAATTTCATGCATACAAGGGTTTTCACCTAAGACATACATGGCAATTTTATTTCATGGAACCATCGTTAAAGTATCTAGAGCACCTCAACATTGAAATCACTGTAATTTGATTAAAATCATTTGGTACTGATCTTTGCAACTTCTTGCAAAAATACAACTGTAGAAGACAATCAAAATAACTAGTTCAGTTACTTTATTTCTAGATAAAAAAAGTGATGTTTCACTCTATTACCTTTTTCATGAAGCTCACATCCTGCCTTGAAATCTTGTCTCGTTTTATCTTTAGATCGGAAACATCTGGTATTATTCTACAAACGTAAGAAAAATATCATTTTAGCAAAAAAAAAGTTGGAAAGGAAGAGGATGTGAAATATAGGAACTATTCAAACAAATCTGATGCAATTTCCCTTTTAATTATATCCAGTCTTAACAATTGTATTCCAATTTCAGTTGAAGAGGGAGAACAATAAACAGAATTATGACAATCACATTTTTTTTTGCTACATAAAATAACATATTCTGTCTTCCACAGCTAAACTAGCAGATATTTGAAGTGGTTATTTAGGGTAGGAGCACTGAGGCTTACCTGTAAAATGCCTGCCATCAATAAAAGACACTGTGCATTTACCAAAACAGTACATCAAAATTTCACGTTAGGAATAGTATTTAAAGATCAACAGTACTTATCATTCAGGTATTAAACTAGAATTTCAACTAGGCCAAAGCAAACAAAAAGCAGTACCGTATCCCTCTGAGCTTCGCTCTGTTGTCGTGCCGATCAATGAGGTTATGCAGGATTTCCAGGACCAGCTGCCTTAGCTCAGAGTCCTCCATGAGTGAAGGAGACAGTAACGGGTCCAGGAATGGGGCAGGAAGTGCATTACTGATCGTTGTGGCTTTGTATCCTGAAGTCACCTGTTTGTTGTGGGAAGTTAAATTAATGTGTGTCGTTACTGCACTGTAAGAATTAACTGCATTTGTCACATACTTTTAGTGGGCTTGCTTTGGCATCTGAAAGGTGGATTCAAATTGAAGTATTGGATTAATTTTGAAAATTCCTGACCTCACTATGGATTTGGAAGGACTCCAACACACATTTTCAAATTAACTCTCTCATTTGTTAAAAGGATTGTTTCTCAGGATCCTTCCTTTACCAAGATACCCAGAAGAAAAAATAAAGGTATGAATTTTTTCTTTTAAATGGTCTATGAAAAGTTGCAGGGCATAAAATGAAGATGGTAATAATTACAATAGAGATTTTTCCATTTCAGGCTATGAGCTGTTCAGTTCACATATGTTACTGAGTAAGCTCATGTGAATTAAAAAAGAGAAGTCAGAGCCTGTATGTACACCTTAAACATTTATTGATACTACTTTATTGCAAAACATAACGTAAGCAGCAAACACCACTTTCTTAGAAATCTGGTACCATAGTGGGTTTTTTTTCTTTTGTTAAACTAATATGACTTCTCAGTTGCCTCATTCAATTACTTTTAATTAAAGCAAACTCTGTAGGTACATAAAGAAAAGTAAACTTCTACTGACAATTCAGATATTAATTAGCTGAACATTTACAGCAGTCAGGTATGTTTAAAATTTAAAATGGAGGTTATCAGAATACTAGAATCTCAAAAACAAAACAGATTCAGAAACTACAAAGTATAAGGTACTGAGCATGAGGGGAGAAAAATTATTCAAAATTTAATTACAATAAACACAGTAATATTTTTATCTCAGGCTTACTTAATAATTGAATCTTTATTATACATATTGCATACCCTTTTACATGTGAACTGTGTTGTGCTGGTTTTCGCTGGGACAGTTAATTTTCTTCATAGTAGCACATATGCTGCTGTGTTCTGGATTTGTGACCAAAACAGTGCTGATAACATGGGGTTGATTTAGTTACTGCTGAGCAGAGCTTGCAGACTTCCAAAGGGATATCCCACACTAAAATGTGTCATCTCAGCAACAAAAGAGGTGGCAGTTTGCAAGGGTTGCCACTCCTCAGGGACTGGCTGGGTATCAGCTGGCTTGTGGTGAGCAACTGGGTTTTGGGTAAGGGTTTTGGTTTATTTTATTATTACTTGGTTTCGTTTCTCTTGGTTTCCTTCTTTTACTTACTAAACTGTTTTCATCTCAACCCACTTTTCTCACTGGTACCTTCTGATTCTCTCCCTCATCCCTCTGGGGAAGAGTGAGGGAGTGACTGGGTGGTCCCTGGTGCCTGCTGGGGTTAAACCACAACACGTGAGCAAGCACTGTGCCTGCAGCATAACTGAAGGTGTTCAAAGAGAAGTGGCTGGCAGAGGAGCACAAGGGCACATGAAGGTATCTAACCAATCATTTTGAAAATGGAAAATGGTTAATATTACAAGCAGCAAGGCTGCAAATGTAAGTGCACACTTTTAATTAAGTGCCAGATTTCAACCGTCTATTAACATTAACTTGTCTGCCTGTGTGTATGCATGGGAACAGACTAATTATTTTATGAAATATTATTCTTTTGTAAAGAATACATGATGTACAATGCTCACATTTTTTTCACAATATTTATCAATGTCTGAGTAATTCATTAAGCATCAGAACATTCACTTTCACACCTTTGTGCCATGATGGGATTTTACTTCCATATTCTAAAGAGAAGGCAAATTTAAATTCAGGGTCCAAAATGTTAAATTCCTCCCACATGCACAACCTGAATCCCTTAAAGTATATTTAGGCTATGCAGTGCTCAAAATCATGAGAACAATTCTTACTGACTTGGATGGAACTTTAAGACTGGTGAGATGAATATTGTCAGGAATAGCTTAGGCATACCTGAGTCTATCTTTACTGGAGACAATGTGCAAAATGACCACCTGAGGCCCTTTCTAACAAGTTTTCTATCTTAAATTGCAACTGTGAATGCTCAGGTCTTCTGCAAACCACAGTCTAGGATTTCAGATTTGGACAAGCAAAGAATGGTTTAAACAACTTGCCTAACACCACACACAAATTTCATGTCAAAGCAGGGATAGAAGCTCATTTTCCAGGAAAGTATTCTTCTGCTTTAGTTGTGAAATCATTCTTTATGCTGTATCCCCTACTTCAGTGACTAAACAGTTTTCAGCTTCTGCAACAAAACAGGTCAGGCTTCTACTGGCAAGAGTTTCCTTTACCACCCACTTTCTGATTCTTACCATCTGTGTCTATTTCCAGAAATACTCTTTAAAGGTTTACAGTTAAAAAATGTATTTTGTGATAAAACATTCAGTCATACCTTACAAGAAACTTGGGAAATATTAAGAAGGAAAGAACAATTGTGTCTGAGACTTTAAGGGCTTGGAGATAGGCATCCACTTCTGTGCTTTTAAAAATATTGTCCACTCTACTAATTACTGCTTTTCTGGGCTCAGAGACAAAAGTGATTTCACTTTGATATTGCCAGTATTGCTGGCAGAACTCAACCTACTCTATGATGTTCTTTTGGATCTGCAGATCCAATTATAACTGATATTCACTAATGTGCTCTAAGAGATGGAGGAGTATTTCTTGACCTGTTTGTAATCTAAGTTGGGAAAATGCTTTCACAATTTTACACAGTAGAATTCCAGATCTATGTAATAGGAACGTATGTTTAATTTCATAACCCAGAGTTGTTATACTGCACTTACGTGTGTAAAAATATAAAGTGAGACATTATGTGTTTATAACATAGTATACTGAGCACAAAAAGCTTACCATAAGTAAAGATCTCAGTAACATGATCTGAATCCTTCTAGTTCCCAAATCTCTGCAATTAGAAAAAAAAAAGTTGCAAATTAGGTTTTTTTGCATATCTTCAAAATATTACCTAGACATCATTCTAACAACTGCATTTCTACAAGTGAATACAGCAGTCTTGGAAGGGATGCTGGACGATCATAAATAAAGGGCAAATATCTCCAACTGAGGTGCAATAACTAAATGTTTTTGGAAGAGACATTTACAGAAAGGCTTAAAAAAATGGAGCTCGTGTAACTGAAAAAAACAGTAAATTGTATACTGTAAAGCAGATCTAAAATTCATGTTTCATTTAGCAATCCCTTTGTATCTAAAACATTCAACCACTACAAGCTTGACTTTCTTTTCACAAGCAGCAGCACTCAGAATTTCTTCTAAATTAAAATATAATTGAGTCTTCTTAAGAAACAAGGACACCTCTTATTTAAATCAGACCTCAGAACTCTGAGACTGGAAAAAAATTATTCGCAAAATCAGTAAGGAAAACTGAAAGATCTCTCAGTTTTGGTATCACAGGAAGGTACACAGAACACTACTTAAACTGTTCTTCATCTGTTTTCATTTTCCGTTTGCTGGTACTAAAAGAAGCCAAATAGCTAATGGTATGTAGTCACTACTCTTGCAAGATCTTACGAGATAAAAGTGCACTTGGAATAAATTGCTCCATTCAAAGAGACTCTCTCAGGAAAATAAAAAAGGTACAAACCACTTTGTGCATCAGTAGCATAAAGAAAGAGCAAAACTATTCACAGGAGTTGGCCCCTGCATAACAGTGGAAACTTTCACCTACAGGGGCTGTAATCCTGGCTATTGTATCATTCAAATGTTCTGGGTAGCAGAGACCAAAATTTCATGCAATGCAAGACTGTATCAGCAGTCAGAATGCCTGCTTTATTCAGAATGACAGTCAGGCGCATGTTTACACAGAACACCATAAAAAGAAAATTGTGTAGTTAAAAAACACACCCCCCAACTGTTAATCCAAGCACAGAATTTTACATGGATTTGTTCTTCAAATACCTTCTTAATGAGTGATAACTGCCTGGCACAGACAGATTTCTATCTTCCATGGAATATCATCCCGTGCCACAGGGACACAATACTGTACGAAAAGCTACCAAGAAGCCAGGAGTATGACAATGACTTCCTACTTAATCTAGCAGGGGACCAGTTATGTGGTGCAAAGTGTCCCTGCACATCTGGAAAGAACAGCTGCAGCCTCTTCAGTGACTTTCCCCATACTGAGGAAGCACAGTCTTTTCAACATAATTATTCACGTCACAGGGAAAAAATTACTTCAGTGTATGGCAACTTTTTAAATATGGATTTATTACAGAAATCTGACCACCTATAGCTTTTTCCTATTTCTAAATAAATAGGGAAAATTTAAAACAAATTCACTGGAATTTCTACAGTTTATTTCTTAAGCTGAAGTCAGCTTGAACAGAATGTATTAAAACCAAAAAAAATTGAAAATTATACAGCTATTTGGAAAAAGGTAGACATAGTTTAATATCCCTCATTCCCAAAACACACATGTAAGAACTTATGGAATTAACCAGCATTCACTGGATAATTTTGGAAACATTTGCACAGATACGGAGAGAAGAAATGTTTTAGTGCAAAATAATCTTGATTCCAATCAGGTATTTTCTATCAGTATCAAGTCTGTAGGTTGATTTCATATTGCTGACACTGCGCTTGTCTTGGTTCTGCACAGTATTTAATACAGCCCCTAAGGAGTAAGGATTTGCATTTCACTTTTCTTAATGTTTTTCGCTTCATACTTTATCAAGAATCTAATTAAAAATGTAGGATATACAAACCCAAGGTGGCTGGTATCCAGTGATTGTGAAGTCCCCAAAACAGGTACTTTGCCCATAATGAACATCATAATCTCTGATCTCTGGTAATCTGGGAGATTGCTTCCAAAAAATCCTAAATAAAAATAGAATGAAATCACAGAAGAAAAGATAAATAGGGCCCTTCTCTTTATAAGGAAAGCCTTATAAATACAAGGAATATATTAGCAAGGTCAAAATAGATGAGAATAAAATCATGATTTGTTTTAGGCCATAATCTCACATGTTCATTTCTGCTGAGAGTCTTTTTGTGACATTTGCTTCCAGCTCTGAATCCTAAAGCTTTCTAATTTTATCCTCCTCTAAATATACCATTTAAAAACTACATGCGTGGCATCTGTTAATTTGTAACTAGTGCGGAGCTGGAAGTGTTTCTCGAGGTACACACTGCTGTTACTTTTGTCTGTGAAGTCTCCGTTAAATGTTACAAGTGAGGGGACAGAAACCCCAGACATACAAGTGACATATGACTATCGCTGTACTGAGGGACTGATGATGCAAGCAGCTCCTGATGGGAAGTGGAGTGCTCCAGAGGGGTCCACAAGGTGCACAGGGAGGGTTTCCTGAACCAAAGGAACCCAGGGGAGCAGAAAGACCCACCTGGAGCCCACAGCCTGCGCCACAACGGCTGAAGGGGCCTGTGCAGGGCCAGGAGAAACACCAGGTACACTCACCCTCCCCAGCCTTAAAAGAACCCCTTAGGGGGTGCTAGCAACAGTTGGCACACAAGGAGGGTGCTGTAGCTCTTCCAGCTCGACCAGGGAGAACTAGTTTCTACCCACTAGTTTCTACCCTGGCCTCTCTAAGACCTGCACCCCCCACGACTGAGGCAGCTGCCCAGTCAAAGTTCCAGTAGGACCACACTGCCACCCCGACGCCAGCTGCAGGCTGAGCCCTGCTCTTATGGCAGCAAGGCCACAGCTGTGGGACTGCGCCCAGGGAGGGGAACAGAGATAACGCTGTTATTCCCAACATTCCCCATGGAAAGAGACCTGGGGTTCCTGGTCAATGGCAAGTTAAGTGTGAGTCAGCAGGGTGCCCTGACAGCTAGGAGGGCCAACCATATCCTGGGGGGCATCAGGCACAGCATCGCCAGCCGGTCAAGGAAGGTGACTGTCCCGCTCTGCTCTGCACTGGGGCGGCCCCACCTCCAGTCCATAGTTGTGGGTGCCTCAGTATAAGAACATCAAACTATTAAGAGGCTGTTCAGAGAAGGACAACCAAGATGGTGAAGGGTGTTGAGGGCAAGACTTATGAGGAGAAGCTGAGATGACTTGGCTTGTTCAGCTTGGAGAAGAGAAGGTTGGGAGGTGCCCTCATCAGTCTACACCTTCCTTGAGGGGGGCAGTGGAAGGGCAGGTGCTGATCTCCTTTCTCTGGTGACCAGGGATAGGACATGAGGAAATGGAAGGAAGCTTCATCAGGGGAAGCTCAGATGGGAAAAGGTTCCTTACTGAATGGGTGGCTGGTCACTAGAACAGGCTCCCCAGGGAAGTGGTCACAGCACCAAGCGTGACAGAGCTCAAGGAGCATCTGGACAATGCTCTTAGTTGCACGGTTTAGTTGTAAGAAGTCCTGTGAGGAGCAGGGAGTTGGAATCGATGATCGACAGAAAGAAGCTTTACTTTAAAAAGTTGGGTTGTGGGGTTTCCAGCATTTTTTTGGGGGGGGTTAATATTTTAAATTGGAGTTTTACTGCAGTGATGAGAAATAATCTATTACACACTTGCTACTGCTCTAAAAAGCTTCAAGGTACAGATTAGTAAACAACATTTAAGTAACACTGCCCCTTGTTCTTTAAGGAAAGGAACACACATCAGAAATGCAATGCAATATATAATATCAGTATCACAAAGAGAAAATCTGAGAAAAGGGGAGAGGGTATTCCAACAAAATAATTTACAGAATTTGTTACGCCACTTACAGTGTTGTCCGTTAAAGTACTTAAGTTGTTGTAGGACACCCGGCCATTAGGTGTCATTGTTGCTACTGTGTTTAACATTTGTTTCTACAAGTTTTCAGGCAGCTCCTACTAAAATATATTTTACTGTATACGATTGTTTGCAATATGATTTTCATAAAAGGACTAATATTAGTCCTAAGGTAGAGATTTATTTCTATATTTCAAGGGCCATATAATAATGTAACTAAAATTTAAGTCTACCACCATTTTTAATTATCATCGAGCTTCTTCCCTATCTGCTCAGTTAGCATTTAAAAGAACAACCTTTCAGAAGACAAACACATAAAGTGAGCCTGAGAATGAGGCAAATACAATCAGAGATATGACACTTGGTATTATTCTTTTTGGATTCAAGCTGGTCCAATACCATCTCATTGTGGAAGGGGGAAAACAAGAGGGATTCTAAGTGAGCCTGTGTTACTGTCATTACTCACCAATTGTTTGAATAATTGCATTCTGGACAATCCTCTCATCGCTCTCCTTGGAGCTCGTGCTGAAAGCGGCACTTCCCGCTGAGCTGCGCCTGTCACCCAGCTCGAAGTCAACGCTGATGCGCAAGTGCTTCAACAAGGTATTAAACACCTCCAGAACTGTTGGGCCTGGAAACAACAAGTAACAGTGATTGCACCTGTCAAGGGAAAGATGTCTTACGGAAATGAAAACTGACCTTTTCAATCCCTTTTCACAAGAAATCTGAGTAAGCATAAAAAACCCAAGTGAAATTTAGTGTTTGAGGCGTAAGGAAGTTTTGAAGTGTGCCTACATCTTGATGTTTTAGAAATTAACTTGGAATCAGGAAATGCAATCAGATACATCTGCATATTCCATTCTGATCAAGTGTACTGGGTATGGCCAGGATGGAGATAACTTTTTTTCCTTGTCCATGCAGCTTTTGCTCCACCCATTAAACTGTCTTTATCTTGATCCATGAGACTTCTCACCTTCTGTCTACATTGTCTTAGTCCTGTGGGAAAGGGGAATGAGCAAACAGCTGTTGGCCAGAATCAAGCCACCATGCAAGTTTCAGATAAAAAATAGGAGAGCTTGCTGAAATTAAGCATCAACAATGGGTTAAACTTCAGGTACCCACCCTCGTACTTCAGTTATTTCAAAACCTGCTATTAAAATGCAGTTCTAAATACTGGATCAAATAATGAGCTCTTTTCATCATACAGTAAAAGACTTCACAGGTCTCTGCATGCAAGTGGGTCTTATATAAAGAGAAAGGACAGGCTCAAACTAATGAGGCAGAGCAATAATATTACAGCACGAGACCAAAAAAAATCAGAAGCAGAGCACACGTGTTTATGTATCTTCCTAACTACTTCTATTTCAAGGAACTATATCACAGTTAAATTACATATTTCACCTTGTTTCAGCTGCTTCACAGTTATTAAGCTAAAATTTCTCAAAGAATCATTTTACTCAACTCCCATATTACCACTCAGGTCACAGCAGGTGTGTCAAAAAGCGACAGTGCTCTTGACATTCTGTAGTCACACACAGTTCTCTCAGACTTTGCAAACTTCTTAACAAACAGGAATTCTGGCCTTTCACGACTTTTTCATTCAGTTCTTCAATAGAAGGGTTATGTAACAGTCAAACAATAAAGTACGTTTGAGTAATTTATCAGCACAAAGGAGAAAAAACGAGTAAATACAAAACCTTCTCAAAATAAATGCTTTCATTCTGTCTGAAACCAAAGAAAAAACGAGCACCATCCTGCAAATCTATCCTTTGACCTGATGCCTTGAATTTAATACAACTTACCTATTGATCCTTTAGCTGCTATTGCAACTGCTTCCAAAAGAACCTGAATAATGCCAGCACGGACTCGTGGCGAGTCCCTTTTGCGGACGTCAAGGTGTCCAAGGATTTCTTGTATGACATGATGGGAATATTGTGCCTATTAAAAAACAGACAGAAAAGCTTCATCTGTGACTTTAATGAGAATGAACTCATACACCGCTCAGCTACAGTCATGACCATGTTCCTGTTCTGCAACATTTTCATTCAGAAATTTATCAAAATTTCCATCAATTCATGACTAAATATGACTTCAAAAAAGTACCATAATAGATGAAGTGACACAGGTCCATTCAGCCCAGTATACAAAAGTTTACAGTCTTAAAATATCAAGGAACATCTACAGCACAGAGGAAGTGTGAAGTGGTCCTTCAGTGAGCTAACTGCAGTTCAAGGACTTCAGCACCATTAATGTAAATGCTGAGAAAACTCAGCTTTCATCTACAAACCTGGACTGTTATGACTTGATCTTCTGCGTGTCTGTTTGACACAAAGAATCAGACTTGGATCATGTTTATCACAGACAATCATATAATAGAATGGTTTGGGGTGGAAGGGACCTTAAAAATCACCCAGTTCCAACTCCCTTGTCATGGGTAGGAAACCTTCTGCTACACCACGGTACTCAGACCCACACAGACTGGTCTTGAACACTTCCAGGGATGGGGCATCCACAACTTCTCTGGGCAACCTGTACAGTGCCTCACCACCCTCACAGTGAAGAATTTCTCCGTAATATCCAATTTCCACCTTTCCTCCTTCAGCTTAAGGCCACAATACAGGCTGCTCATTAATGAAAATCTTGAGCACAACACAGTTCCATGTGAAGTTGGTTTCTTGAGCTGTAAAAACAGCACAGCTGTACTGGCACACAGAAATGACCAATTTGAGAGATCTATTTGTGAAGCACAATGCCAGATCAGTACAGCTATCCTAGTCCTTGTTCTGGAGCTTGCTGAAGGACCTCTGCACTACCTACCACTGGAGTTATTGAAAGGGATCTTTTGGATTCTTTGACTTCATCTACTGTCTACCACTATCATGGTAAGGTGAGCATTTAAACCTCTCTCATGTGCTCAAAACATGTATGCAAGGAAAAAAAACGCTGGAGAAAATCCTACCTGTATAGAATACATGATGATTTTAAAGCAGGAAACAGCAAATTCATTAGGATCCCATAGTCTGTGATGATCTAAATGCCTGTAAGCAAAAATTAAGAGACTTGAAATAATGACATTCTGCAGATATAACAAATGGTATCTTAGGGTTTTCTCAAAATTCATCCCAAAGGGATTATTTACTTACATAAAACTTCTAAAAAATGACTTATTAACTCAGTGAGAAATCTAGAACTTAAAAAAGGCATTTTTTTCAAGGTTTAGGACGTGATCACAATACATGCGGCTGAAACAGAAATGCCTGAGCTTCTAGTTCCAGAAATTTAAGGAATCTTGTCACTCCAAAGATATGCAGTTAAGAATATATACTATTTCCACACAAAATGCAAGCATAAAAATGGCTGTGACATTAGATGCTCACTTATGTGAGAGATATGCTGAAGAGGATGTTATAACACTGTGACAAACTTCTACTCTACAGAAGATAAATAATTTGTTTTTAATCACAAGCTAGAAAATAATTAGGGCTGAATGTTCCATTCAGAACAGAGACTCTTAAGATCTATTTTTCTTTTCATGGTGGTTTCATGAATAAAATATGTGGAAAACAAAAAAAAGCTACTCTTTATGCATATACACCTTTACGTCTGAAGCATTTCAACAGTTTCTGCAAGAAATATCAAAACAGAATCCAAATGATAAATGCACGGTTTTCTTTTTAAATGGGAGAGGAACCACAAATGACAAACTCTGTCAGAGTTTTAAGCAAATACAAGGAATTCTGCTTAAGCACTATGCTGAAAGTTATGAATAGGGCACACAAAGTTTTGCAAAAAGGAGATCTGAGTATCTGAAAAAGCATGACAAAAATAACTGCATTTTTCAATCTGGAAGACTGAAAGAAAAGGTAATTTTGGATGCATTTTAATTGCTATGATTTAGGTTTAAAAAAAACCATATGAAACTCAACAAATTCACCAAAAACCAACAAACAAACAGGCCAAACCAACCAAAAAACTTTCTAACAGAAACTGAATTTAGGTTGTGTTTCTAAACAGGTATCTCAGCTACAGAATCCTTACTGCTCTGCCCTTTCTCAAAGAACTTAGGAAACACGTGCTTCAAACAGCAAGCTCAAAAGCCCACAGGTGAAAGGAGTCAGTGCTCTGAACACAGGAGGACTGACTGGATGCTTAAACTTTCTCTGCCTAGAATATGGAGGTCTCAATTCACTCACTGGGCAGCTGCTCCCGGCAGTGACCCAGCTGCGTACACAGGTCTCCTTCAAGCTTGATTAAACCAGCTGATACAAAGCCATCCTCTCCTGTGCCCTAAATTATCTTGCAGTCCACTGCAGAGCTTAAAAAAAAAACTACTGCCATTTTGACACATTGCATACCTTTAATAGAAATCCCTACAGGAAAGAATGTCAGGGATTTTAAAGGTATTTTGCCTGTCAAAATAACAATAGATTTGCATTACTAAATATCAAACCTGACTACAAGGTATAATTAATCCTGCCTTGGGGTAGAAAAACAAACAAAATCACCTCTTTAAATCCTTCAGGGTATAGAGGGCATAATGTATTTATTCCTGTCTTCTTCCTTCTTAATATAATTTCAGTACAGTCCATCATTTCTTGTACATGATAGCTTATTTTGCCTAAACTATTTTATTTTTGTCTCATCAAATAGAAAATCATACTCTCCACTATTTTCTCCTGATTGGAACTGATCCCTTAATCTTTCAGGGCAGCATGTTTTCTCTGTTACCCTTGACAGTTCCTATTTATCTGCCCTAAAGATCCATTCAGGCAGATTACGGTCAACCACATCTTATATCATGTTAAAAAAAACCAAATTCCTCTCAAACCAAGATATACAGTTTTCTTCTTCCAGAAAGGCCAAGTATTAGCTGCTTCAGGTAGATGAACTGATGGGATGACAGCAGGGGGAAGATGACAGCCTAGGTTAAAGATCTGTGCAACAGCTTACTTTGTGTACTAGAATTTTCCTCCTAAGAACAGCAGTATTCGATTACTGTAGGTGACACATTTTAGTGATCATAACACAGTGTATTCAATGTAGTTTTGTTTTTGTAAAAGAGGGTAAAGGGTATTTTCAGCATGGTGCATTTACTTCGTTAAAATCGAGTCACACCTTGACTCCTTTTTTTTTTTTCAAATTACATTTATTTCAATAAAGAAGATCCAAGTAAGGTTACAAAAAATTTTACTGCTGGATTAACAAATGCCAAGCTGCCTTCCATTGACATCTGTTGCATATATGCGGCAAATGTACACAACTGGGTTTCTCAATTTAAAAGGAACAGCAGAACCAATCATGCAAATTACCTTATGGAGAGAGAGACAGCCACTAACGATGCCTGAACTCCCTCTCATTGTCACACATGCAAGCAATCCCTACAGTACAAGATGATAAACTGATACTGAGGATTAGAAAGCATAACTGAGGCATGCATGTATGGGAATACACAAAATAATCTGCTCACGCATCATGCACCAGTCTGTTAGTATTTGAAAGCCTTGCAGAGATGATGTGATAACCGACAAGAAAGGAAATACAGTAAGACAAACAGTTTTTACACTTGGGAAGTTTTTTATATTCATTAGGTTCCTGGATCTCTCTGATTCTGCCTAATCTATTCACCACTGCAAATTCATGCTAAGTAAGTCTCAACAGCTTCTGACTGTTGACACAACATAGAAAATTTTTTCAGGTAATGTTAATATAATTATTTTTTTTACTTTCATTAAGCAATTTCCCAGATCCATCTGTCAGATTTCATTAAAAATTATTACCTGAAAGTATTTAGCTACATGAAGACATTTATAACCATGGAGATTTTCTACCAAAGGCAAGGAAAATTAAGGTCAAGCCAAACCTGTATTAGGACACTGACTTCAGATTTCTACTATCTTCACTATTTTTAAATCCCTCAATCACTGAATACACCCAGTTTCATGATGACAGAAGCACTATTATCTCAGCTTTGCAAGGAAGTGATACCATGTTGCCTGATATTCCAGTGCCACATGAAGCAAATCTTCCAGTGGGGAATTGAATCTGTACCTTCAGTGTTAACGTAAGAGGCCTTATCTATTGCTCCAGAGTTTTCTTAAAAGCTGTAAAATTGTTGAAAATTGTTAGGAGAAATTGTTTTCTCATAAGCTCAGTCAGGTTTTTCAATCCGATAAAGTACAATGGACTCACTATCTTGAACTTTCATTCTACCTGTTGTGCTCACTCACAAAGTGAAGCTGATTAGATACAGCACTCCCTTTTTGTTTAGGAAAAACAGATTGAAATTGCATTTTCTGCATCTCTTGTTCTTCAATAATACTAAACCTTTACAGCAATCATTTCTAAAAGGACACATTTGGCAATTCTTCCTCAGAATGAACACAAAAATGGTGACCACAAAGACTGTCTATTTATAAAAGAGATGATATATTCTGAGCACCTGGTCATTATCTACTGATTTCAGTGCAGCATGTGGCACGCTGAGGTGCACACGCTTTGAATACATCAGGCTTTAGACTTTCAACAGGAAAAACAGGTATGACACCATCTCAAATCCCAAACCAAGCACTAACTCTTGTCTAGGGAATCAGGAATTATTTGTAGGAAACTTCCCTGATACTAAAGTGATACAAAAGACTGCAGTTACTGCACATGATGATAAAGTTTTGTGATAAACCCATCAAAAGAATTTAAAAGTGGTAAGAAAGAAGCTGCAATGTAGTTTAAAATAGTCCATTCAGACTTTTTGGCACCTAACTGTTCACTCTGGTGGCAGGTATTTGAGGAATGCAAATTTTAAATCTAGGGAAGAATGAGTATTTTTTAATTAAACACTCAACTTTGCAACATTTAAAATCCCATCAGGCTGCTATAACAGGTACGTATGGAAAATAAGAGAGTAGCATAGTTCTTTGTATTTAATGCTTTCTGGGGAAAAACAAAAGGATACAAAAATTTTCTGCCCTCAATACCAACCCTACCTTCCTTTGCAATTTCTGTTCTTAACAGCAGTAACTTAAAAATGACTTTTGGTAGCTTGAAAGTCCTTCAGTGTACTAATAAAATACTTAATACTTGTGGGAAGAACTAAGGCCATATAAGAGAACGTATTCCTGTAACAGAAGCATATCTTGAAAAATCTACAAGGAGCAAGCAGCTCTTCTCATCCCCAGGAAAAGCCAGGGTTTGAAAGTGCAGAGCTTCCTGCAAAGATTTATGCCTAGAACACGTGAACTTTCATAGAAACACAGAATGGTTGAGGTTGGAAGGGACTGTAAAGATCACTTAGTTCCCAACCCTGCTGTCATGGGATGGGACATCTTCCACTAGACCAGGTTGCTCAAAGCCCCATCCAACCTGGCCTTCCAACACTTCCAGGGATGGAGCATCCACAACTTCTCTGGGAAACCTGTGCCAGTGCTTCACCTCCCTCATAGCTAAGAATTTCTTCCTAATATCTAATCTAGATCTACCCTCTTTCAAGTCAAAGCCACGCCCCTATGTCCTACTGCTACACACACTTGTCATAAGTCCCTCTCCAGCTCTTTTGTGGCCCCATTTAGGCATGGAAGGGGCTCTAAGGTCTTCCCAGAGCCTTCTCTTCTCCAGGTTGAATAACCTCAACTCTCTCAGCCTCTCTTCATAGGAGAGGTGCTCCAGCCCCCTGATCATCTTTGGGGCCTCCTCTGGACTTGCTCCAACAGGTCCATGTCTTTCTTATGCTGGGGGCCCCAGAGCCAGACACAGTACTCCAGGTGAGGTCTCACGAGAGCAGAGCAGATGGGGAGAATCCCCTCCCTCTTTGATGCAGCCCAGGGCACGTTTGACTTTCCGGGCTGTCAGAGCACATTGCCAGGTATTGCTGGGCTGTTCATCAGCAAACACTCCCAAGTCCTTTCCCCCAGGGCTGCTCTCAATCCCTTCATCCCCCAGCCTGTACTGGTTCTGGGGATTGGCCTGACTCAGGTGCAGGACCTCATGCTGAACCTCATGAGGTTTTCACAGGTCCCACCTCTCAAGCCTGTCCCCATCCCTTGGGATGCCATCCCTTCCCTCTTGAGTTTGACTGCACGACACAGCTTGGTGTTACTGGACAATTTTATGAGGGTGCACTCAATCCCACTGTCTATATCACTGACAAAGATGTTAAACAGTGCTGGCCCATTACCAACCCCCGGGGAGCACCACCTGTCACTGATCTCCACTTGGACATGGAGCCTGGAAAACCTCCCTGTACGCCATGACCCTCTGCTCTGCTGTGCGATGTGCCTCAACAGAGCTGGGAGATAAATGTCTGCTTTGCAACAGACATTTAACAGAGGTGAAAGAGGGAGACTTATCTCAATGCTTGTAGCTTTTTTCACAACATATTTTTAAGGAATCAACGGGGCAAACGCTGAGAACTGAAAATCACTGGACTTAACTTGGCAGTATAAATTGCAACTTTTGTTGTGCTATTTGTATCTTACTTGGTTTGTCTCTCCACTGATTGCAACACTCATCTATGGGAAATTAATATCTTGAATAAACAGATTCACGTTGAAAAAAAAAAGGCCATCTGAGGCAACGATCTATCCAAACCATTGTATTCACTTCTGAAATCCGTTTTCTCTGTAACTACCTTCGAGTTAATATACAGGCAACAAAGAGGTGAGATGAAAAGAGGAGTAATTTTTTGAAGAAACATGAATGGAATCCTTTGGGTTGAAAAGGAGGAAGGAATTTAGTGCAACAGAAAAGAGGATGAAATAAAGAAAATCTCTTAACACGTCATGAATTTTTAACTTACGCAAAAACTGGTCTGACAGCATTATTCATATTTCCATAGGTTGCTCGTCCTAGTAGTTCTCTGAAACAATTCTCGGCCAGCAGAGCAGGATTCTCCTCTTTCTCTCCTCCTGTCGGAGAGGATGGAGGGCCTGTTCTGCTGAAATAAGACAAAATACATTGCTTATCCTACTGATTAATATTCAGCCTCCTTACTGTACCCATCCTTGGTACTAAACCACTCATGACTCACACTCTTGATCTAGGCAGAAACTGTATCTCAAATATGCATCAAACCAGAATTCTGAATAAAATATTTTATTCTCTTATAGCTGGACTATAAACCCACACAGTACTAACCACTGTATTAATATACATTTATATGGCAAAACCAAAGGCTGCTAATACTGAGTTAAATTGTTAAATTGTTACCCTCTCCATTTTGACAAACCACTACCTGTTGCCAATGATGAAAAAGGCTGTGAAACCATGAAAAATGTCAGGCAGAATCTTAGTCATTTTGTTCGGATTAATGATCTCATTCACCTGCCCACTACTGAATCCATACTGTGTGGGTGAGTGTTAAATGAAACTCTAGTACTTCTGCAAAAACAGATGGCTTGTGAGTTGAAAAAAAAAAAAAGTCTGATTGAAGTAATTAGAACATTATCACCCACACAGTTACCTCTAGATAGGTAGTGCAGAAGTTGGTCACCTTCTAACTGGTGTCTCCCATCATTACAACGGACAGAGCACAGCTTAGCCCCTCAGCCAAGCTGGGGGTGCTGGGGTAAAAACAGTTCAGAAAGAAAGCAAACAGCTCCCCCTCAGGCACCTCCATTACTTATCAAGAAACACTGTACCTACAGGTGGTTTAAACACATTACAGAAACTTAAGTGAGGATTCATTCACCTACATTAACATTATGCACCTATGCATTAGGAGATTTATTTTAAATTGCAGAAATCAGTACACTAAATCTTTAAACATTATTTCAGCTCTGCAGCTAAAATTTGTGAGATAAATATGTTTAAAAATGTTCACCAAGAGCACCACCTTTAGTTAAGGTTCACTCTTCAACATCATAAAACCTCAGTTTCAGAGCATTATAAAAAGTTGCAAACTGAAATACCACTACTCAAATGAACATGTTGACATCATAGTTGTCATATATCTTTCTGATAGCAAAAGATTTTCTACTGTTTCAATACTACTGAAATCTAAAAGCAGCAATATAAAAATCCTGTTGCCTCTGGTAACATCGGCGTTTCAGAATTACCACAACATTGTCAGCTTGTCAGATTTTAATAACAGAAGAGCCTCAGGCACCCTGTTATGTAAGTAAGGAGAAATACTTTTACAAATGCACCATGATTAGAATTTTAAAAGGCATGACAATTTATATATAATCCACCACGAGTACCACTAAACTACAGCTTTATTCAACTGCTGTGCCACTTAATCTCCCTTTTTTCCCCCCCGTATTGCCTAGAATCACATCTAGGCAGATGGGCATCCTTCTCAGCACAGAGAAGGTACAAATGACACTGTAGGTACTGTCATTCCCATTGCTGTTTTGACTGATTCCCTAAAATGCAGCAGCTTTGCAAAGGTAGGTGGGTGGGGAGGAAAAAGCAAGCAGACTGCAGAACACACAGAGCGAGGCTGTCTGGCAGAACGCCAGTTAAAATGCAGTAGAAGTAAGTTATGTTTTAAGTGCTCGTATACGCAAACCCACAGAAGCTGACTTCTCAGCCCTGCCTGGAGTCTTATTTTAGAACAAGTTAAAGGATGAAATTGCAATCCAGTATTCCTCATATAAAACATTAGTCTCTGACTGCATAGGAACATTCAAAACTATCTTGTGTTGTCTGTAGGAATCACATTTTATTTTGAACAGCACCTACGTAAAAGTGTTTCTCATGAAGTGTTCCTTGGCATTATCCATGAAAGACAATGAACAGAAAACTATGCTTTTTAGTTTCAGAGAAAAGCTTCATGCAGCCTCTCGAGTTTCCATTCCAAATGAGCAATTCATACTCATTTTGTTTCACTGACTTGGCTTTTACAGAAATATCAGAAAACATCTGACAATCTCTAACAGAAGAAGTGGCAACAAGGAAATGGAAGGAGGATGCGTTGAAGTTCAGCAGTTTGAACAGCAAACACCTTATCAAAGGCTTGAACTGGCTTAGAGCAACTCAGCATCTCAAGCATTAGACTTCTTTAATACCACATAACCAGGATTGGCCAAAAAAAATGACAGGACATGTGAAGTAAGACAACCACCACTCATGAGCAGAGTAGCTGCAGGATTGTTTGACTGTGATTTAATAACCCTGAAAAAAAAAATACATTCTAACCTACCAATAAACCAGAATTTGTATGAACATTATAGATATATTAGAAGGATTCAAAGTCAAGTTTACAAGTGCTAGAGTGTCCTTCTGCCTGAAACAAGGCTGGCATGTTTAGCCAGTGAATTACCAATTTCATACATCCCTTCCCCATTTTAGAGATGCACATAAATAGACATACAAGTCACGTCATGTCTGATAAACACATAACTAGACTGTGCATTCAGACATATGAACAAATAATGGCATCCAAGAATACAATTACCTTTTTAAAACGTTGTTTAAATAGTAAATTCTTAACTCCAAAAAGTGTCTCTTCTGACAGGTACTCAGAAGAATCTTCAATTAATATATTACAGTTCCACAAATTAAAATTACACTGACCTTTAAAGTAAGATTTACCTTACACGTAGTTCCGCTTTAACCAAAAGTCATTCTTTTCCATGGACCTAAGTTGGGGGTATTTTCTGGAATTTCTGCTCTTTCTCACATAATGCTTTGATTCCATCTGCCAGAACAATATGCCTCCTACTCCTACTCTTCAAGATGTCTCTGTTTGTGCTCCACAAATATGAAGTCACCCATAAAATGAGAAATTCCGTGTAACACCACTTAGGGCCAGCAGATCAACAATTTACAAATACAGTTTTCAGCTTTTCTGTTATATGCACATCATACAAGGCCCCTACTCACCACTTAGAAAATCATTAGTCTTTTTTTTTTTCTGTTGTATGTGCATTATAGAACAAGATTCAAAGAGACAGTTCAGATATTTAAGTAACAGTTACTTTTTGACAGATTTGTTTTTCTACCACCACTATTGCATTGCTCAACAGATGATAAAAATCAGTCCTGCAGGACATATAAACTGATCTGCTTTAAGTGGTTAATCTGAATCCTACTTCATTCAGCTTTCTATCAGTAGTTAATTTATTTTGCTATATAAAGGGAAGTGCACACCTGAGGGCTCTGTAAAGATTAACATAGGAAAGGGCCCACCTGCAGCCAGGAGCCCTCTAAGAGCAAGCAAAGGCAAACCAGATTCTCCTTGTTCAAACAGCACCTTCAGAAACCTTAGTCTCTTACTCAAATCACTCTTCAGATGTAAAATTCAAGTAGGCATCTCAGTACATATTGTCTGGGCCCTCAGTTATATGCACACAGACAACTATTGATTTTAGTCATTTAGCCTGAAAATTTGCTTTAGAGAAGAGACAGGTACTGGGACTTAGAAATAAGAGAAGAAAAATAAGGCTGAGGAACGGAAAAATAAATGCCACCAAAACTCAAACCAAAAAAATGAAACCTGACAGAAAGCTCAGTGAAAGCATGAAAAGTCTGTTGTTATAGAAAGGCTGCTGAGCCTCTTGTCAAGCAAGTTTTGAAGCAGCTAGGGTTGGACATGGAATGAATATTTAAGCTTGCCTGCACAGCTGAAGTTGGTTTTATGGAAATTTCCCAGTGCTACCAATACACAGTTTTTACACCTACAGAGTATTTAACCACAAATACAGACTTTTCAATTGTAAAGTGACTGGCATCTCCTCAACTTTAATAATCACAGACACCTTTTGAAGATCTTTTTGCATACCTGGCAGGTACTGTGCCTAGGAGTCATCGAAAGCAAAAAAAGAGTTTCTATAAGTAAACTTTAAATCCTTACTTTATGTACTGCTGCAGCCAGGACAGACAGTTGTTGCTAATGGTTAATGGGAATTAAACCTTAAATTTTTAACAAATATAAGTAGTAAAGTCATTTGAGTCACCTAAAAGCCTGCACATAGTTATCTCTGCATCTGATATTATAAAACACTATTTTACAATTTGTATCAAGTCAAAACATGGATATACAATTTCTGGAGCAACTTTAAGGCCAATAGAAGCTAGAACAAGTGAAGAAAAAGAGGTGGCCACTACTTTGAGACAAGAAACATTGAGTCGTTATGCAGAGCTGTGCTATCAGTTTCAACGAGCCTCAGCTAGTAAAGGTTAGTTTGTTGTTTCCACTAAAAAAAAAAGAAAAAGATATCCATCACAAAAACTAAGCCTAGATACTGCTTAAAAAAGCATGCCAGTGATAAGGAACAAAATTACCTGTCGATATCTTCTATTTTCTGCATGTTGAACAGCAATGATGGTACGATCTTGTCCATGTGCTGAGGTTCCCATATAGTTGCTCGAAGTTCATCGTTAACTGTTTTTCGAACCACTCCCTGAATGCCCCTGATTCCAGCAATTCGGATCCTAAGGAAGGAATAAAAGGAATTACAGAGAACAAGAAACACAGCACCTCCTAGTATAGCTCTTTACCTACTGGGCAGCAGTAATTACGTAGCATGGAATTCCAGTAGGTTCTCACAAGCAGCAATTGGGAAAATTGGCCAATTCAGTAAGGTTGCCCATATTTTCTCCAAACCCTTTTAAAACCCATAAGGAACCTGACAAAACCAACAACTAAATAGAAGATGACCTGTCAGGATGGAGCTGACACTGATCAATGAAGACTCAAACTGTGTATACCACCTCTGACAAAAGTCATGAACTCTTCCCCAATTTACTCCCCGCTGGTCGAAATTTTGTGCAATTTCAACCTATTCCAGTGCTGAAGAAAAACGCTGTGAAGTGACCACAGCACCACTGCAGTAACACCTGGCACAGCCATGGGATCAAGGCCTTAAAATTTGAAATTAAGGCTACAGATTAATCAGAAAGGATCTCTCCAGATTTCTTAAGGGTTCAGAAGACGGAGAGTAAAGAATGATTCTGTCAGCTTAAGCCCGATGTATAAAAGGAATCACCACTTTTATCCTAAAACTGTTTGAATGAAACCAACTGAGAACTAATCAACAAAAATGAAATAATAAAAAGAAAAAAATAATTTCAATAAAGGCCCTGGTCTAACTTCCAGCTGTTTTCATTATTTTGTTAAACAAAAATAGCTTGCAGGAAAATCTGTGCAATGAAATGAGTAGCAAAATACTCTTTTTTGAAATGGTAATAACGTATTAGCCATTATAATAAATGCTAGAAAAAAATTTTACTTCTTGAGAGTGGTACAGCTGCCAGGTGAAATAAGCACAAGCTTCATTAAAATTTGAAATTATTTCTATCAAAATCTATACCTCATTTTTTAAATCTTGATTTCAGTATGGACAACACACAACTAGCCCTTGCTCAATCAAATTCACTGAATTAAAATATTTGTAAGATGAAATACAGAGGTAACCAAATTTTATAATTAATATTTTTGTTTCTATTTCAATTTGTAAATACTTAAATCTGTAGCCTCCTATATTTTAGCTATTTCTGAAAAAAATCATGTACATTGAATATGGATCTGATGCCATTCTAGACCTTTTGAGATAGTTTTAATAGGATTATATGCAAAGTAGGTAAGAAAACGGATGCATAAACAGACAGAAAAGCACTTGATATTGCTGTACTACAACTACAGTGCAGTATCTAATATTGAGTTTTCAATATTAACAACCTAAGATTGACATTTAAGACCCAGAGCCTTCAGAAATTTACCAATGAAACTTTTTTTTAATTATTAGATCTTAAGGCAATCAAGATTTGCTGATATTGTGGCTTTAGATACATTAAATACTAGCACTGACCTCCCCTGACAAAAGGGAAATCTCACTTACTGGGGAGATTCCAGTTCAGGCTCAGAAGCCCACTTTACCTGACAACAACCACACGTGTAGGTGAGGTTCAAGCTCCCACTCAAGCCACTCAGTTCAGTGGAACCTCAAGTCATGTAGGTGAACAGCAAATGCAGATGTCTGGTTTAGGATCAGATGAACTACCCCGTCCCCCATCAATGGTATTGACTGGTTGTGATACCTGCATTTAGAAATGTCCTCTGCAGTCACAGCTGATTGTTGAATTACCTCAGAACCAACAAACCTGCCGTGCCAACTCCAAGAATGATTGCTGCTCACAAAGATCTCTTTTAAAGAGAGACATTTAAACTGTCTAGGATGATGTGGAAAAAGCCATATTGCTATACATTTGGTTACCCTCAGTAAAAAAAAATTTCACATGTGGGAAAAAGGCCACAGTTTTGTGTACTGGAGCGCCACTAGCACTAATTTCATGTTCTTACTATTGCACAAAAGGATGAAAAGAGTGTGTGGAAGTAGTGAGGAAAGTGCAGCATCAAATTTCATCGCACAGGAAAGGTTTCATTCCTCTAAACAAGGCTCAGACAGGGAGTAAAGCCAAGATTACATTTAATTTAAGGTCATGTATAATATTATGTCACTCAGATGAAATTCCTCCCTGTCTAAGGGTACACCAACATGGGAAACTGAAGCACAGATAACAGTGCAAGCTGCCAATCTGGAGAGCAAAAGGTTAGCCCAGTTCTCTTACTCCTAGAGCAATCGCAGTTTTGGGGCATTTTACTCTGAGATATCCTTGTGACAGGTAGATCATACTTGATATATGAATCAGGGATGTCCTAGTCACTTAACTTATTCCATATTCCAGTTCATTACCAATATTAGCTCTCATTTGGTGAAAGCAATGGAGGTGAAAGCAATGCTGAAAATCCTGAGCTGAGCTTCATGTCTGAACCTCTTATGAAACGTTTTACGGTCAGTAAGTAGTTGAACATTTCTGGTTTAGTTTCACTAAACCTAAAAATATAAAATATCCAAAAGCTCATTGAAACCTTTATGAATACTATTTGCAATAATCAGCTTTAGGTAAATACACTGTACCTGACTGAAGCCTAAGTTATGAGGTAGCTGCATGATATACCAGCTTCACTGGTGACACCTCTTTAAGAAGTTTCCATCCCATTTGCCCTTTGGTCCCTGAGTACAAGTCCTTAAAAAATGGATGGTGTAAACCCAAATCTTCCTAAAGGGAAAGCTGGTGGGGGCAGGGGTAATGGTACAGGCAAAGCAGGCAGATTTAATTCTGACCCTTTTAGAGTTTACAAGCAGAACCCTACGCACAGCCGTAGGGCAACAAATAAAATAGCAGCAAATAACTAAATATAAGGAGAAATTATTTTGGGGGTTTATGTTTGGGGTTTCTTCCTCCTAATCAATGTACGCAGTATTCATTCATTTTGAAAATACAGTTCACAGATTTCTGAAGCTGCAAATTTTCAGAAAAATCCTTATGCACTGCAGCTAATGTAACAACAGTACACCTGAAGGGTGGAATAAATGCTCAGCACACGGACTTGTCATAGTTGGATAAAAAGCTTAAGGCACGGAAACAGAAAAAACTACTACAACGGAGATGTAAATAATATAAACTGAAAAGCCTTATGTTTTCCAAAATGCTCAGGAGTTAAACACCGATTGCCGATTCCTGTGACGGACACATCCGCCAGGGGGAGCCGCAGGAAAACAAACTGCGGTGCTTACGTAAGAACGGAAACCTTTGGAATTCTCATCCATGCAGGCGCTTCAGTTTCACACACGTGAGCATACTTCAGACATCTCAGACAATTCAATTTTAATGCGTAATTCTCAAATAGCAGTCTCCAAATATGCTTTTGCTGTTCATATAAGTAGCCCAGTTATTTCTCAAGTAAGTTATGAACTCACACATTTACAGTAATAAGCGGTGCCTTTCTGGGGAGAACCCACACAGTCTGAGAGGCACTAGTCAGGTAAAATTACACTTAAATATTCTAGGAATGCCAGCTACCTAAGATTTGCAATATTTGGTGCTATTTAAAAAGTCAGACTTTCATTTTCTTCCTGTGAACTACTCCATTAAATACCCTAATAAAAACTGTATTACACACAATATTAATGTGTCAAGACAGTTTTCTGTAATTCATACAGAATGCACTTACTCAGTTTGTATTTCTGGATCGGGGTAACACGAATGACACATGGCACTGAACCGAGACACAAAGAAGTCGTAGCGTCTGTGATAGGAAGGTGTGTCTTCCTCAATGTTGGCAAATTTGACAAACTGGAAAAAGAAATACATTTTAAAAAGTTTTTAGTATCAATTTCCCCTAATAGAACAATGAGTACTAAGCTTCATTTAAGAAGCAACATAAACCATCTGTATTAATGTACGAATCTAGATTTGACAACACTTTAAAACTTCAGAGAAGAAAAATTTGAATTAGAGAATTTTCTTTTAAAGTCTTTCCACTAGAACTTCATTTAGATAATGATGAAAGGGTGCAACTACATGAAATACAACATACTATGCAATATGGAAACATCTAACACTTCAACACTGAGTGTCATCAATTGGTAGAATCATTAAGGTTGGAAAAGACCCTTAGGATCATCAGGGCCAACCATTTACCTAACACAAGTACACCAGTAAACCACATGTTTAAATAACTCCATGGTGACTCAACCACTTCCCTGGAAAGCCTGGTTCAATGCTTGATAACTATTTCAGTGAAGAAATTTTCCCTAATATCCAACCTAAACCTCCCCTGGCACAACTTGAAGCCATTTCCTCTTTTCCTATCTCTTGAAATTTGGGAGAAGAGACTGACCCCCACCCAGCTATACCCTTCTCTCAGGTGCTTGTAGAGAGCAGTCCAAGCAATCAAATGGTCCACTGACACTACCAGGTTACCTACATTCTGACTTACCAAAGTCCAAGGGAAATAAACTTGGAGCCATACTGTCAATTCTATCTTGGCAAAAATGAAAAAGGAGTCAGGGAATTACAAGCCAGTCAACTTTAATTCCATTCACAGAGAGACACTTAAAAAAAAAAAAAAGCCAATTTGCAAACATCTACCAAGTATCGAAGGGGTAAGCAACAGTCAACATGGATTTGTCAAGAACAAATCACATCAATCCATCTTATTCCTATGACAAGGAAATAAATTTTGTGAATCCAGATGAAGTAGCATCTGTCAAATCTTAAATTCAGTGATGCTATTGACAAAAAAATACACAAAATTCTCAAAGGGAAGCTAGAAAAACACTGTCAAAAGAACACTCTCCATAAAGCAGATGGAAAGTAATTTGGAAAAAAACCCCTGGAAACTCTTGTAAATCATGAAAGTACAAAGTACTGAGTGAACTTCTGGAGGGGCCTGTCTGGAATACAGAAGAATTTGAGTTTCACTAGAGACTTAGACGGCAGAGTTGGCTCACCAAATTTGCAAAGAACACTAAACTGGCCAGAGTTACAGGCACACTTGACACCTGGTTCATGACAAACTGGAAACAGGACCTGAAGATGGAAGGAGGTTGCAAACCACCACTTTAAAACAGCTGTACAAATACAAGCCAGAAACAGCTGAATGCAGAAAAGGAACTTGGTCAATGCTGTAATAATGGCATGAAAAACAAACCAATATATTTTGATACATCTGTACTGCTCATGACACCTATGAAGAAACTTTTGCCATCTAATTGGGCCTAGTAAGCCCTTAGATGAAATGCTGCATACAGCTGAAACATCAGCGCTGAAGATGGTGATTAACTGATACAGTCCTTCAATTATTGAAGGGATGAACAAAGCTTTAGATAAACATCTGTTAAAACAGACTGAAAGACATTAAATTATCTAGTCTAGAGCTGCCTAAAAGATAGCAATCTGACAATGTACAGAAGAAAGTTATAAAAAAGAAAAGAAATAAATGGTTTTCTTTGTCCAATGGTAATAGGAAAAGCAGTAATGGGCTTACACTGAAGCAAAGCCTGTCTAAGTTAGACATTAAAAAACCCTCCTTTCTAAAGTGAGCAGACTGCCTAAAGACTTTTTGGATTCTCCACCACTGACAGTTCTAAGAACAGACTACAAACAGAAGGAAAAAGGAAAACGAAATGTCATCAGGAAAGGTTGAACATGGTGCAGGTTCTGCCCTGAAGCAGAGTGATGTCCCAGTAAGAACCGAACCCTCTGCTTTTACCCACTCCAGTGTCATTCTTACCAATTCCTAAGCACAGGCTGAGGCATTTCTTTTATACTTTCCATGATGCAGAACCTGCTTTTATCAGTACATGACCCATCTACATCTAGACAAGCCCAAAGCACCGTAGCATAATCTCCAGCACACTGATTTGGGGAAGTTTTGAGGTTTTCGAGTGGAAGTGAATGAAAAAAAACCAATCATTTTTCTACTCTTTTGTTTAGTCTTTTTCTGTTTTATCTAGAACACTTTCAGCTGCACTACCCACTAAAAGCTACAGGGGCAGTTGAAAATGATAGAGTTTGTCAAAGTACATTCTCAGCTATTACTGAAAATGGAGCAAAATTGTATAATACGAGTCCATTTTTATAAGTCATTCTGTTAGGAATATCCTGTATTTCACGTGGTAAGAAAGTGACAGAAGTCAAAAAGTCAAAATTCAATTCTGTATGGACTCCTGCCACACACTGAAAAACAATCCACAAACAGCACCTATAAGTCTTCTTCAATACAGTAAATAATGAAAATGAGTGTTTCCTTCTCAAGTGACCCTGGAAAATGCTTTATATGTCTTATGTCTCCCTGTTTTGTTTCATGGAATTGTTGATATCAAAACAGAGATAGATTTTTCAAATTCTTTTTAAAGAAAAGAATTTCTTTAGTTCTTACAACTTAATAAGGCATAAAGACCAACTATTATCAAAAATCCCAGACAATATGATCTTAGTATCGTATTGTCTTAGACATTCAAGTGTTCAAGTCTGCAATTGATTCACCCAGCAAACTTCCATAAAAGTAGGTAAGAGAATGGAAACAAAGTCTGAAGAACACAGAGCACTATGAGAATGGCTGTGAGAACAAAAATATTAACTCATGTAGAATTTAATATCAACATTTAATTTAATATTACTTAAACACAAAATTATTTGATTGACAGGCTCTGCCAACATGAAAACTTACACTCTAAGACCTGTTTTGCTTGTGGAAACAAAAAAAAAAAAAGCAGATTTCTGCTACCACAAAATTGCTTTTTAAGAATAAAAGATGAATTGAGCCCAAGAAAGTGTCAGGAACTCCCTTCTACATTGTGGTGCAGCTTTATAGCAGGGAAGCAAAGACCATGAAGTTACATCTCTTTAAATGGCATGCACAGGAAAATGTCCAGAAGGGACAAAGTTTTTTTATGTCCTTATGTCTATAACAAAACAATTTCACTCACTGAACACGCAGCATTTCTGAAGCACGTTCCAAGATCATCATTCAGATGACTGAACATTGAGGACACAGGAAAGCTGACTGCAATAACAGTTTTAAATTGTGCACTGTCATCTAGTTAAGTATAAAATTTCTGTGATGAAATGGAATTTTAAGTTTTTACAGTACACATTAATCTATACTTTGCTTTGCAGTGCTGCTCTGAAGTCGTTATTGTTGTTAAACAAAGAATATTTTACTCCTAAGCACACATTTTCAACCGTACTTCAAATATAAAAAATATTCCACCTAAAAAAGGATAAAATTCTTAAGAAAGTCCAAGCACTTGCCTCGGATTTACTTACAAAGCTTTTATAGATGTAAATATGTCATTCAGTCATAGTAAATGCTTGCAAGCACCCAATGGCAACTTATGGAAGTTTTACCACTACAAGCATCTTCTATATTTCATAATCCAGAAGGTACAGAAAGGAACTTACATTGGTAGTATCTTATTTACATTAATTTTGAAACCAAAAAATTTCAGTAAATATAAAAATATACAAATCTATCACAAAGTAAAGAAGAAACATATTATCTATTCAGAAGATGTTTGTTCCAGCCTGAGTCAAGAAAGTTGGATCATATAACCAGGGAGAGAGAGATTGGGCAAGTCTTGCAAGTAAATCATGCAAGTTCTCAAGTTAATTCCTAAGGACATAATTTCTTCTATGTATTAATGCTGTTTTACCACTGTTATGCAGAGAGTACATTAGGAGAAAAATAGTAACTTTTAGTGGTTCCTGGATGTCTTTAAAGAAGGTCAGTTTTTTTTTCATGAAGAATCAGTTTTTTTCATGCATCATATTTGAGTTTGGGTTATGCTATTTAAAGTATCCCCCTGTAAGAACAGCAGGCTGGATCTGAGCAGTATTTTTTTCATATCTGAGCTCCCTAGTCTGCCTTCTATAGCCTGGAATTTTCCCTTGCTTGAAATGGGGAAAGAGGTACTGACAGGTATCACCTTTTATGGACCAATGTATTTTATGGACCAAGTACGTTGTTATTATGAAACTATTACATTGGAAGACTTGATATCTTATAAACATAAGATTCTTACAAACCACACACAACAGGCTTCATAGTGAGTGTGAATGTATGTATGCACTTCACCAAACAAATGCCAGAGGACAAGCACTTCAACTTTCCTAAATAGAAAAGTTTAAAACACTGGATTCACACATTAACTTCACGAACACAGTATTAAAATTGTCACAGTAAATAATCCCAAGATAAGGTTCTCAGCAATAGAATCGGTGATTTAGTTTAGTTGTTAATCGTTAAGGTCACCTGACACTCACTTTCAGTTTTATCAGAATGGGATGGATAATTTCACAGTCTGTTTTACTTTGTGCCACTTGGACGAAAATTATCCTGAACACCACATGTAGAGATGTATAACAAAGTTAGCAATGGTATGCTGGCTCCCAGGGCCACGTTAGTGGGGCTACAGAACAGCAAAACCAGAGAGCACATGTACGAGGGGGAGGAAAACTGCTTGTCTTCCTTTAAATAACAAATGATAACAACCAGCAATAACAGTCACCTCCTCGTGCACAGGAAGCTCAGCACTGTCACTTATGAGATCATTATTTCACTGCTCCTAAAAAGAAATGGCCTTTATAAAAATGAAGCACCCTATCAACTAAAGAAAGCATTTATGGTAAATAATCTAAAATAGATCTGCTATTTTTCAGACAAAACCCCAGTATTTTACTGTCAAAATACAAAGAATTCACTCCATCAGCATTCCAAATTAGCTTAAAATGTTTCATATTCAACTGAGTTTTGTCAATGTGGTTAAGATGAAAGTTTTACTAAATTACATATCCCATTGGTTTAGACCAGCTGCTCACTACAGAAATTTTCTGCCTCTTCTTTAAAAAAATTGTCATAAAATTAAAAATAGATATAAATTGGATTTAGATAATTGTCCCCAACAATTTTGACCACAAGTTCAAAGACTTCAAAGCTTTTCACTTCTATCCTAGTAATATAACACTATGGAGCTAACCAATACATCTAATGATATGCACATGAGAGATGGAGATGTTTTACATAACACTCAGTTACTGAAATTCCGCAGGAAAATAAAGAGAGAAATTTAGTATTGCTGTAAATTTCTAAGGAAAAGCTTGTTGCAATCAGTCTTCAGATCCTGTAACACTTAAGCCAAAGAAATATCACTTCTTCCCACCACGTTTTTTCAGTTTCTTCACCAGCATATGATATCCTAGCACATGGTTAATAAAAATATCTTCCATGACAGAAAAAGCCATTTTGAACCTCACAGACACTGTCAATTCAAAATCTGGTCCAAATAAAAAAAACCCCAACAACTATTCAACATACCCACTACTGAATTTCACTTGTTTTCAAGTATCTGCCTATATAATAGATTTACAATTATGTTACCAAAAAAAAAAAAAAAATCATTGCTGCTGCAGGAAATAAGCTAGTAAAACTTATATATGCAACACATAAAAAGTCACAGGAATTAACTACATGTAACCTGAAGATCAGGCTTAAAAGTACATACATAAACCCTAAACAATTATATATCTAAAATGGTAATCTTCAGGTTTACTTTTTATAAGTAAATCAACTTAAAAAATGAAATTTAAATTCCAAAAATAATAAGATGACAAACAACTGAGTGAAAGTTTGAATTTTTTTCTAAGACATAAAGCAGCAAGTAGAATAAGTTCTGCATCCAAAACCAGATATTTTGAAGTCAGCAAAATACTTTTAGAAGACAGCTGGAGCTTCCAGATCTTTCCAAGCCTTTAAACTACTGAGAGACACCCAGTACACAGATTTGTTTAATTTGAAACCCTAACTTCTGAGCAATCACAAGAGTCCCGACAGCTGAAGCAAAATCTGCTTGTGATGCTGAAAAACCCTACAGCTCAAGTAAGGAGATTTGAATATTACTTCAAAGACATCAATGTCTTTGTATCCCAGCGAAGCTTTGGGATGGAACATAATCAAGATCTACTTATAGCCACAATATCTTTTTATGTGCAAGCAGACTACAAATTTGTAGGGGCCTTAAATTGAGTTTAAACTAAAAATATTACGGAAGGTTTTCCAAAGGTTCCCTGACTTTTCACCAATTAAAGACATTTACTTCACATAAAATTTGGTCTTCTCTTCTAGACAACAGCAGTTTCCACTCCAAAGTAGAAAATCAGAATATCTAAAGTACATGAAACATTTATTCAGTCACTCTACCATCTATTATTGTTGGGGTTTTTTAAATTTGTTTATTTATTTCCTTCTGGAGGAGAGAAAAAAGGCTGAATTTGACTGCAAACTTTCTACATTCCTAATAAAATTGATTTAAGAATCCAGTAGGTCAGTGTCCTTGGTAACAGACAAGCTGTCAGTGCCAATACACTTTGCTCCTCTTGAGTCAACACAAAAAGACTCTATCTTTTGTCTTCATTAACTACAGAAGGCACCTAGGGAAATTAGCAGAGTTAGGCTAAAATTAGTTTTTGGAATACTGTTGAAGAGCTATAAAGATTCACTTTCCTCACAGAAATTCACATTTTATTTAGGAAAACTTAATTATTTTCTGTTTCTGAGTTTTACAAAAGACAAACACAAATTATCTCCTAATTCAGGAAGTCCATTAATCTCCTTTGCTCATAAAAGACTCCCTTAGGAAGTGACAGGAATATCAAACAGATTACCCTAGGGTGGAGTTCTGTACAAGAACATGCCTTTCAAAGTGACACGTGTCTTGTACACCCAAGTGGAGGTTGGCAGTAACTGTTTGCCACCAGGGACTTCAAATGGAAAGTGATGTACATCTTGCCATTTGGCAGCCCGGGAAATAAGTTCCAAAGCTATTTCCCTAAGAGGCCTCACCCAGGCATTATTATACAAACAAATCAAAAGAAGGGTAGCCTGGCTTGAAGACAAATGAATAAATAACATTTTGTGTAGGAGGCGTGTCTAAAGGCAGAAAGGATGTGCCCAGGTACAGAGCCAAGAGAGCATGCCCCAGAGTTAGTAAACTGGTTGGTTAAGAAAGTCCCATGATATGTAAGGATAAAAGGGAGCACGAGTTTGAAATAAATTCTCTTTGTCCACACCACCTACGAGGAGCAGACTTATTCCTTGTTACACAAGGGCCGCACCGTTACAATTTTGCATGTTTAATGAGATGTATATCTCATTACCCTCAGTAAAGCTGCCCTGTTAGTTTGGAGCACAAGGGGACACTTCTAGCCTACACAAAATTCTGCATTCTGCGATATCAAGAAATTCTACTCCAGAGCAGCATCACTTTATTACACCCTCCTATCTCCCTGAACTGCAACTCCCAACTGGGAATCAATCCCAAAAAAAAGCCCAACAGTTCTACTGAATCCATAAAGAACCCCATGCAAGCACTACTCTACATTCATGTAAAAACAATCATTTTAAGTGAAAACATTCCACATCACAATCCTGGAATTTATAAGATTCCTATTTTACCATCTGGGAAATACAATGGTTAGAAGGGAAGTATGACAGAACTGTAATGCTGATTGCACCCATCACTCTATTTGGAAAACTGGATCTCCAAATCTTCATTTTGACACTTTTAGTTATGCCCTTCAAGCAGAGATCTGAATCCTGAAATATTTAAGCCAATAAGATGGCGAGGTGTTGATTCTGAAAGGTACTTTTCAGCTAACAGGAATCTTTCTGTGTAGTGTCAATGCTGGGAAGAAGGATGTTACGTTCTCCTCGCACCATCACTCGTTGCTGGAGAGCCAAACACTGTCTCACCTATACACTGGTTCCAGGAGGGCTGCTTAAAGATTCAAAATATGAACTCACAGAACAGCATTCTTGTTCCTTCCAGAAATCACTTCTGCAGGGAATGAGCCCAGACATCAAAAGCATTTGAGACATTGAAAGGAGACAGTTTATCTGCCTCCAGCTGCTATTTGCTCTGTGTTTAGGCCCAAGTGGTACCCCCTACCACAGACAGAATCTTCTAAATTCATGTGAACTGGCAGACATTTTGTGACTTCTGAAACTACTTTCCCATGCAAAGGTTTACTCTGATTTGATTTAGTGTCTGAGCTTACTCACAGAATTAGTTCCAAGGACTTGCAGCTTTGGTTCGCCTGATTCCAGAAGCTTGGCCACCATATGAAGGAAACTTTCCACAAATGGTTTTATGCTTTGAGAATGACAAGCCATCAGAAGTTGGTCCAATGCCTCCATGGCAATTAAAACATAACTGAAAATTAATTAGAGAGACTTGCATAAAGATGTATTGCATTTATCATTAACTCCATTAGTTCCTTCTTTAGGTCCTTATTACCACAAAAATTAGAAAAGAATGGAAGGCATGTATTTCCCACTGTATAAAAATGAAACTTAGTGCTATTTCTGACACCTGTATTTTTTTTGGGGGGGATGGGAAGTGAGGAATTGAGTGCTGGCCATTTACGCTTTCTATAAAGCTATAAAAATAGTTTTGGACATCACGAAGGCCAAAAAATGATGGTCTGTGATGGATATTGCCCTTCTTTTCCAACTCCTGACACTTGGATTCAACATTTCCCACTTAAACATGATTCAGCCAAAAGCCCATGTACTGGGCTTACATGGCAAGGTTTTGGCAGTGAGGGGCTGCAGGGGTGGTTTCTCTGAGAAGACACCAGGAGCTGCCCATCATGTCAGACAGAGCTCCAGCCAAGCTCCAAGATGAACCCACTGGTTCCCAAAACTGAGTCCCTCAGGGACACTGGTAGTGCCCAGAGTAAGCAGATATCCGTGCTGCAGACCGTGGAGGACCCCATGTTGGAGCCGCTGGATGTGTCCCGAAAGAAGCTGCTGCCCATGGAAAGGCCGTGCTGGAACAGGCTCCTGACAGACTCCATGGAGAGGGGCCCACGCAGGACCTGACCCGTGAGCTTTGCATTTTATTTTCTCCCATGTCTGGCTGAGTAGGAGGAGTGAGAGCAGCTGAGTGGGCACCTGCCAGCCTGACAAGGTTAACTGACCACAGAGGGACTGGGTCTGTCTTGCCTCCCAGACTTGATCAGAACAAACATGACAAAATCCCACGACATACAAGCATCTCTTTTCAATGCTGTGACCTCTCTCCTCACCCATAGCGGTGTCTGACGACATCCCTGCTCAGTCTCTCTGCCAGGTAAGCCCCGATTCGATCCAGCTTTTCTGGTGCAGAAACTGCATAGAAAGTCAACTTCTCCATGTCGGCCTTAACAAGACCATCCTAAAAGCAGAAATACAAATTATAAAATAAAGTTCACAGAAATTATGAAGCTTTTGAAGCGTTTTTCCTTTAGTCTACTCAACATTTAAAGATTTGAGCCTTATTGATAGGAATAAGCTACCAAAAAAACCCCAGTCTTTTGAGCAAAACTGCTGTTAGCTCAGCTGCAAAAATCAGCAACTTTAAAAAATTATGTAAAATATTTTTTAAGGAAATGAAGCAACTATCTTCCTCCTCCTTTTTGGTGAGGGAATGATTATTCTAAAAGAAGGTATTTAGTGAGAGATGTCACCAGTTCTAAGACACACTTCTTCCCTATTGGCATAATGTAATTTTTTTTTTTCCCATCCCCCCAAAAGTTTATTTGATGCATAATTTTGACACTACATACAAACAAGATTGTAGTTTAAATACTTTAGATTGTAGTTTAAACATCTTATTCCTTCAGTGTCACATTTTGAATAATGCTGACCTACAGGGTACCCAAAAGCTATTTGCTAGAAAAAGATAAAAGATTAACATATTAGTTCCAACATGAACTGTAACATGGATGTGCTCAGATGAAGTTATAATCATAACTATCAGGTAAGCAAGATAAGGCTTTTTTGTCTTTTATATTTTTTTATTTTTTCCCTGGAAGTTCATAAAAACATTCTCTTTTTCAAATTAATGTATTTTATCAACAAGTCTTCTCATACTTTGGAGAAGGCCTGCAACTCAGTGAAACATCATGGACTGGCCTGTGTCCTGCAATGAAGCGATGAATATTAATCAAAGCAGAGAGTAAGAAGTGCCAACTCAGAGCTCCTGTGTGAGATTTAAGCCATAACATTAAAACTGTGGTAATTCCAGGTATTTCTACACCTGTATAGAAAGAGTAGATTAGAACAAATAAACCTATAAACCCACACTGTTCTGTGCACGCAATATACTGTATACACAGAAAACATTTCCTTTGAAGTCAGTAACATGCAGTAACTAGCACTCAGTAACAACATATTTTAAAGAAAAGCCCACACACTTTGTAACACATAAGCCAAATATTATAGAAACCCACTGTTCTGCTTAAACTATAACAAATGATGAAAAAATTTGGTAACACATGTAAAAAAATACAGTAGCAGAAGCACAAGCTCTTAATCAGTCTGAACTGTCACATTATTATGTATAGAAATAGGCATTACCAAATGGTAACACTGAAGTTATTAAAATAAATAACACACAGTGTAAGAGTTAAGTTTTAATAGAGCTCCAAGACTGTTGCAGTGAAATGCAAAGAAAAAACTGGACATGAGTAACTGGAGAATTTAAAAGACACCACCAAAAAAACCTTTTGGGTCACAACAGTCTACCAGAACTATGAAGTCAGTAAGTCAAGAATTAAAAGAAATCCTGTAGAAAACCAGAAAATGTGTACATGTGTAACCACACCAAAGCAAGTGTTTGTGGTTCAACGTACCTATGAAGTTAAGTGCTACCTCTGTAGCAGAATACCTTGTTGAATTAAATCTCTGTTTCTCTGAGCAAAACATACTAATTTTATTCTTCAATGAACAGCCCCGCTTTGGAAAGGGAATTAGACAAGATGATCTATATATGTCCCTTTCCAGCTAAATTATTCTACTAACCTCTGTTAAAGCTATGAAGAGCTAAAGCAGAATTTACTGTAAAATGTTAAAAGAGAAAAGAAAAAATAAAATTAAAAAATTACTAAAGCATTAGCTATAACCAAGAATTTCCAAACACCAATCCCTTAAAATTTGAAAGTCATCACTCACTTTTGGATCTTCAGGAAATATGTTATCCACTAGACGCTTGTAGCGAGGTCTTAGCGCAGCACAGCAACAGCAAACTCCTGCAGAGGGAATTACACAACGGGATTTAGAATGCAGTTTTAGGGACTCATTTGAAGGGACAAGCTGACAAGCACGGAGGAAAAAGATATACTGAATTCAGCTGCTTGTCACTCTCAGCAATAAGGCAGAATCAATGTAACTGAAAATTAGCACAAAAAAGTCAAATAAGCAGAACTGCTATCACAGAAACTATGAGAAAATATGGAAGCAACTTGGGTACTAGAAATGCACCTGCTATCCAGCCATACTTAAAAACACAGAAAAATCAAGACATTTTAAAATTTAGTCATATTAACCAAAGCTACTTTAGTTGCTGTTTTATCTTCATTCTGAATGACTATTTCAAAACATCAAAATGTGCACTATGTTCATTCTTCTAAAAAAGAAATCAACTATGAAGTCCTCTGTTTTACAAGCACCCGTATAAACCTATGTAAACCATAATACACAAAACGAGCTCTACCTTCCTTATCCCTTATCCTGCCTTTAACTGGGCATCAGTGAAAAGACAGTCACTTGGAAGTGGAGAAAGGCATTTTTTTGATTTCATTTCCACTTCTATGAGTACTAATCCTGCACTCATATAATCAGAACAACACGTGTAACTCCAATTTTATTAATTTTAAAAGTCATACTGCCTGCTCTAAAAAGATAAACCTTCAAAGCATTGATTGAGTTTTTTTCTGGCACTCAGGGCTACTAGAACCTTGGAATTAAGTTAAAATTCAGCACAAAAATAAAATTAAGAAAAAGTTCCTAAATATCTGCCCAACTGTTTTATCAGGATACATTTATTCCCAACTCTTTTTGGAAATTTTTGAAAATGAGGTTTTAAATGTTTCAGCAGACATATTATCAGACTAACTCACTGGTCCGGCCTCAGATCAACACTAAAGCAGCTCTGATGCATAAGAGCCACTAAATAAACAATAATACACTCAATAATAATATACCAAGTACATGCAGATCAGTGGCTTTCTGGTCTTTCATGTCTCAACTCCTGAAGGATTCAGAGTAGCTAAATACCTTACAGATACCTTATTAAAGGTATCCATTTCCATATTCCAAAAAACCATTACACACTTTACTAAAAACAGTAAAAACTGCAACACGATAAAGTGTATACTGGCAGAAACTTTAACAAGTATAATTTATCTGCAAATTTTTCAGGCTGTGAAGAAGCATTAGACAAATATATTAGGACCTGTATTTTTTTTACTTAAGATATCTAAGTAACCTTAATTGTTTTTAACCATATTTATCAGAACATCTGGGAGATTCACAACAAAGACTTCCCCTGCTGTACTTGTTTTTATTACAAGTGTCTACAGGAGTAGACATTCTCCCTCTATTCCACCTGTTTATTGAAACTGTTTGTCTTTTGGACAAAAATGTATTCTGCTCATACTCTGACAACTTAATGCTTGCAATTACTTAAATAAAAACTACTATCAAAGACAGATCCGTGATTTTAAAGCCATACATTAACTCAAAGTTCTCCCCAGCTCATGAATTAGAGAATCCGGTACCACCAGTAAGATCAACACTGACTTACGACTTCAGTTAGTAACTACGAAAACAAAAAGCATTTAAGGAATAAATGACTGGAATATTGAGAATGTTTGTGTTAAATAGTGCTTCGTTACCACTGTCAAGTTCTTCGTATGACTCCTGCTGACATGTCCTACTCACCGAGGTCTAACCAATGTAAAAATAGACATTTACATGAAAGCTGCAGGTAAGAAGTAGCTAAAATCAAAGTTCTTTCATATGCAACTCAAAAATGTAGGTATTAAAACATATTAGAAATCTACTTGTCTTAAAATTGAAATAATCCACAGTTCTACAAAAATATTCTACTGAGAGCAATGCTGTGCAACATTTTAAAAGTAAAATCATAATAAGAAAGGAACACTTTATTAGTGTCTAGTATATCACTTCATATTGGGAAACTCCAGTAAGACCATCAAAATCCACCAAAACAAGACCTAATATAGTTAAATATTTCTTGAGTTAGGTATGCAACTCTGCACCTGGCTCAACACTCTCTGTACATGGTCTTCCTACTTGATTTTCTACCTTATGGCTGACCTCTAACTCTGGTCCAGAGTAAACAGCATTAGATGACTACTAAGTATAGAAAAATGTTCTTACACTAACTGTAGTAAAATATTTTGATATAACTACCTAAACTACAAAAAGAACAGGAAAATCTTTTAAAATATTGCATGCAAGACAGAGGCAATTAAAAATACATTTATAATTAGTTTCTCTAAGTGATAGAAGAAAAAAATCTTTGCAAAGAACCACAATTTAAATCTTAAAATGGCGTTTTAAACCCATCATAAATTTAACATAAAACCTGGATACTGTTACTCCTTTGAGATGGATAAAGAAATATCAGATAACAGTAGCAACTCATTCTGGCCCCCTTAGCAGGTGGTTTCAGTTAATGGAAACTCAATATTATTGAAACACTGCTCTTCAAATTTATGGTACATAGTGAATTTTGACACAAGAAAAGGCCTAGCAGTAAGTATACTGAGTAAGCTCTAAAATTTTGTCTTCTCCTCATCTTAGATTTTCAGTAGTGTCTTTACATTGTTATGTATTTAATTATAGAACAATTTACATAGAAAAAACCCACAAACTTGCCAAAAATTTTCTGTCATCAAAGTATAAATCTAAAAGAAATATGGATGTTAATCTCACTAAAAGAACTGCCTAAATTAAACAGAACATCCAAATATCAGCAAATGAGAGTTAATCTATCAAGGCTTTCAGACTCCAAAGATATTTTCAGTAGAGAAATATAAGCAGAAAAATATCAGAAATAAAATTGACAGGCACTCCAAAGAACATAGCAAAAAATGAAACAAAAGCAAAAATCAAAACGATTAACAGTCATAACACAGATTTTGTGGGAAAACTATTGATCATTGCTCAGTTATATCATTTTGACATAACCATGAAAGATTAATAAAATTGTAGGAATAGGTTTAGAGAATGTATGAATATAAAAAGACAATGAAACACAATCCCATAAAAATCATGTCGCAACAACATCAAAAATAGACTGAACCCATAAAATCTGGGAACATTTTTCTTCATAGATCAGGAAAGATGAATGTTGCAAAGATGTACAGAAGCTGAGCAATTGAAAACAGATTCTCTACATCTTGGATAGCAATTTAACCCAGATAAAAATTTATCCAAATAAACACATTTATTTCACACAGATAAGCTGTTTTGTAGGTCTATAGAACACAGTCACTAACTCAGGTAAAAAGAACCCATTCCATTTTATGCAGGTTTATTAAGGAAAAATCCTATGACAATTCCTTTTCAGTGTCAGGCAAAATTTGCATTTTAATCATCTCGCCCTTGCAGACATCTCTACATCATATTATACCAGGAAATATAAAGGTTTAAGCAGTATCTATAGAAGTTCACATTGCTATGTGAGAGTCAACATGAAAGGATTAAAAAATACTCCTTGTTTACTTTTCCAGTATTGGGATTTTCCAAGTTAAAACATGCATGTTCTCTTCTGCCGAAGGAGTCCTATAATCTGCATTTTCGAGTTAAGGCTGTACACATTTCCCAGCTGTACGGGCAGTTCTTGTGACACACGTTTATTCTACACAGCAGCAGCAAGATACAGTCCCCGCTATCAGAAAATGGTAATTTCACCTACCCAAACACATACATGGTCTCGGTTCAAAAGCAGAATTATAATCATAGGCTTTTTCTTGCTCAACAGTTGGAACTTGCACATACTGCCTCATCTTGGATTTTACTCCCTGGGAACTCTCTTGGTTCAGAAATTTGCTCTCTCACACTCCCATAGCAGCAGTTCCCGCGAGGGCTCTGCAGCACTGTAAGCTTATCTGATCAGCTCTGTGACATCTACATAAAGCCACCAAACACGTGAAAAACATCAGTATCAAATTCTGTTAACAAGGCCAGGCACAAGAAAGTAGAAAAGAATAAAAGATGCATTGTCAGTGTGTGATTCACAGCTCCTCGAATGAAACCGCACGGAAACAGTTTCATTACTTTGGCTTTCCTGGTACACACAGTTCATTATTTCTGTGACTAGAAGTAAAAAATCCATACAGTTTCAGATAAAACTATACTCAGTCAGCTGCCACATATCACTGCAGAGTGATAAATATTTTAGTAAAACCTACTCACTTGATCTTGCAGAAGAATGGACAGAAAGAAAAGTATACAAAGCAGACTACTGACCAAAAAGACTTTTTAAGACAGAAGGGTTTAAAGAAACATTTGAAAATTAATGAAATTAAACATTATCTCTAATAATACTTCTGAGTTTAAGAAGCAAGGATTAGAGAACTTAAATCCTTAACACCTTTACTCACAAAGATTATGAAACATCAGGTAGAAAACACTTTTGAGTTAAACAATTCTGAAGTTACTTTCTTGCTTCCCATTAATTCTCAGCACTTTATTGTTTCAATTCCTACATTAAATCCACTTGGGCAACATAAATACAGGATTTTCATACAGGCCTTTTTTTAAACCCTGGAAATCATAACTACTGGTTTTAATAAAAACGCAGCGAATAACATCCACTAAATGACAACTCCATACCAACTCCAGACTTAGAAGATTAATGTTAACAAAGTAGTGTTTACTGCTAATAAATTCAGAGAAAACACTAAGTTGCACAGAAACTGTCATTACATATTTCACTAAGGGAAATCCTAGAGTGCAAATAAGAAAAATGCACATTACAATAAGTTTTATTTCAAATTAGTTTGTCTGAATATTTGTGCTACCTCTTACTCATAAAAAGATTACAGGAAAACAAAACCTTCAAAGAGACTTTAAACATAAAGCACTAACTTCTTTCCATCAAGTTTAAAACTTCCACATTATTTTCTTCTTCATGAAACCCTAGCAAAACAGAAAACAACTGTATGATTTATCTAACGCTACAATTTCTTCCAAAATTTGGTAATGCTGTCTAATA